GAACTGTTGGGCAGTTTCTCAAGAAATGTGATGCCTGTGAAAAAGCGGATTAGTAGAAGTTGGTAAGTTTGAGCAGAGTTAGGTGAGTGATACAAATCTGCAACGAACTAAGTTCTAAGTGATAAGAACATTTTTGTAACCATTTTACAGTATTCTCGAAGATATAAAATAGCTGTAAAAATACAGTGTAATTTTTCTGAATATATCTACCGTAAAACTTGTAATAGAAGGGCCGTCATACTGCCAAGTTCGAGCTCAATCATCTTGGTTCCTATAGGATACATCAAAAACATGTCAATTGATAAAATGGTTGGGATGTTATGATAACATTTTACCAGTTGACAACTCTTTCATATCTTCAACGAAAATTTAGATAAATCGACTCAAAGTTAAAAGTTAGAAAGCCCTTCTATTACTGGTCTTACGGTATAAATGAGTTTGTTGAATTTGTTTCTTCGACGTTTGTTCTCATTTCCAACCTCTGTTTTCCAACCAATGTAAAATTTGTGTCAGAGAGATTGTTTATTACAGTATATCAATCTTCATATCAAATGTGTTGGTTTTTTGTCACTTTGACCATTCTCAGAGGTCTTGAGATCGGCTGTCAAGTTTTCAGTCACTTTAAAAACTTTGGAAGGCGTAAAACAGACCTTAACGAAACACTTTGAATTCGCAAAATTCCTTGAAAGTGTTTTGTGTCTTAGCTACTTGCCGGTTTCTGAAAGGGATCCTTTTTTGGCCCGTTTTTGCTCTAAAACGGAAAAAATATACAAGTATTTTTCAGAAATCATCAAATATCTGAAAAACTGGGAATTAAAAAAATTTTTGTGAATGCAAGGTTTTTGATCTAGGCCTGTTTTACACTTTCCAACGCTTTCGAAATGGTCGGAAACTTGACATTCGAGCTTCAGTCTCTTGAAAATTGTCAAAAATGCTGAAAAACAATACCGAAAACTATGTTTTTGAATTTTTTATTGACTGGTAACGTATATGAAATAGAAATTGAATTGAAACATTTGTCGTATGGGTTTCATATCATGATCCATCAGGTCAAACTGCTAGCTTTTCGCATATACCAGCAATAAAAGCATGAATGGGTGTCATAAAAAGCCACTAAACGTGAAAAAGCTCAAATCCGTATAGCACGACCAATTGAATAGCACGTTTCAAGGCTCATAACAAGGTCTCGCAAAAAGCAAAAATGGGACAAAAGTGAATTGGCATAGAATTGAAAAAGGGCACTTGTGTTTGGTTGACTACAAGAATATTAGCGAAGTCTTTTTCCCACTTTTTCTCTTTTCCGTCTCTTCCTTTCGGCGATGAGCAAACAAATCCAGCGGTGGCGGTGGTGACGCGGAGTTGTTTCAACCATTTCTTTGCTTTCCGTTCAACCACTGTCAAATACTATTTTAGCTAACTTATTTTGATATATTTTGGGATGAAAAACGGGTTCAAGACTGGTATCGCAATGAGGTGAGCTACATTTTTGATTTTTAAAGTGAGTAAAACTATGCTGAATGATTCAAAAGTTATTTCGCAACTGGAATTTTTGATTTTGTGTTTTATGATTTGTGGAATGTCATATCACCCCATTTTGAAAGACATTTATTAAAAGATTTTTTTTTATCTCTAGGAAAATAAAATACAGAGAAAAATCTTGAAAACAAAAAAAAATACAGTCTGGTTAAAATTTTTTTTGCAAGTTTCTTGACAATAAATTGACTTTAAAAAATATAGATAAGACGCACTTCATTGGTACTATTGTTTTTCAAATAGGATGTTATTTGGGAAGTGCAATCAACTTGCCAATTACTTTGCAAAGTAACAAGATATTTCGTAACAAGAAAATCTTGAACACAAAAAAAATACAGTCTGGTTAAAATTTTTTCTGCAAGTCCATTGACAATAAATTGACTTCAAAAAATATAGATAAGACGCACTTCATTGGTACTATTGTTCTCCAAATAGGATGTTTTTTGAGAAGTGCAATCAACTTGCCAATTACTTTGCAAAGTAACAAGATATTTGAAAGTGATGAGAAAAAAACATAATTGAAAAATCAGGGCCCGGGTTTATCACATTTGATAAAAATTCTGAAACTTTAATTAACAGAATATTTTTTGAGAAAATTACGATGGAAGTCCTGTCGGCTCATGTCAGTCCGTCCCGTTTCAAACATTGAAAAAAAAACAAAAATAAAAAATTCCTATTTTTTAAGAATTGATTTTTGAGAAAAATACAAAAATTCTAGGTAATCTTACAAAACAAAAAACCTGCCAATAAATAAAAAAAATTGAAAATTGAAAAAAAACGGAACAATTCCTGAAACTACTGAATGTTTGAATTTTTGAAATTTAATGGGTCAAGCGGTACAGGATGGTTCGAAGTATTTAAAACGAGATAACTTTCTTGAATTTTGAATATCGTTCGCTTTGAGCAACTTTCTAACCACAGCTGTGTCATTGTTTATTTTAAATTTTTTTTCGCGTACTTTCTTGGCACTTGTCCAAGTTGTTGACAATTTTTTCTTGTTTTCTGTTCACCTCAAAAAAAATTCTTGCATCCAAAAACTTTAAAAATCGAACTCTTTCATTTCATGACTTTCATACAATCTGATCTTGTCAATTCCCACTGTAACATTCTTTTTCTGACATTTTGGCAGTTATAACTGATAAGCTACACATCATACATGGTCACTATCGTATCTAATCACAGTCACGGGGCAAAAATAAGTAAAAACATGATGAGCCAAGGTATTTTTATTGGTGTAAATGATGCTACAGTGTGGCGATAAGAAACAGATTGTTTGAAACGTTGTTTTGATCGAAAAATGGCTCAGAAAGTGTTTTTGAGTCATTTTTCATTTGGTTGTGTTTGTTGTTTGTCTTCTAATGGTTCCAGAAGGTTGAGGATGTTCTGTTTGACTGGAATTTTGTATTTTGAAATTCTTATACAGTCACGGGATTAACAAAGTAGATTAGATAAGATAAAAATGCAGATAATGTCAGAATTCTGACGTTGTTGTGCATCTTCATCCCGATTAGCTACATTTATAAGATGTTGCAAGGACCGTAGGACTTCTTTTTAGTTTCTTTTACACCACGCCTCTTGTACTCCCACAACCGTTTTCATTCGGTTCAAACCCCATTTTCTTGCCTAGATCATCCCATTGTCACTTTCCATTGTCACCTACACCACTAAACTTCTAATTCGGGAGGAGGCAAAAAAGAAGTGGTGTTGTCCGTTTGTCCCTCCGCACTTTATACGTACACCTCCCGTGTATTATACATTTTGTTCATATCATTCTATCATCAGTCCTCATTGTTTCCTTTTTCTTTAATTCCGTATATATTTCGAGAGAAGGGAAGAGAAGTAAGAAGGAACACGGTATTAATTGATGATCCGAGAGTAAATTACTAGTATAGTCTCTTCTCAAGAAGAGAGTAGCCGGAAAAAAACTGCCGTGTGAAGAGGTGTGGATAGCAGCACCAGAATATTCATAATTTTTTCTGCATATGATCAAAACCACAAACCGGTCCAACGCTCTTCTTCTACTCTTCCTCCCGAATCTTACGCGCGGGAAGGGCGCAACAATTCCACACATGCATCATACAGTGTACATAGGGCATGTATGCCCCCCCCCCTTTGGCTTCCTAACACCAGAAGCCTCTTCGTCTCTTCCGATGACTTTTTCTCAATGGAAGAGAAAAAGATAAAGAGACGTCTTCTGCTGCTGCAGCAAGCTGCGCCGGACGGCAAGCCAAGGAGGTGTCCGAAAGAATTGTTAATTTAGCAATGTTGTCCTCGTTTTCTTCGTCAACGATCTCGATAAACGGTCGCCCGCCCCAGAAATTGACTGGTGTTACGTTACAAATTCGTTAGAATAAGCTAGGATAGTCCTGGGCGAAAAATTGGCAGTATGCTGTTTCATCATGATGACTCAACAGTTTCGTAACTGTTGCTTTTTTTAATTGAAAAAATTAGATTTTATTTTATTTTTTTTGTTTTTGGGAAAATTGTAGACAGTTTAGAAATTTTTCCGTCATTTTTTTAAATTTACAAATTCCTCAATACGTTTTTCTTGAAAATTAGGCTTCCACTAGTATACAAATAGTTGTTTTCCAAATATTGTCTCCAAGATTTTTAGAATGTTTTTTGATCAATATATTGGAAAGTACTAATTTTCCATACTGTTTTTTTTTGAATTAGGGTCCCATGCCGTTAACTATACGAAGAAATATTTTCCAAACATCAATTCCAAGTTTCAAAAACACTCCCATTATTGTTTTTTTTTTCGGCTTGTCCGCCCTTTGATGATCATTCGGTTTCATTTTCTCCCTTCTTGAATTCCGTTTTTTCTCATCTATCATTTTCTAGAACCTCCGTTTTTAGAGTTTGAATCTGTCTCATATATACTTGATAAAGCTTCAAACCACATTTTGACATAGTTTTTTGACTTTCTCAATTTTTGAAAATACTCGATTTCGAAATCCATTTTCCATCGAAACATTAGTCATAAATCTGCACTCTGTCCTTTTTGTGATATCGAGAAATTTTTGATCGAGAACGAAAACCACGTGATCCGTCCGATGGTATTGTCGTGTAATTCGGACCAAAGTTATTCTTTTATCAACAAGCTTTCCCTATCAATTAGTGACGATAGATGGAGAGAGAGAGGGAAAATGGTTCCACTTGCAGAAGAACAATGATTGCCTCGTTTTTTTCCGCCTATTCTCATCGTCGCTTAGTTTTTTTTCCAATATAACTTTCTTTAGACTTTCCCCTCTTTTCCATCCCTTTGAACAGGCAGCACCGACAACTTGGAACTGATAACAGTATCAGTGAAATATTGAACTCTAGTGTAGCCTGGTGCCTCGTTTGTGTATTTATTAGTGTGCAGTACACCTCTTTATGGTCATTCTAATGCTCAAACATTTTCAGTTTTAGATTCAACTCTCCATTTGTTTTTCAAATCTTTATTTCCATGGTTTTTCAGGGAAATGGCGGACAGTCCCAAATTTGCGTTAGTCACATTTGCGGTATATGCAGTGATATTATACAATGTCAACAGTTTCTTCTGGAAATTTGTCTTTATTGGATACGTAGTGTTCAGGCTGCTCCGAACCGACTTTGGAAGACGTGCAATGGCAACGATTCCAAGGGATTTCGCGTAAGTTCTAAAAGCCAAATCTTGCGTTCTTTCCCTTAGCCTTGACCACAGATTAGTCATTTCATTTTTGTCCGCACGACCCGGGGGGAAATGAGAAACCACCGCAGCTGGGTGCAAAATCTTCTCAATTCTCCCATTAGTGAACGGGATTGGAAAGTAGTGCATCGTTTCCTCCCACACTCGGAAAAAAGGCGAAATGACCATGGAATGCAAGAGTGACGTATTATATTTTTGTTGTTTTTTCAGGGGACTGAAACTCTTGATTTCTGTGAAATCCACCATCAATGCGTTGTTCAAAAAAGATCGTCCGATTCATGAAATCTTCTTGGATCAGGTTTGTGTCCTGTTGGCAGGAATAAGGGGAATGAATCGAAAACGATAATTTTTATTCGATTTCGGTTTTTTCACATTCTCACTATCGTACAAGAATTTATAGGATGATTTTATAGGTGAGACAACACCCCAACAAGATTGCTGTGGTTGAAATCGAATCTGGAAGAAAGTTGACCTACAAGGAACTCAACGAACTTTCCAACCAATATGCAAACCTCTACGTTGTAAGTTTACACAAAATTAAAACCAAATTTTATAGTTGTTGTTGGTCAGAATTTTCAACTAGGGGAATTGTTATCAAAAAAAAATTTCCAACACACCAGAATCATAAGTTGATAACAATTTTCTATATAATGATAGTTGTAGGCCTCAAATATGCAGCAATGGGTATAAAACAAACAAAAAACATGTATTCGGTGAATTTTGACCATTTTCAAGAGTATGGAACTCGGGTGTGAAGTGTTAGATGTCTTTGAAAATCTTGTAAGGTATAAAACATGCCGAGATTAAAACCTTTGCGATTATAGAATTTTTTGAGAACTCCTAGCTTCTCAGCTATTTGCCGATTTGTGAAAGACAACTCTTTTTGAATTTCGTGTACCAACGTCATAAAACCAGGGGAAATCGGCAAATACCTAAAGAACTAGGAATTTTCAAATAATTATGGGAATTCAAAGTTTTCAATCTACGTCTGTCTTACACCTCCCAAAAATATCGAATTGGTCGGACACTTGACGGCCTAGCTCCAGGCTTCTCTGAATGGTCGGAATAAACTGAAAGAGCAAGATTTTTGTATATCTTATTGACTGGTACTGTAGCATTCAATTTTAAAAACTAAAACACAGATATCACTCGACCATGAAACTTGGTCTTACTGTGTAGTCAACAAATCAGAAGTGAGAATCAAAAACTATACAAACCTAGCCATTTGGAAACGAGATCAAACTATACTAAACTTCACTTTGATTGCACCCAAACTGTGGGAATTCGCAAACGCAATAAACATGCGATAATGAGATTCGATCAAAACACAGAAATGAATTACAGAATGAGGGGTACAAGATTGGTGACGTTGTCGCCCTCTTCATGGAGAATAGCATTGACTTCTTCGCAATTTGGTTGGGACTTTCCAAAATTGGAGTAGTATCAGCATTCATCAACTCAAACTTGAAATTGGAACCATTGGCTCATTCAATCAATGTATCAAAGTGCAAATCGTGCATTACTAATAACAGTTTGTTGCCAAGTAAGCATACAACAGGCCATAATAATATAAAAACAAATAATTTTTCTAGTGTACAAAGCTGCTCTTGAGAAAGGGCTTATCAGCAAAGATATCCATGTTTTCCTTGCCGGAACCGAAGTTGATGGCCGCCACAGAAGCCTCCAACAAGACCTCCAACTCTTCTCTACTGAAGAACCAGCTCCAGTTGATGGGCTCAACTTCAGAAGCGTTCTCTGCTATATTTACACATCTGGAACTACGGGAAATCCAAAGCCAGCTGTTATCAAACACTTCCGCTACTACTGGATTGCTATGGGAGCTGGAAAGGCTTTTGGAATGACGAAACCAGATGTTGTGTATATTACCATGCCGATGTATCACTCTGCCGCTGGAATTATGGGTGTCGGATCTTTGATTGCATTTGGAACCACTTGTGTCATTAGAAAGAAGTTCTCTGCTAGCAATTTTTGGAAAGATTGTGTCAAGTACAATGTGACTGCTACACAGTACATTGGAGAAATCTGCAGGTGAGTGAAACAACTTTTTGTTGAAAAGTGAAACAAAATCATTAGCAATCGTTTTAGGTATCTTCTTGCTGCTAAGCCATGTCCTGAGGAAAAGGAACACAAAGTGAGGCTCATGTGGGGAAATGGGTTGAGAGGTCAAATCTGGAAGGAGTTTGTCGGAAGGTTTGGTATTAAGAAGATCGGAGAACTCTACGGATCAACAGAAGGAAACTCCAATATTGGTAAGATTTTGAGAATATTTCTAAATTAAAATTTGAAAGTAAAATATAAAATATTTTCAGTCAACTTGGACAATCATGTTGGATCTTGTGGATTCATGCCAATCTACCCACACATTGGAGCTTTCTACCCGGTTCGTCTCATTAAGGTTGACCGTGCTACTGGAGAACTCGAACGCGACAAAAATGGACTTTGTGTACCATGTGTGCCAGGAGAGACCGGAGAAATGGTCGGAGTGATCAAGGAGAAGGATGCTCTTCTGAAGTTCGAGGGATACGTCAGCGAAGGAGATACTGCTAAGAAAATCTACAGAGATGTGTTCAAGCACGGAGATAAGGTGTTTGCTAGTGGTGATATTCTTCACTGGGATGAACTCGGATACTTGTATTTTGTCGACAGGTGCGGAGACACTTTCCGTTGGAAGGGAGAGAATGTTTCGACTACTGAGGTTGAAGGAATCCTTCAGCCAGTTATGGATGTGGAAGATGCCACCGTTTATGGAGTAACGGTGAGTTTGAAAATTGATCAATGATTCCCCAATGAGACGGTACTTCACGTTCTATGATAACAATGCTTGTATTGTGTAGCAATCTATAATTCCATAATTTATAGACTACAGATAACTTATACATAACTTTTCTCAGATTGGAAAGATGGAAGGGCGTGCTGGAATGGCCGGAGTTGTGGTCAAGGATGGAATTGATATTGATGTAGGATCCAAAAAATATTAGAGAAAAATGAAAATTTTTTTCAGAAATTCCTAGCAGATATCACCTCTCGTCTCACTGAAAATCTTGCTTCTTATGCTATTCCAGTATTCATTAGATTGTGCAAAGAAGTTGATAGAACAGGTAAGGATTTGCGAATTCTTAGCATCAAATAAATGTACTAGAACACGTTTTCAGGCCGGTTTGACCACTTTCAGCAGTTTAACGCTGGCTGTCAAGTTTCCAATCTTTTTAAAAATTTTGAGAGTGTAAAACAGAACTAGATTAAAAATTTTGCATTCACAGAATTTTTCAGAAACTCATTGTTTTTCAATTATTTGTCGATTTCTGAATTACACCTGTTTTTTCATGTTTTCAGATTAAAAGGGTCAAAAAATAGTGTATTTCAGTAATCAGCAAATAGCTGAAAAACTAAGAATTTTCAAAAAATTCGGTGAATACAAAGTTTTTAATCTAAGTCTGTTTTACACTCTCCCAAACTTTCAAAGTGATTGGATACTTTACAGCAAAGCTTCAGACTCCTGAAGACTGACGAAAATCTATTGAAAAATACGTTTTTGTATATTTTATTGACTAGTACTGCATATGCTGTAGACTCTATCGCCGTATTTGTGAAAAAAAAACTATTTTTATATTTCCAGGAACCTTCAAACTCAAAAAGACTGATCTCCAAAAACAAGGATACGATTTGGCTGCCTGCAAAGGCGATAAGATCTACTATTGGGTCGGATCCGAGAAATCCTATAAACCGCTCACCGAAAAAATGCAGCAAGACATCGACGCCGGTATTTATGACCGATTCTAAGATTAATTGGTTTTATACATCTCCATCAAATTGGCTCAATTACTTACGCGTTTCTTTGTTTTTCATATTCTACTTGACACGTTTTCTACTTCAAAACTGTTCCTTTTTATGTTGCCATACAAATCATCAATCTAGTCAGTGGTATTTATTTTCTCTGTAAGGTATTCAATTTTCAAAAAATGCCGAGCCGGGAAATTTGCCAGAATTGCCTTACAAAAACTGTTCACATCTGGATTTGCTTATTTTTCTATATTTTTTTTGTGTACCGATTATACATGTCCCATATTCCAGTCTTGTTCTGATCACGAGTACCATTGTTTCCAATTGTGTTTATAGACTAAAGAAATTTTTATGAACTGTTTGATTGAAAGTATATACAAATGAATAAAATGATTTTTAAAATGACTTTTCGTCAAGAAGGGGATCACCGGGAGACAATTGTGGATGAAACCGGGAACTCAGCTTTTTAATAGTGAAAAACTGCAAAGACCAGGACCTCACACCAAATTGACCCCTGAAAATAGTAAGCTCAGTTAGCTAATGAGGTTATTCAGAGGAAAGCAAAATCAGCAATTGTCTGTGGCCGTAACAGCAAAAAAAGTTTTCTAGGTCATTTTATTGTTCACGTGGACGCCACGGATAGCCATACGAGACCTTTGCAGGACACTCCATGCGCCTTGAATGCTTACGCGATTTTTGAGCATATTAAGAAAAACCTACATTGACATATCTGTGACTCAGAAACCCATCACAGTCTTCATCCCAAACACATTGAACTGCGGTGCTAAAATTTAGTAGTGAGTAATTGAAAATCCATTATTTTTCTTACGTTGCTCCGCTCCCTGATTGCTCAGCAATCATTGTCTGAACAAATACTTGTAGCGTGGAAGATTGAGTGCTAAAAATATTTTTAAAGCTTATTTTTGAAGTTGAATAACACTTTCAGGAGAAAATTACCCTTCAATCGTTCTCTGATTGTTGACGAAATGTCTTTTGACGCTTGATCAGCTTCGTTCTCGTCATATTTGATCATATCGCCTAATTTCTCATTCATCACTTCCTGTATCATGCCTGTGATTGCTTTTGGGCGGAACCTGAACTATTCGATAAAAGGAAAATTAAGAATATATGTAGTAGAACTAAACAAAAGTTTACTCACTTTTGTCCTGGTGTCGGACGAAGAACAAAATTACGGTCAACATTATCTTCCATATTCATTGTGGTCAAACTGAATAAAAGTAACAAAAATGAAACATATAAGCACGCACGCCTCACCGCTCTGTAGCCATGGAAACAAGGACGCAGGTGAATCGATTTTCGTTGGCTAGGCAAACACACAAAGGAGGAGAGAGGGGAGGAGATGGCTCGAGAGAGGCATATTACTATTATTAAATCGGCTCTGGCATTCCTCTTTTCAACACAAAGTATTGAGCAATATCATGTTTTCGCTCGTTCGTATGAGGGAGGGTGCTGACCTAAAACGAGACTTTTTTCAGAGATTTCTCATGTCTGCATTTGACAGATTCCCAAAGCTTATTTTTGCAAGATTTATTTAGAAACTTATTCACAGAGACCGAATTATATAGAATATTTCGAAATCAAAAATTTAAATTTTACACATTTGTGTTTCAAAAAATGGTAGAGATAAAAGATATGAAAGAAGAGAAAACGAAGCAAATAGGAGAAATGTGAGAGCGGGATAATCGTACTGAAAATCAAAATTAAGATTTTTTAGTATTAGAAGGAATGGGGTCAATGGATTCTACTATTTTTCCACCCGAAAGTAGAACATCACATATTCGAAATTCTTGAAGGAAGGAATAAGTAGAAAAGGGGGAAAGGGCAATGAAGGGAAGATTTTTTGTGATTTATGGCGTTAAAAAAGTTCATAGGTACCGACAATTTGGATCATGGAACACCCGGGAATTAAGTTCTTCGATTAGTTGAATTTGGGAGAAAATTGGGGAGAAATTGGGACAAATCGCTAGAGATAGAATAACTAGAAAAACGATTCTATGAAAAATTGACAAGTTTTGAAGTAGAGAATAATTCAAAACTTGTTTATCTTTACAGAAAAACATGATATTTTTGCCCTAATCAAAGTAATCATAGGTTAGGCAAAAACAGATAGGTGTGTATCCACATCGCTCTGTAGTGGGTCCCCAGGGAACGCGATATTGAATCTTCCTAGATCCTCCTCACTCTCGGTATCCGCTTCTCGAGAGATGCTCTCATCCTCGTACCGATTGACATTCTCATTGTATGAAGCAACCATGCTCCCGTTTTCAGCAGTTGGTATGTATGGGAGACCATCTTTAACTTTGTCGAAAATCTCATCGAGAAAAAGTTCCTCAGCTGTGATGCGTTCATTCGGATCATACTTCCAGCATCTGGTCATCAGTTGGTACATCTCGCTGGAGCATTTCTCCGGTCTCAATGGTTTCATTCCTGAATCGAGCAAACCTAGTGAAATAGAAATATTAGTGTATTATGAACTTCTCCTACCTGCCATGGTGAAGGATGACACCTCCAGATTGCTTAGCCCATCAAATGGTTGTTTTCCGTACGACATAACTTCCCACATTGTTACACCAAGAGCCCTGGAATTTTTTTTGTAATTGTAATATTCTACATATACAAAATTGAATTTTCCAGTTGATTTTTAGTCGTTCTGACCATTTTCAAGAGCTGCGAGCACGACGGTCCAATTACCGATTTTGAAAACCAAAAATAGGTCAAAACAAGTTGGCTTTCAAAAATTAGCAAATAGCTGGAAAACTAGGAATTTTGGAAAAATTCTGTAAAAACAAAGTCTATGGCTGTTCTACATCTTTTGAAATTTTTCAAAGTAATTGGAAACTTAAGAGTCAAGCTTTAGACTTTTGAAAATTGTCAAAATGGACTGAAAATCAACAGTTTTCTGATGCCCAAGTAGAGAAACCATTCTCAAGGTTGAATCAAAAGATGATCTTTCAAATAAAAATAAAATGATTGTTTACGTCTGTAGTTTGAGATAACGACTAGTGTCTACATCAAAACAGAAAAAAAGGACGATACGCCTAGATTGTATTTTCACTCACCAAATATCACTTGCATACGTGAACTTGTGCGATGAGATGGCTTCAGGGGGCAACCAACGGATTGGAAGAGCGCCACGATGTTCCATGGTGTAGCATTCCGAATCATCATAGAGGCGGCGAGACATTCCGAAATCCGAGATCTGAACAATGTTCATTTTTTCAGAAGGATCATATACGTGTTTCAGACAAACCTTGATTTTGAATGGTGGTCTTTGCAAATGACTGGGTGCTTTCATATCCGATTCTCCTGATACCAAACAGTTTCTGGCTGCCAAATCTCTGTGAACAATTGATTGGCTGACCAAATAGCAAACTCCTTTCGCAATCTGAATTTCCGGAATTAAACAAAATAGGTGATTTCTGGGATACCTCTCTGATAATCCATTTCAACTCATCGGTGACCAGCGGTGGTGGGAACTGCAAGTAGCTCGTAGCTTTTGGAGACCTTCCTTGCAGATACGTTTTGAGATCTCCTGAAAAAAGTTTCTTTTCTTATTTACAACTTCTTTAAATCCATTTAAATTCCATAACACCTATCAGGTTTGAGCTCAATTATTCCAAGTTCTATGCAAGATATCAAAAACACGTCGTCTGAATGATTGGGGTCATATGATTAACAATTCATCTGTTGACAACTTTTTTCATATTTTTGACAGGTACTGAGATGAATTATTTCAATGTGAAAAGTTAGTTGTCCTTATGTTACAGGTCTTACGACTGATGAAACACAAAAGATGGTCCATTTATACCTTCATCTTCCTTCCCTCTCTCTCTCACATTCCCCTCATCTATTGCTTATGATTTTTGATGCAAAGCCAATGAATGAGCTTTCTATCTTTCTTCCAGAAAAAAAAATGATGAAAACACGGCAAATGCTGAATAGCACTCAACTTCATAATGTATGAATATCCCAAGCAGAAATAAAAAATGTGCAGACCGCGAGAGAGAAATGAAAAAAGATGGAGAGAGAAGCAACGCCAAATATATTTGGTGTGTCCAGGAGAGGAGATGAATTTGTTATGAACGTAAAAAAAATCGATACATATATGACGCGGTTCAGAACTTTTCTATTAGAAAATTGCTATGAATACACTGTTTTAAAGGGAACTCTCTAAGGACTAATAAATCATATATTTTCAAAACTCAAAAACTTCTTGTTTTGAAATCCGTTTCAGACTCCCAGAAACTAACCGTAGTTCATATGCTCAAAAACAAGGAGCAAATTATTTCGATCCATTGTCATTCCGTATAATCTCACAATGTTCTCATGTTCCAGATTTTGGAGGACTCGAGCCTGTAATATATTTTTCTACTCATAGAAAAGATTTAAAAAGAAAAACCAAAACATTTGACCACTGAGCGGATCGAACGCCCAACCTTTCGATCTGGAGTCGAACGCGCTACCATTGCGCCAAGCAGTCATACTCTTTTCTCAAATGTATCGCGAATAAGAGAGGCAGGGCGGCAAATAGAAATGAGCGGGCAATTGTAAATAAGAGAGAGAGAGAGAGAAAGAAACTCTACCGGTATGAGTTGTGGCCGCGATGCGGTGGACAGATAACATAAGAGAAAGAAGGGGATGATTTCTAAGAATTTTAAAAACGTCAAACTGTTTCTGAATCTCAATCTGCAGTACCATTAAGTCAAATATAGAAAGCCACGTTTTTCAGTTGATTTTGACCATTTTCAAGCATATTGAGCATGGCTGTCAAATGTCTGATTTTAAAATATTAGGAGGGTGTAAAACAGACCTAGATTTGAAAAATTTCACAGAATTTTTCGAAAATTCCTAGTTTTTCAGCTATTTGTTGATTTCTGAAGGAGACCCATGTTTCCTGTTTTTTTTACTGAACACGTAATAAACCAGTGTCTTTTAGAGAGAGGCGAATAGCTCAAAAACTAGATATTTCCAAAAAAAAATTTGTGAATACAAAGTTTTCAATCTAGGTCACTTTTACAAAAATGATTGAAATCAACTGAATTCCTGAAAATGATTGAAATCAACTGAATTCCTGGAAATAGTTGAAATCAACTGAATATATGTTCCGTATGCTTGAAATTTGTTTTCTCTAATTCAAAAACCTCTTTCTCAGTTTCCATATCAATGCCTCTAATGCTCTTCACTGCAACACTTCTTGGTCCGGTTTGTTCCCATGATCCCACATACACTTCTCCGAAATGCCCCTGAAAAAATATATGCGTTCTTTAAGACAATTTCAATCTCTTTCTGACTTTTCCAACAAGTTCATGAATCTGAATTTTTCCCATATCAATGAACATGAGTGTCATATTGCAGTAATCGGAAGCCAATGAAGATCTCTCTTCTGAAATGAACATCATTTGTTAATCTTTCTGTTGTCTCTTCTGACCTAATCTCAACAGTGTTTCCTCTGTTTCATGACTGGCACGTCGAGAGTGAAGGTCGTGAGCAAGTGACATTCGCTTCCGGAGACTTATAATCTGAATTGAAATACATGTATTGAAAAAGTTAGGAAAGCAGAATAGAAAAACTAATTTGGAAAGTAAACACAGGTGTAAAATGAATTTCTCATAATGCTTCTTGGTCACTATAGAGGGTACAAGGCATAAAGATTGTGATCAGAAACTACAGAATCCTATCAAAAACCTCTCCCCCATACCGTGGTCCGTACTTCCATTCTGTAGTGAGTGCAAAGGATGATAGTGATAATAAATCCAATTATCACGATGAATGTAACCAGAATTTGAATTGGTCGTTTGTAAGGGGATGCAGTTGCGAAATAGTCGTCCAGTGTTCCATTCTGAAAAATCCAAAACTATACTCTTGCTCTTTTTTTGCTTCCACTCATCACAACCCCAAGAAAATCAAAGTTTTCAATGTCTAATAGAATTTTTATGCAGCGTGGGAGCGTCGCGACGTGCAAATTTCCAGTTCAAATCAACACACTCACAATTACGCCTAAATGAGAGACGTGCTTTTCAACAGCGTCACAGTTTCCCATAGTGCAAACTTCGAAACGAAGATCGCCAGACAAATGGTCACCGTCTGCAATGTCCTTTGTGAAGATTCGATATGTTCTTTGGTAGAATATCGAGCTGAAAATAATATTCAATAAAAAAAAATAGGATCAGGTGGAGGAGTACCGCTTTTCAGGTCTAACAATCATACTGGAGAAGAAGACTTCATCCTGCTCATTATCCATCACATTCATTTCAGTGTAGTTACTTTGAACCTGAAGTTATGATTTTTCTGGCTCGAATACAAATTTTTAACACAGTACCGGTCAATTAAATATACAAAAACGTATTTTTTAAGTTCCGAGTTTTACAAAAACTAGCCAAAAAGAGAATTCATTCGGAAATCGGGAAATAGCTGAAAAACACGGAATTTTTTGAAAATTCTGTGAATGCAAAATTCTCAATCTAGATTTGTTTCACACCCTCCAAATTTTTCAAAAAACTTTGAGACTTTACAGCCGAGTTCCAGACTCTTAAAAAAGATAGAAATGACCAAAAATGAACTGGAAATAAGTTTTTGTATGTCTTGTTGACCGGTATATGCGGGAACGATTTATGGAATTTCAGTTTGTTTCGATTTCTACAGATGTGTTGGTCCACATTTCTTGCTTGAACATAATTCAGGCCGGTTTTTCGGAAATTTTGATCGGGCCCTAGAAGTACCGTAAATTGCCTAGAAGAGTTGCACACTGATCAACATCAATTCAGTTTAGTTTCTGGGAAAGATACTGTAAAAACTGCATTATAACGCTACCTGTAGTAGAACGCCCCTCTAATATAACGCAAAATGATTTCCAATCGTTGTAAACAATCCCTTTGATCCCTCTTACCCTGGTCACTGCCAACGTGATATTCTCAATTGGATATCCCTGAACCACCAAGAAATCCGTGTCGCCTCGCGTCTTCTCGACAAACTCCACTTTAATGGGCAAGTTCACACGAAGCTGCAAGAAAGCGGAAGCTATGAATATTATCCTTATTCATTCTCCTTTCACAGTTTTGCTTCCTTTTCTTTCAGTTTTGCGTGGGCACACACACGCTTATAAGTATTCTGTATTTCCCTTTTTCAGATGTCTCATTTCTTTTTCCTCCTCATTATCTTTCTATCCGCAATTTTTAATTAGGCATCATTATACAAAAGACGATGGCAACAAAACTTTGTGTCATATTTCTTGAAAGGGAGCTTCTTCTTCTTCTTCTTCTTTTTTTCCGGCTGCTCTTCTTTTCAATTTTTACTCGTTTATTTATATCTCATCATCTTGCCGCCTTTTCCACTTTTTTAATTGGAAGCAGAGCAAGGAAATGAAAAAGTTCGAAGGGAGAAACGAAACGTTTTTTCATCAAAAAGTTTGAAAATAAATCTAAAATAAATATTCGGACTGGATTTCATCAAAAAGCGGAATAGGAAAGAAGCAAGAAAAAATCCAATTATGTCAGAAAATGTACTAAATCGAAACATGCCAATATTGCGAATTGGATCACCAATCTCGTGGTGTTGGGTTTCACAACAAAATCTAAATGTTTTGCGTCATTTGATGGATTACTGTAGCTCGTAAACTCAGATTTTGATGAAAATTTCAGGATTAATTGAGAATCGCTACCTAGACACTTCCGGAAATTTTAGAATCCGCTTGTCAGCCGAGTTTTATCAATTTCAGTACGAAAAATTGCATTTACAGTGCAAAACAGCAACTTTCAAAAACGATTTTCTCGTCTTCTGGGAGCTCCAGTTCATGAATTTTAATGTAATACACTTAAAATTTTATAGAAATTTTATATTTCAGACACTTTTTCGAAAAAAAAACAATTTATTTTATTTTCGGCCTTTTTCACGATTTTCCAGATGTATTCGAAAATTGAAAAAAATTCAAGAAAATGTCTGAAATATGAAATTTCATTCAATTTTATACATTCCGCAACAGAGTTAAAACTCTGGAACCTTCCAGAAGATGAGTATTTTTGAAAATCGCTGTTTTGTAATGAAAAGGAAATTTTTCGTACGAAAACTGATATATCTTGGCTGAAACTGGGGAGCAGGTTTTAAAATTTTTAGAGATGTCTAGATAGGCGATTTTCAACAAATCCTGAAATTTTCAAAAAAATCTGGATTTGTGAGGTGTTGTGGTTCCCTTGTCAGAGGTATTTCAAGAATGAGATTGTACTGTTTTACACATTAGCTACATCTGGTGACCCGGCTAGAAGAGAGAAAAATTAAGACCTCAAAATTAAGAAAAGGTGTTGAGCTTGACAAAAACCCTTGAAAAATAAAAAAATTTCGAGTTTTTTCTACTTTTGGTGACTAATAACCTCAACTTGTTTATGTTGATTGTTTTGAAAAATACATATTTCTGCAAGAATATCACCTGACTATGTGAGATCACTTGAATAAATCAAATCCAATCCTATTTTCGTTTCACTTTACCTCAACTTTAGTCGTCAAGAAATTGACACAATGCCAACATTTTACTCCAATCAAGCCCATGTCCTCTCTCGTCAAGTTGGTGATAACCAAGTCTGCTCTCGATTCGGAAATCACCTCTTCGTAGTTGTGACGGATTTTCGCGTACGCCCATTCAAAATAGGGTCTGGAAAAGGAAGAAGAATATGTACTCTGTCTGTTTTGGCATTGAAATCATCTCCTAATCTTATCATGTCATCCGAAGGATTATCTCTGCTTTTTTCCTCAGTTTATCTCCTCAGTTCATGATCGAAAATTAGATTTTTTTTTGTCGACAAAAAGGGTTTTCAGATTTTTAAATAAGTACAGTTGTCCTTTCACACCAAAACATAATTTGTAGTAGTCTTCAGCTGTGATAAGCAGTTATCATCAAAAAGGAGCTGTATCATTAAACCTGTTTAGATTTAATAGAAGTTGTGGATTTCCTAATTATGTGTAGTACCCATTTTGTTATTCAGCTGCTCGGAAGGAACCGGGTTCCTATTAGAAAAAAAACGTCACGTCAAACGAACAGGGGGAGAAAATAAGAAAAAACGCACATGCATCTCGTGTTGTGTTCAGTTTTTTTTTTCACTTCAAGTCAACTGAAAATTCTTCTCTCACAGACAAAACTTAGAAATTCAGATCATAATTTTTTTGGGGTCCCTACATAAATAATAACTCGGAGGTTTCTTCACCGCTCTATGTTCAATAACAAGAAAAGTATTGAGATCAAATTTTCTTAGTTCTTGGGGGAATGAAGTAACTCAATTGAACACCCACAGCAAACTAGTACTCAAATTCGAATGAAAGCAAAATTTTCGTGTTTTCTGACCTAACAATTAGAGTTAGGAAAATGTTGAGTTTTCTGAGAACAAGCTGGTTCCTAACAAATCACTTCTTTCAAAGAGATCCTTTTGATCTTTGTACAGTGATTATCAAAGAATTTTGAGAGACGATAAAAGAAAAAAGTTCACCAGGTGAATTTAATTCAAATTATTTATTGGAATAAATATTAATCTACATACTACATACACCCATACACCCCACTGGACTCACTTTTCAATGGTTCTATTTATATACTGATCCTTCAAATCCACACGGATTGTGACATTCTCTCCGCCGTTGCCCACGATCATGGAATCATTAATGCTTATCCGTCCCGTGTCGCAATCCGGAAGACACTTCCTCAACGAAAGTGGCTCTTTTAGCTTTTCAAAGATTTCCGTCCTCATCCATTGATTCTGACACGAGCACTCGATGGGGCAATGAGTCAGGTCCACGTATTTGAGAGTTTCTGTGTAGACACTTTGCCAGGCGAGCGTAGTCAGATTACATCGTGTGAAATGGATGTAACGAATATGGGGAAACATATCGGCAAACTCCCAAGGGAAGTTGTCGATTGGGCAATCAAAGGTGACATTAGTTACAGTGTGCCAGGGTCCGAACTCAACTATCTCGTCTAAACGACTCAAATTCTCACAGTCACTGATGATTAGAGCTTTTGAAGAGCCATTGAACGATTTCAGAGAATCACATCGTACAGTATCCTTTGCGATTTTGGAGCATTGTGGGATCGACAGTGATCCAGGTGAGTAGGTTAGGATGAGAAGGGTGAGAAGAATTCGAAGAACCATCTGAATATAAAGAATGGGTGAAAGGAATGATGAATGGATGCATAGAGTAATACGTCAGTCGATTAGAAGAGAGAAAAGAGATATAGAACTTTGTTGAGAAATAGAAAACTTAAAGAGTTCTATATTTGAGTATCGGCAATCAGAGAAAGACTGAAAACAAGCAAAATCAGATAAACAGAATATAAGGAAAGCGGATAAATATACGCCGTCTTGTTTTTTTTTCTGACCTGCACCATTATCCCTGGAATCCCAACAGATACAATGCCTTGTTATGTGAGGTGTTCGTTTCAAAATTATTATTTTAGCCCTGGAATCAAATCGATCGATTTTTCGACACCAAACTCAACCTGAAAGTGTTTAAAGCTCTTTTTCGCTTAATTATACGTTCAATTTTGTGTTGAAATGCTGTGATAGTGGTTATTGAAAGTAAACATGAAGCGAAAGCGTATGATGAAATTAATTTTAAATTCTAAAAGATCAGATGTTTTGTAAAAGGGTTGAACTGATTTTTTGATGTGTCGTTTTCAACGGAAAGTGTTAAAATGTTGAAGCAAAAATCGGAAAAAAATTGGGAAAAGTTCTGAAAGAGAAGGAGAAAAAGAGCCACTGAAAAAGAGAGAGAATGTTAGAAAAACAAGAAAGGTTGACAGTGGACACGGAGGGACGGCCGGCAAAAAAAAGTGTTTAGTATGTATGCCTATCTTGAAGAAAGTGAAAGAAATGAGAAATAGGATAGAGAAAAAAAGCAGCAAAAATAGAACGAGAGAGAAAGCCCAGGAGGGAGCCCACTTTGTCTTGAAAAGGGAGAAAAGTGGGAGGGACCGTAGAGAGAGGCGGAGACCCCGTGGCTAGGTGCTCGCGCAGCCGCGTCGGCACCAGCGCTGAGAGATCACAGGAAGCCAGGCCTGGCTTGGGGGCTAGTGGGGGCTAAAAAACAAAAAAATAGCTGAAAACCGGAGAAACCGGGAGGATGAGAGTAAAAAAAAGTGACTGGAAAACAACACGGTGCGCAGACGATGTGACGACGAACAACATTCATCATGTAGAGAACGGGGGCAGAATAAGTGAGAGAATGTGTTCGTTCTGGCTCACACAGCGTCTGCGGCTCTTCTGAGTTTCCTCTCGTACGATATTATGCAATTCTGTTTTTGTGCCTGCCCCCCCCCCCCCCCCCCCTAGATGATTCTATCTTGTTTTTCCTTTTTCTCTTTCATAATTCACATGTTCGCCCAGTGCTCCTCGTCTCAATAACTATAATTCCAGTAGATCCGTCTCCACATTCCTGATACAATATTTGTAAAAATAATAAAAAACGATAACTTTTAATTAACAACGACAAGAACAAGTCTTCCTGATCCTGGTAGGACAGGGGGGGAGTACGATAAGAAAAAAAACGGAGCGGAAAAAAAAAGAGAAAAAGGAGTGTAGACAGCTTTCGGCTTCGTTGGGTTATTGGATGGAAATGAGGGAATGAGAGAAGAAAAAGAAGGGAAAAAAGTTTGCAAGAAAATGAAATAAGAAGGGCTTTACTCTCGTTTTTCTGACAAGTTTCTGCGCTCATCCTCTCATAGTTAAACAACTCGACAAAACTGGAGAAAATGAGATGTAGTTCGAAAGGATGTCACACCGAAAAAATAGGTGCATCGAGAAATGTTGGAAGGGAATGCAATTTTGGGTTTGAGAATGGGATGAAGTTCGAATTTATAGAAAATGGCACACTGACATGCATCAACAACGGTGTTAGTTTGATGCAAGAAAACTGAAAATATTCAGTGTTCACACATCTGCTTATGAACACGAAAGACATCTCGCTTAGGACAAAGCTTGAAATGCGAAAAACAAAACTACCAATGTACTTTTCGTGTCTAGTTTTGGACAACAGTGGACATGCAGACAGCAAAATGGGCTGAAAATGAGAATCATTGTATTCTGTGACGTTTTGTGTAAAACCATATTAAAAGTGAGTGTGGAAGTATGGTCATTAGGAAATTGCTAACGACTTCACCTGTCTGTGAATCACAAAACTTTTGGTAGGAAAATGTTTTGAACAGTTTGAACTTTGTCCGCCACCAGGCGCCTGTTACCGTACCGGTCAATAAGATATACAGAAATTTATTTTCTAGTTGATTTTGACCATTTTCAAGAGTCTGGAGCACAACTGTCTAGCTTTCGATCATTTTGAAAAAAACTTAGTTTGGAAAATTTGCATTCACAGAATTAAAAAAAATGATAGTTTTTCAGCTATGTGCCTGTTTTTGAAGGCACTCATTTTTGTCTCGTTTTCGTACTGAAAATGGGAAAAAAAAGCATGTGTCCTTGAGAAATTGAAATATAACTTAAAATCTTGGAAATTTCAAAAAGTTATGTGAATTTACATTTTTCAATTTAAGTCTGTTTTACACCTTCCAAAGTTTTCAAAGTTATCGAAAACTTGACAGCTGAGCTGCAGGCTTCGCAAAATGGTTAGAAAAGCACAAAAAATCAACTGAAAATCAAATGAAAATCAAATAAAAAATACGTTTTCGTGTATCTTAATGGTCGATACAAACAAACGAAAACTAAAAACTTCGAAAAGTGTCGAGTCAAAAAAAAACTAAAAATGTAAAAGGTGAAATAGTGTTAAAAGCAGTGAAATTTAAACGCTAGAAGAACTCTCTTTTTTTTTGCCTTATGCTAGAACAAGAAAAAACAATGACCCAACTGCAAAAGATATGAATGTTTGCGAATATCTAGTAAAGAGAGCTTGATTCGGCGAAACTTAATCAAAGAAAAAGCACCAGGAGGTCTGATGAAATGAAAAACGAATAAGAGTGATGGAAGAGAAAAAAATCAAAAAGCATGTGGGAAAGAGTCAGAGTCAGGACTTGGCAGAAATGAAATTTTGGGGTTTGAGGTTTCTATCCTACTAAGCTTAGCAATCAAGTTATTTGTTCCATTAGTGCAAAATTAGTACAAAGCATGTGTATGTGTGGGAACAACACACATAAAATATTTTCTACTAAAAGACAGTTCTACTTGAAGTTCTTCGATACAGTATCCTTTTCTCTACTCAAGGAACGAGTAACACATAAGAAAACTATTTGGGAACAACTTTCTATCCCGATCCTTCCGTTCAAACCACCAACCAAAAAACCTGTTATTTCAGGAGAACAGTATGTGAGAAGATGGACAATTGACATGAGGAACTGCTGAATTATGGCATAATTGCTGTTCTATTTCTAAAATGACCTTGAATATTGAAAGTTGCGAGTTGTTTTAATTACAGGCGTGAACTCTGATTGGAACAAACTTCAAAATAATTATTATGGGAAGAAATTACCGTATTTCCTCTAATAGAAGCCCACCTCTATTTGTAGCCCACTCTGCCTGTTCATTTTTCTTTTCGGTTAGTGCAGACACACTCTTTTTTTCTGTTAATTCCGGTTAGTTCTTGTCGTTGTATAACTATTTGAGTCCAGTTAAAAACCGAAAACCCTATAATTTGAGCGTTTTTTCGAAAATTAGTCTACCTCCAGATGGAGGTTGAAAAATAGAAGCCCATGGGCCTCTATTAGAGGAAATACGGTATACCTGTTCTGCTGAACCCATTCTTAAATAACCAAGTTTCGGTGTAATCCTTATCAGATCACATTTGTTTTGCCAAAGCTCAGAAATCTGGTTTATGTGTATTCAGAAGAACACATTTCAGAATAACTGAGTGCTTACAGTAGACAAGGAAAAAATATTACCCATATTAATTCTTATCTAAACATAACAAGTGGGTATTTAGAAACAACAATACAGGAGGGAGACAACATTGTTGTAGAAGAGCTTCCTCCTAGCATTATACTCCCCAACGGACGTCCACCAATCCCACTTCATTACCACATTTGATGAGAGACATGTAGTAAGGAAATGAGGTCAAGAATTGAAGACAGAAGAAGCTTCGCTGTCTTTTCTGTGTTTTTGTGTCCATCTTTTTTGTCGTGCAATTTTGAAAAAAGAGAAGAAGAAAAAAAAGAAGAGTCATCTCATAAGGTACTTTAGAGTAGCTGTATTCGAGTAGAAGTGGATCGTTGTTTCTTTCATGCATGAGTTGGTTGTGTTTTGGACTAATGAAGCTTCAAGTGCAGTTTTTATGAGTAGCCTTTTTCCTCTCCGGATCATCAACATTTAGTCAGAACATCTTTAAAAACTGGACTGAACTAAAGTAAAGGCAATGAAGGTTACTATGGGAAATTCCAGACAGACATTACTTGATGAGACTAATTTTGACGGGAAGGGAAGTGGAATACTGAATACTCAAGAATTGAATGAAATCAATTTTAGTAAGAGCAGCAAAAATCTCGGGGTACAGTTCGGGGGACAAAATCGCGCCGCGCTTATGTAGACCATCGGTCGTCGGGCGCCTTCGCGCCTCCGTAGCTCAGCCGGTAGCGGCGCTGTACCCCTGAGCTGCCTGTCATGAGTTCAACCCCTCATGTGGGTTCTCTATGCAAAATATCAGGGAAACTTTTTTTGGTGTCTGGCCTCCATTAAATAGTTTTATTTGGGTAGAAGAGCTATAAGAGAAGTTTCAGTGTATAAATCCTATCATATTTCTCGAATAGAAGCCCATCCGAACTGCCAAATTTCAGCTTAATTATCTTGTTTCATGTGGAGGATATTATAAAATTGTCAGCTAATAAAATATTCGTGAAATTATCATGAATAGCTGTTCCATTAGATGAAATACGGTATGCACACAACCCAACACACAAAAAGGTATACTGTAAAATCCAATTTTCTTCGAAAAGGGTACGAACTTGATTAATACCCATTACAAAAGTCAATCGTTCCTACTCACACCTCCAACACGTTTCGTTGATTAAATTTTGTTTATCCAGATTGGATATCAATACTTTGTTGGAAACATTGGTGCTGATTCAAAGGGGGTAGGGAAACAAATTGCAAAATGTAGGTGTGAGAATAAAGCGGATTTCGGAAGGGATGTGAACATAGAAATATTACGCTTCTGCGGTGCAAAAAATCTTGCTGGTGCGCATGTGACGCAACTTCGTCGCTCTGTTCCTGACACTAATTCGAAAAATCCTTTTTACTCTGAAAATTGAGGTAGACAGTTTTTGAATTGACATTAATTGAGAGTGAGAAGCAACCTCTTTTTTTTACATTTCAGATATTCAATAAATGGAATTAGCGCAAAAATCATTCAACTGAAGACAGATAGTCGTCCCATTAGAAGATATTTCGCGATCCTAATTCACGACATTCTAGACGCTCAGCAATAAACAGAAAAATGGTAGCAACAACGATAGACAAAAAAGGCATTAGCGCAACTGAATTTTTTGATCAACTGAAACACCTAGTTAAAAAAGACAAGATTCGCTTATCCAAACTAAGGCACTACGTTTTTGCCTAACGCAATCTGAGTCTGATTGATCACTGAATAAATTGCGCTCCTAATGTGTAAATGAATTGATTCCGTGGTCTTAATTCTTGTAGCAGGAAACAATTTTTTAATGTGGTGTCTTGTATTTTCAGTTTATTGGCGTTTGTTTTTGTGCCTTCTGATCAGTTTCGTATTGTATTCTAATACCCTGTATTATTCTTTTTCCCACGACGTAAGACCGTAATAAACAGTTGCAATTACAATTAAAATTACATTTCAGACCTCCCAAGCCCAAAAATTTAATGGCATATCGAATATGTTTTGACTTATTTTTCCTTTTGGAAACGGATGACACACAAGAACAAAAAAAGGAAAGAGTCTACTTATTCATGTATGTATTATGAGACTGATGATGAAAATGGTTAACGAAAAGTAATTCAGAAGTGATAATGTGCAGTATTGTACGGGTTAGTGAGAATTCATACAACTACAAGTTTCACACCAGCTCTCTTTATACAGCATTTTGGATAATGGTGTATTTAGACATGCATAATGTAATTTTTCTCCATATTTTCCACCTTTTTTCCCATCTCTGACAGTTATTTTTCATCTCAACCAAGAAAAAAACAGGTTTTTTAATTTTAAATTCAGATGAAAAATTGATTTTACTGATGTTATTGAACAATCCAATTGATTTGGCCTAAACGTTTCTGTACGAAAATTCACTAAATTTAATTTTAGGCACATTACCAAATCTTGGTAGACTCGTATTTCACAATCTTCATAAATTTCGTGCGTAAGATATTGTGGTGTTCTTCACAGAATTGTATAACTCGCCCTCTATACCAATCAATATATCAAGAAATTGTGAGCATTGTGAAGATCAGGGCGTTTCTCATTCTGATGGTATATACATTGAGTAAAAGAATGTACCTTTCTCCTGTGCACTTAACAATTTGGCACACCGCAACCATATTCTCCACATTTCTCTTATTTTCTAGTTAATCTTCTCCATTTCTCTCTTGACGCTTGATACAAAAATTCTGTAAATATATGAACTTCTAGAGAATAGTTTCTTCCTTCTTTTTTGACGTGTTAGATTCTTATCCGCTTCTTCCCTTCGTGAGACATTTAATGTCTAAACAATTCATATTTTAAATTTCCCGTCGCAACTAATGGAAACACGCTCGGTTGTGGCTGCGCCAAACAACAAGCGCAAATCTGTGAATTTCTTTTTGCTTGGCCCGCAAATCATGATATATGTCTTGGCGAAGAACAGCGACTGTTAATTTCTACATTCTCTCCATTAGGATTTTGTTTCAGAGTATTTGCTCACTTTTCTTTGTTACCCTTGCTTTCTTTCGTAGTTTTAGGCATTTTATAGATCTAGGAATTTTTTGAATCTTCTGTCTTCAATAGTTGCTAGACACTTTTCTTCGCGCTTTTGTCCTTGTGTTCGTCGGAAATTTATTCCTGTTCGTCTTTCTCTTTCTCTCCGTTTCTTTGATTCACACATTCTCCTTTTCGCTGCGTCTCTTCTGAATAACATGTCTCTGACCATGGTCCTCTTTCATCATGAACGTCTCCAGATGTTCTGTGCCAGTCTCCGTTAGACACAGCATCCCAAGTATGTCTAGTCTTTCTGCAATTCTCATTACCATACTTTCTCATTTTTAACAATTGTCTCTTTTCTGTTCTGCTAGAGATCAATGAAAATAATATCTGCGATTTGAAAAATGCATTCAAATCTTCTTTGATGTCATCTTGAAATAATTTTTCAGTCTTCACATAGTTTCTTTAAACAAGATCGCATTGAAAAGATCTAAAAATCCTATAAAAATTTTGCTCATTTCATTTTATAAATTAAACTTCACTTTTTTTCAGATGTTCTTCTACTTGGTTCTCCTCTGTCTTCGTCATGTCGTCTTCATCCAAAAAGAAAGTTGCCCCGAGAGGTATTCTAACTGTGAGTTTTTTCAAAAGATTATGAGAATTGTGGAACAAAACTCAAGGTACAACACTTTCTATTTTTTCAGCAAGAGCTACTGATAGTCTCGAGGCGATTTTTGAGGAGTTTCAATTCCTTAACGATGCTCGCATGGATTTCATCAGAAACAATATTGGCCATTGCTTCAAACGGTGAGTTTCTCTGAATCAAGTGAATTTGAAAAATCATAAAACTACAGATTTCGGAGTGGTTCAAGAATCGCAGAGCTCAGGAAATTGTCCTAAACGAGAGACCCGGTGCCGATAGGGTTCTCCCAAGTGAAATGGCACTGCTCCACATGACCTACGAAAGAGTCCCTGACGTGAACAAGATGAATTTCACTGTCTGGGCGACTGTCCATGAGATAACCGAAGCAGATGTGAGTTGAAAGAGAGAATTCTGAAAATGAATTTCAGGTCAGACTATACTTCCGCGAAAGAGATGAGAGAGAGGCTGCATTGATTGCAGCTCAAGACCGAGCTCCAGCAGCTTCATCTGGTATGTTCTAAATTTGAGAAACGAAATTTGAAAAAAAAAATCCTCCAAAAATCCAAAAAGTTTAATTTTGCTTTTTCAGCATCCGCATCCGGCTCAGGAGACGAAAGTTGCCAACGCGATTGATTCTTCTACTTCTGAAGACAAGTTGTTATGTTCCGTGTTGTTGTGTTAATGCTTTGTTGTTGACTTTAAATTTGTTGAATTAATTTTTTTTAAGTTCATTCGTTTTTTTAAGAAAAACTGTAGTAACCCAGTTCAGCCAGAATCATTAGATCTACTCAAAAACAATAATGTTTACATCAACAACTGACAAATCCAAAAATTCAAACTTCTTAATCACATCATCATTCAATTCGATCCATTCATCCTCCTCAGATTTGAACCAAGCCATATAATGTCCTCTGGTGGGATTCTCTCCAATTCATTCCGCCAACTATCGAATTCTCCACATGGAACCGAACATGGCAATTTCCGAATCTCCATCGTGGTCTTAGATCGGTGTCGCAGCGAATACCATAACGAGGTACAGGCTTTGAGTGCCGAGATTCCTCCTTTTCCACACTTCACCAGCTCCACAACTTCGGCATGGTGCTGAGCTCTTCTTTGGGGTGGCAAACGTTTTTTGAAGGTTCCTCTGGAGTTGTCCGTCTCGAATCAACAGATATGTAGAGAATTGATGAGTCTCCTTTTCTCTTGAGTTCTGGTAGCATCCTTGGCAAGTCTTCTGGACGTGGGACACAGTCACTTCAAGGTTCTGAAAAAAAAGGACGAGGTTCTGAAAATGAGAATGTTTGAAATTAACTAAAAAGTCTATGCATTGGCTATGTTCTAGACCAAAACAATTCCCTAACACCACTGAAGCGTCGGTGTTTTGCTTCCGAGCTATACCAATGCAATATTCTTTGAGCTCAATTATCTCAATATCTGTCAAAGCTATCAAAAATATTTAAATTACCAAAATGTTGTTGATATTATGTAGAACATTTGATTAGTAGACTAATTCTTGATATCTTTCATAAGAACCGAGATAATTGAGTTCAAATTGCGCGTCATTAAGATGCGAAGCGGCTCCCGAATGAGTATTCTGAACAAAGTAAAAAATTCTATAACAAACTTTTGAAAACACAGATAAATTTGGACATGTCCGAAACTCTGAGACCTCACGTTTCGACGCAATTTTACGTAGGGCCAAAAAATTTACCATTGCCTAAATACTGGTTATTGTGAGACTATTCTAACAATTCTCATTCAAATATGTGGGTAATTTTTCTCGAAAATTTTATAGCGAGGTCTTAAATTGAAAGCTGAAGCTACTTTCTCTATTTAGCTGAAGGGTACTTTCTTTGTGACGCACACTGAAATTGCACTTTGAATTCAGTCATCTCGGCTCCTGTTAAGCGTATTAAAATGTTGTCAACTGATGAAATGTTTGTAGTTATACAACCAACATTTTACCTGTTGAAAAAATGTTGATATCTCTTATAGGATTCTAGTTAAGCTGGGAGGCGTGGAGCAGTGTTCGCAATGGGACCCGCTTCCCGGATGAATTTTTATGAGCTCAATTATCTCGGCTTCTATAGTTTATATAAAAATTTTGCTACATATCGAAATGTTGCTCATATTATGACAAACATTTTACTAGTTTACAACATTTTGATATCTCTTACAGTAACCAAGATAATTGAGCGGGCTCTTGCTAATTATAGAGAGGAAACTTACGTTAACTTTACAATGGATACAGTTCGAATATTAAGGAAATCAGAAAAATCAATAATAATAGACCTCATATGCAGTTAGAAGTCATAGAAATGCGTACATTAAAATAAAAATGAATTGATGTTCGAATCTACACCGCATGACTAATATCAACAGAGACGGTGAGACGCAGGAAATTTTTGAGCGTATTTGCTATGACTAGATGATGTCATTTACATGAAAAGACTGCTAATTTGAATATTAAAAAATTTCCAGAATGAAATTGCGTTTGCGTCCTGCGCACTGTCTTTTTTTTCGGTACACTTTTTCAACGGCGTTGCTTGAAGATTTGAGATTTTTCTGATTTTTTTTTGCAATAATATTTAAAAAACAAAAAAAACAGAACTTTTGAAACACATTTATGCAATTTTAAATACTCTTGAAATCAAATAAATGTGATTTTTGAAATATTATATACGCATTCATTCATTCATCAAAAAAGAAAGGAAACAAGATCAATCGATCCATGAAAAACTAATCATTGTATGGTAGCCAGTTGTTGGTTGCGCTGAAATTCTCAATTTTTTGAAAAATCAAAAACTCTGATAATGAAATCTTACAATGGACTGTAAATTCGAATTTGGAGATTCTGCACATCTTGGCCCATATAATTGTAATTCAGTGTCATCTTGTAATCGAGATTCAAAAACCAAAACGATTGAGCTATATAGTTTCCGTCGTCCTGTGAAATCATAAATTTTCGAATGGAATGATTTTTAAAAATTACCCATAAATCAGAAGAACCGTCTTGATAGCCTTTGAAATTTCCGGAATCTCCAGGATTGACAAAATGCAAATTGAAGTTTCGGAACGAGTTGTCAGGAACTGAAAGAATGAAGTGCAAGAGTTTGAGAATATCAAAAATATATGAAACAATTTTGACTGAAAACAATATTTGACCTACCATGATCCTGATAAGTGAGTGCAATCAAATATGCACCGGTTATGGAAGGATAAAAATCTGGAAGAGTTTTCTTCCCTTTTCCAGATACTTGAATAGTTGTGGCATAAACCGGATAAAGAGTGCCAGAGATTGGAAACCATCCAATGGCCTGGAAAATGAAATTTCTTGCAGGTAATTCTTTCAGTTTTTTTTAATATTGAATGTAAAAATCATGCCTTTCAGATAGTATTACTAAATTTAAGCAACAAGACAAAAATAGACAACTTTATAGCTCTGTTGCTTTTCTAGTTTTGCAATTTTTATGTTGAATCATTTTGAAACTATCACTGAAGGTTTCAATACTCATCTTCGTTCTGATTAAATTTTTCTATTGCATTATTATGTTTGAATATTCAATTTTTCCTAATATTGTTGCGTTATTTTTTTCAATTTTTGACAAACACTCACATCCCAAAAATTCTCATCAGGTTCGAAGGCTCCCATCCCATTGGTCTTGGTTGTTACGGAATACATCGCTTGTGATTGGGATCCTCCAGACGGAGTTGACGATGTTATAACATGAACAATTGCATGGTGTGAACGGATTATAGAGACTAATCGGGAGCTATCTGCTTCATTGGGATAGCGTTTCAGTAGTATAAGGATGATAGACCCACAAACTGGTGCTTGAGTGTTGGAGAAGAATTTCTGGAAAAGCTTATGTATTCAACTGGAAGAAAGATATCACCTCTATAGCATCGAATACATTACTTCCAATGCTGGAATTCTGAAATCCTTGGTTTGAATTCGGTAAATTTTTTGCAATGGTTGAGTTGACATTACTGAAATGGACGTTTTCATTTTTCAAAAAATTTAGAAACTCAAAAATTGGGAGTTCCAAAAAGATTGAATTCCCGCAAGTAACAGCATACCGAATATTTGTATGAAACTGAATATCCAGATTATCGGTATCAAATCTAACACTTCCGTAAAAAGAATTAAAAGTTGGCGAAGTTGAAAATATTTTCCATGTATCCAAAACTGTTTTCGACGAAAAATCGTTAGAATATGCAAATAGAAAAGTTTGTGGCTCTGTTGTAGGACTGCAAGAGGTGGCGTCTAAAAAAAAGTATTTACAAAATTTTAAAATTTTAACATCTGAAAAATATTTTTGATTAGGATTAGGCTTTTGGGCTTTGTGTGACTGGTTCTAAAAGATCTGAATTTTAAGTTTTAGGAGTTTGTGGGGTGAGAATAGTAGAATAAGTGATGTCTACAATATTATGTCACTTTTTTTATTTTAGAATTTCTTATCAGTTGGTCATGCGATTGAAAAATTTAATCACATTTTTTTGTCTAGTTTAAAGTCTAGTTTAATAGTTTTTTCTCAAAATTTTGAAAGCAAATATTGGAGAAAGCCATACTTGTGACGGGCCGGACTTTTTCCCGATTTTCGAAGGCGCAAACGGCAAATATTCGAAATCTACAATTAGCCTGCTGCGAGAGCAATAATTGGCATATGCCTTTCCGAATTTGTAAGCTAGCCTCTGCTTAAAAAAATTTATTACACATTAAAAAACATTGAAAAACAAAAAAAAGTTTACTGAGAGTTGTGTTAATAAATTTGGTATAGTTCTCCTCTTCCACAAATCGATTCAAATTCCATCACGAAGCGAAAACTGAAAACTAGAAAATTATAGAAATTCGATACTTGGTCGTCGCCTGCTTTTTGATGGATGTTTGGAATTCTTATCCCATACTCCAAATACAATTTCTCGTAGAATCATCAAGTTTTCATCTCGTACCATTAATCCAATGCTGGAATAGGATTTAATTGTATGAGAAAATTGTGAGGAAATCACTTTTATGAACTGATTGAAAAGTTCATCAGTAACCCCAACTGAATCGAATAACAGTTGCGAGTTTCAAATTCAAAAATTGTTCCTCGGTGTAGTACACTTGCCCACTTACTCGGAGTTGTTCTGCATTTTGAAACTGAAACGTTAAATTGCAAAGCTGACTAGTTTAGGAAAGTTCACCTGTTGACGATTTTCGAAAAGTTTCTGGGAAAATTATTTACAATCATTCATTTTCGAATTCCCGATTGTCCACGTTTGCCATTATTTCAAGAGCAATTTGAATGATTATAGAGTTCTCTGAAATCTTTGATTTCAATTTCAAATACAAAACTCATTCAACAAACCCACTTTTTGCTAAATAAAATCAGCTAAATGAAATCAGTTTCCAAAACCCAGAGCATCGTGGATAGAAATATTCTGAGAAAAAATTACAATTTTAGAGTTACCTAGAAAAAAACTGGGAAAGATATCAAAAAACGGTCAACGCCATTCGATTCACAATCAAAAATAACTTCACATTGTTAACAATTTTCTTGGCTGCGTACCATAAGAAAAACCAATTTGCAAGCGGTCAATATCTATTCGACACTTTGGAAAATAAAAAAATTGTGTTTTTTAGAGAGCGAAATTGAACTTTTTTGTTGGAAGCTGTTAAAACAGTCCTAAACCATTTCCGCTTATCTAACTCTGCCCGTCGCCCCATGACTTTAATTTGCCTCAATCCCCATATCAATGATTTTTTTGCATCCACCATCCCATTTTGGAATGCCATAACTGCCAATGTACCCCACTTCCTCACCCCGTCCCAATTGGAAAATCTCCTTGATTCTTCTATTTCTCGCTACTAGCTATTATCCTTATTTTTAACACATGTATTTTACTGTATATAATTCCTCCTTTTTCCATTATTTTTCTCTTTTTAACTTATTAGGCGCTCCTCGTGAGGGGAGCTGCCTTTTTCTTATGTACCGCTCTGAAAATAAATAAATCTAACATGGAATGACTCCCAAGTGTTACCCTTGAAAAAAATTGAGACCTATATGGTTGGAAAGAGTGTAAAAAGTTATTTTAGAATCGAGAAGAAATAGTTGATAAACATTTTTTAGCACATTTGATTTACTATAGAAACATATCAATACCCGGGGGAAATCATGCTCACACAAGTTATGCCAAAAAATGTCGATTTTTGGCACTTGGTTGCTTTGAATTCGTTGTCCTCGGCGGCCGGTATGACTATGGCCATACTTCTTTTTGTGATTTTTACATGCATATAGTTAGTTTGAAGTCTTTAAAATATTATTCTGCAACATAGAAAGTCAATTATTCGAATGCCGTAATATGTCTTAAAATTGCAACTTTGAAAAAATCAAAATTTTGACATGTAATAGGGCATATCTATGGTCAAACTTGATGAAAACAGCCAAACTCTTTTTTTAACATGATCAGAAAAACCTAATTCTATCAACGACTTGATTAGAATTTTGAGTTAGGCCCTGAAAATGAAAATATTTACCATTTTCCGAGCCTGACCCTTTCTTTGGTAAATTTTGACAAGGGTACATCTATAAGCTATAGTTGAACTCGATGGAAACGGCCAAACTTTTGATTCATTTTCTTATATTTTTATTTCATGGTATTAAATGTTATACATGTAATTGAATGACAAAAATCGGAGCACAGTTATTAATTTACTAATGTTTTAAGCATAACTGTAACCTTAAAGGCATACTTGTGGAAAAGATGGCCGGCCCGCGGGCCGGACCGGGCCGGATAAAATTACACATGGCCAGCCCGCGGGCCGACCCGCTTTTTGAAAATTTCGAAATTTTAGAGCAAATCATCATTTTTCAAGATGGCTTTTCTCCTTAATAAATAAAAATAAACACTAGAGGACGATTCTGTCAAAAAAAAAACTGTTTTGATGTCGTTTTTAGAAAAAAAATTTCATCCTTGGCTTAATGAAGTTGGATTTTTTTGCTAAAAATTCAATTGAATTGATTTTTTCGGATGGTTGTAGGCATTTGAATTAATATTTGTGCTATTAAAAATATATTGGCACATTTGAAAAGTAACATTTTTGAAAAGTTGTCCTAGGCGAACCGAGCGGGACGGGCCTGCCCGGCCATCCACATGTATGTTTAAAAGAAGGCTCTCTGCTGGAATCCGAGGCTCGTAAATGAACAGAGGCCCATAATAATTGGAGGCCCATAAAGAAATAAGTGGTCCAAAAAAATAGGAGTTACAATAAACTTAAAAACAAAACGTAATAAATATAAAAAACAAATGTAAGACAATAATGAATTTGAAACCGGAAAATAATTAATTGCAACTTCATTTTTTTGCACTTCCAATAAAGCCTAACTCAAAATTCTAATCAAGTCGTTGATAGAATTAGGTTTTTTTGATCATGTTAAAAAAAGAGTTTGGCTGTTTTCATCAAGTTTGACCATAGATATGCCGTATTACATGACAAAATTTTGATTTTTTCAAAGTTGCAATTTTAAGACATATTACGGCATTCGAATAATTGACTTTTTATGTTGCAGAATAATATTTTAAAGACTTCAAACTAACTATATGCATGTAAAAATCACAAAAAGAAGTATGGCCATAGTCATACCGGCCGCCGAGGACAACGAATTCAAAGCAACCAAATGCCAAAAATCAACATTTTTTGGCATAACTTATGTGAGCATGATTTCACCCGGGTATTGATATGTTTCTATAGTAAATCAAATGTGCTGAATTCAATGGTCATAATAAGAAAAAAAGTTAACTTGGGATTTTAGAGATATTGAAAAATTTTTCGGTTTTTTTGAAAAAATCAATAATCCAATCAATGAGAAAAAAATCAAAAAAATTTTTTTTCAAAAGATCAGTAAATTGTCTATTCATCGCTTTTTAAATCTAAACAAACAAACAAAAACAGACAAAGTTATGATTTTTTAAAAATATAGCCATTTTTTGGTACGTTTCGGGCCATAACTCCCCAAAAAAAATTTTATCAACTATTCCTTCTGGATTCTAAAATAACTTTTTAGGCTCTTCCCAACCATATAGGTCTCAATTTTTTTCAAGGGTAACACTTGGGAGTCATTCCATGTAAATCTAAAAACAACATGTTTTCACAGTTTTTACAAAAATTGATTCGTCCAATCAAATTTCAGAAAAAATTATTTTCAGATATTTGCATCATTTTTTGGGTTTTTGGAATAAATCTTGAATAACTTGGCTCCTGTGTAAGATTCCGACTTGAAAATGATAGGAAATATTCAAGGAATGATCATGATCAAGATGCCAGCGTTCAAGGCTTTAGCTCTGAAATCTTGAAGTTGAGCTCGAGCTTTGAACTGAAAAAAATATACCCAATTGAAAAATTTTCAAAGCTGTTTTAAATGTTTTAAAAATGTTCTGAGTGGTTAAAATCGCTATCAAAACTGTTACTCTGTACTGAAAAGTGAATTTCAATCGTGAAAGCAAGCTTTTCACAAAAATCAGAATCACCGAATTCAAGGTTCATTTTTCAAACTTTAGTTCAGCTTCAATCACAAACAACGGGTCAGAATAGCATAAAAACTGTCAGTACAGAATTCCAACTACTGCAAAAGTAATTCCTATCATTTTTAGCTTGAAAACTTACCCAGGAGCCAAGTTTAGTTTTTCCAAGAACCCAAAAAATGATGAAAATGTCTGAAAATAATTTTTTTCCGAAACTTGATTGGAGGAATCAATTTTTTGTAAAAACTGTCAAAATATATTGTTTTAGGACTGTTTAATAGCTTCCAACAAAAAAAGTTCAATTTTGCTCTCTAAAAAACACGACATTTTTTATTTTCCAAGGTGTCGTATAGGTATTGACCGCTTGCAAATTGGTTTTTCGGATGGTGCGAGGCCAAGAAAATTGGTAACAATGTGAAACTTTGATTCCTGGGGTTATTTTTGATTATTATTCGAATGGAGTTAACCGTGTTTTGATATCTTTACCAGTTTTTCCTGTGCGCCCAAAAAATGTTGTATAGGTATTGACCGCACTGTACCTATTAGAAACACTGTCAGGTTTATGCTAATAATAAAGTAAATACTTACGCGAATTTTAACAAGGAATCAGTTCGAATTATGAGTAAAATCAGAAAAATCAACAAAAAAAAAGACCTCATATGCGGTTAGAAGTCATTGCAACGCAAACATTTGGATAAAAATGAGTTTATGTTCGCAGCTGCACCGGATGACTAATATGAATAGAGACGGTGAGACGCAGAAAATTTTCGTAGGAGCGTGTTTGCTATGACTAGATGATGCCATTTAAAAAATACCGATAACTTGAATATTACGAAATTTCCCAAAATCAAATTGTGTCTGTGTTTTGGTTCATGAAAATGGAAAAGGACGAATAATTACTTCAAAATTTTCGAAAATTCGAAATATTCAGGATCATTGAGTTTTGCACACTTGAGAAGACAATCAACGAAAATTATAGGAGAAAACTCATGTGGTGAAAACAATTATTTTCTTCACAACAAATTTCTGCTTTAAATATATGGTTTCAAAAGTTTTGCATGTGATATAAAATTCGAATAATAATAAAACGTTCTTTTATTTTAAAAAATTTCAAAAGTTTATGAAAGAAATAATTAAAAACTTATTTTTTGTCTCTATTATCCACATTGGTCATTGCTTCTCGGTTGTCCACATTGGCCATCTTCTAAAAGCAATTTGAATTATGATGGAGTTGTCTGAAAACTTTGATTCCAATTTCAAATACAAAACTCATTCAACAGAACTCACATGCTCTTTTTTGATTGTCAAAGTAGATCTGTTTCCGACAGCCAAGGCAATATTGGTAGTAGAATATACTGGAAAAAAAGATGAAGGTTTTAAAATTACAATCCTATCAAATGTTTTGTCAAGCTCATGGTAATAATAATGAGAAAACGTACATGAATTTTAACGAGGAAATAATTTGAATATTAGGAAAATCAGAAAAATCAAACAAAATAGACCTCATATGCAGTTAGAAGTCATCGCAATGCGTAAATTTGGATGAAAATGAATTTATGTTCGCATCTAAACTGCATGACTAATACAAATAGAGACGCAGAAAATTTTCGCGCGAGCGTGTTTGCAATAACCATGATGTCATTCAAATAAAAAAACCGGCAATTTGAATATTATGAATTTGGCTGATATGAAATTGGGTCTACCTCCTGCGTCCTGCGCACTTTCTTCTTTTTGGGTGACTGTTTTATTTAGCATATGTATTTGTGGCGTTTGGGACACCTCGACGCGGTCTGTTGCATTTTATGTGTACGTTCTCAAGTTTTAAGTTTGGATCTACTTTCTAGGCGAGCGCGATTTTAATACTTCTGTTTCATTCTAATTACTCCCGAATAAACATATTTATATTTTAACGACCACAGTATAACAGACGCACAAGACACAACAGGAAGAAACGAACAATGACTGTGCAACTCCAGACTAATTCACGTCTACAGTAAGAATCAACAAAACAAAACTCAACATGTCTTTTTATCGTGTTAGGATCAGAAGTCTTGACTCAGAACATCATTGAAAAAAGGTTTCCGATATAGAGGATCTTACGCCGCACCCGCAACGGAGAGAGTTAGGTTACAACTTATTTTGACAAAACAATTTTTACGGTACAGACAGAGTTCAATTTCCAAACTATCGTGAAATTGCTAGCAGGGCTGCTGAAGCTTTTCTCATGAGTATAACGCTTCATCAAGCCTCCCACACATGGTCAGTCATATTATTCAGAGCAATAAACGGAGAAAACGAACTGCACAGCTAGGGTAGATTTTTATTAGAGAAAATACGGTGTGTAACTGAAAAGTTACCTCTATTTTTTGTTTTGTGAAAAAGTGAAAATCAATGAAGTCTATGATGGGATATTTTTTATGATTTTTCGAAGATTCTAAAGACGCATTTAATTTTCTATTTTAGAAGACAAAACTTCAGGGACTTTGGATTATTTCAATGAGTAAAATTTGATAATCTGGCTTTAACTTCAAATAAATTATATATTTTTTCAACCTTTTCTATGTTTTGTTCCGTTTAAATACTTCAATCGTTTTTGAGCTCAGAGAAAATTGAAAAGTGTGAGTTATTAAATAAAATGTCAGTGTTGTTTATTCCTCATGTTTTTCTAAAAATTTTGCTGTCGTGTCAAATTTGACCGAGAGAAATTCGATACTGATAAAATCAACAAAACTGTAAATTTGTTGTATTTTTGTATTCGATTTTACGATTGTCTGCAATTCTCTTGCTTCTGATTTTAAATATTGTGACCATGACCGGATCTGCATATTTTTTCCATTTTCGTGATATTTTTTATGCGATGCGCACAAACTATAACTGAGGAAAAATTATTTTTTTTGCGTCTGTCTCGATAAAAATGCTGATAAGAACTAGGGATTCGCTCCTTGGTCAAATAGTGAAATTTTAAACCCAGTCAGTGTCAAATAGTCATTAAAATACGGAACAAATTCGTTGTTCTAGTTTCTTTTCAATTTGAAAAGTTTTCTCATTCAACTTTTTTTCTTTCAGAAAATGGTAGCACTCATCGTCCCGGTTATTGTGATTGGTGGTTTGGGAGCAATGGTAGGCGTGATTTTTAAATTTTTTAGACGTCGAAGAATACTTCCTCCCAATGGTTTAATCTGAAATCTTTTCAAAAAAAAAAATAATTTTTTCAGAAATTCGTATCAGAACCTCATCAGAATCAATCTATGACGCAGCACTCAGGTCCGCGTATATCTATTTTAGTGTAATTATTTTGTTTTCAGAGATATAATCTTGGCTAACGATTAAAAATCTCAATGGAGACAAGCGATATAATTGTACATATGTGATTGATTTCTGTTTTGTTCTCTTTAAATATTACTTACATTGAAATTGATATTGGTAAAACCATTATAAACAAAAACCATTATATTAACACCGCCGTTGTTTTGGGAAGATATTTAGGCCTTGAATCATTTCAATACGTGAAATTGGTAATAATCTAGCTGTAATATCCTTTGAATTTTTCTTTTTTTTTCAACCTTTGCTCTGTTTTGTTCCCTCTAAATGTTTCAATCATTTTTGATCTCAGAAAAAATTGAAAAGTGTGGGTTATTGAATAAAACGTCGCGGTTGCTTATTCCTCATCTTTTTCTAAAGAATTCGCAATTGTTTCAAATTTGACCGAGAGAAATTCAATACTGATAAAATAAACAAAACTGTGAATTGGTTGAATTGTTGCATTCGTTCTTCCGATCGTCTACTAATCGTTAGGATTTTTTATTATTTTTACCATTAACGGATCTGTAAATTTTTGCTTCATTTTCATGGTATTTTTCATGCAATGTGCATAAACAACATCTGAGGAAAAATGTATTTCTTTGAGTATGCCTCGATAAAAATGCTGATAAGAACTAAAGATGCGCTCCTTGGTAAAATAGTGAAATTTTAAACAGAATCAGTAGAATATTTATAAGATACAGAACGAAAACAGATGTTCTAGTTTCGTTTCAATTTTAAAAAGTTTTCTCATTTGATTGTCTCTTTCAGAAAATGGTAGCACCCATCGTCCCTGTTATTGTGATCATCGGAATCACGTCATGCCGCAGAACTCAGGTTTGGGTTTAATTATTTCAATGTAATTACTTTGTTTTCAGGAACATTTTGAGAGCTGATTAACAACTTTGATCGAGGCAAGCGATATAATTGTTCATATGTAGCGACCACAGCCAAAGGGGCGGAGCCTATTTTTTTTCTCCGCGGGGGGGGGTTGGATTTTTGATTGGTTGAAAATTTGACTCCTTATGTAATCGACTACGTAGAATTCAAATATGTAAATGTTTTTACTGAAATTCTTACAAGAAAGAAGGAAAAAGCAATAAGCACAAATGGGCGGCAGAAAAACGCACAGTAAAAAAGATGAGTGGCTGAAACGCTCAAAATTTTTGTTGTTTCCAATAACTTAAGACTTTAACTAAAAGGAAATCATAATGAAAATCTCAGAAAAGTTAGCCGAAAATAGTACATTTCAGCCAAGCTGGCTGTAAATATTGTGAAAAATTTTAGTGACAACCTATAAAAATTATGTTTTTTATAGATGATACTACTCTCGAACATCACACAAATAAATTTTGAACAGAATTGGATTATCAGAAAGTACTTTATTTTCCGTCACAAAATGACATACTCAATGAAAACATTCGTTTTTCACAATTATATCACGAATGGAAGCTGAAACGCTCGATTTCTTTACATATTCGGATTCTACAAAAAATTTCACATAAAATGATGTTTGTGAGATATTCCAAAAAGTTGGCCGAAAAAAATGCGAAGCACATTTGTATCGAAATCTCCAGAAAATGCATCGAAAAATAATTTTTCCAAAGAGCGCGCGTGTGGCGGTGTTATAATTAAACAATGCGCCCACTCTCGGTGTGCGCGTTTGGTGTACTGGTTAAGCTAGCGGTGTGCTAAGCAAAGACGTGCGGGTTCGATTTCGCTTTTGGACAACTTTTTTTTGAACGTTTTTTTCTCACATAAAAAAGATGTTCTGCATGACATCGGTACTTGAACGATGCATTGTTGAGTATTTCTTCTTCAGAATTTCATTTTTCAACAAAATTTTGGAAATATGCTTATTGGGAAGAGGAGATCATTTTAAAATACAAAGATTTCAAGAAAAAACTGTTTGAAAAAAATGTTGTGGTCCCTATTCATATGTGATGGATTTCTGTTTTGTTCTCTTCAATCATTTCCAATACTTTTTGTCATCGAGGAATACGAAAAGTTTGTGGGTCATTAAATAAAATGCCATGGTTGTTTATTCCTCATCTTTAAAAATTATAACTATTTGACGATTTTTTGAACCAATGTAATTTTTAATTTTTTGTTTTGAAAAAATAAATATTACTTTCATTGAAATTCATATTGGTAAAACCATTATAAAACACCGCCGTTGTTTTGGGAAGATAATTTAAGAATGAGTATGTTAGAAACCGTTTCCAAAGAAGAACAATCTATAACGATTAATCGATTGGAATCACAGTAAAACGGGGACAAACCAAGTATAGGACAGGACAAAATGGTAGAACAAATAAGTTTTCACCAAAAAAATGAGATCTAGTTTTTTTTATGATATGCGTGCGTGTGTCACTATTGAGGATTTTAGGACACTAAACATATACGGCAGTTGGCGAGGAACCGCCTCCGAGTTTTTTGCAAAGCCATCGGAAACGGTATTGTGGTAATACGGTGACAGTGATTATTGGGTTCAGGATCTGGAAATTGAAAAATGTCTTTAAAAAACGGAAATTTGAATTTCTATTGGGAAATGTCAAAAAATAGTTGAAATTCTCACCGCATTGAGAGAAACTAGGTAAAGACAAGTCCACGAAAAGATTATACTTCCGCAACTGATATCTCCTGTTTCCTGGAAATTTTATTTTTGGATTCAAAAATTTCCAAATCATTTTATCTAACCCTTGGCGTCAGTTGACGTTGAATGTTGTAAATTCTGTATGGTAGCAAGGTTCCGACGGTGAAGATAGTGGTCATGAAGATGAAGTAAAAGGTTCGGAGTCGAGTGGCAAGGGCGTGGGAAGAATTTCCATTTTCTGAAACGAAAGGAAAGTGTTATTTCTGGATCAAGGCATAAAAAATTGAGTATCCAAAAAACTAGATCTAGACGAAGACGTACAGCACCTGTCAATAAAATGTACAAAATAAGTAAGTATTTTTTCAATAGATTCTCAGCCATTTTCAGGAGATTACAGCTTGGCCAAAAATTTTGGATATTGGAAAACGAATTGAGATTGAAGACTTTGCGGTCTTCCGGAAATCGTCAAATAGTTGAAAAACTAGCAATTTCAAAAAATTATGTGAATGCAAAGTTTTCAATCTAGGTCATTTCTATATCCTCATTTCTATATCCTCATTTCTATATCCTTTTTATAGTTATTGGAAACTTGACAGCGGAACCTCATTTTTGTTTTGTTCGTTTGTCTGTTTGATCAAAAAAATAATATTTTGTGTGTTTTCCATACTTGTAAAATGATGGCCTGTCTGCCTTCCGAGGCCCGGCCTGTTACACATATGCTCAAAACTACATTTTTGTATACCGTATTGACAGGCACTGTACATATGAAGCATATCTGGGTATCTTGACATTTGCATATTTTCTTATCTGAACATCTGGTTGGCGTATTTTATGAATGTTTCAACATCGAGATACCAACACATTGCTCTTCACAGTATTAAAAGTGAGCAATTTTTTATATTGCTCACTTCTAATTTTTTGAAATTTAACGATAACAGTTTCTCTACGTCTCTCTGACTTTCCCATAATCACCATCAGAAAGTTTGCTCCGATGAGTCGTCACAACATTCAAAATGTAAATGGCAACACCAAGGGAAGTGAGACTCGGAGCAATACAGGCCGAAACAGTGAACGCGATGTACATGACCACTTTGTTGGGGAGAATCATCAATTGACGGCAGTCCTCTTCGCAGGTGAAACATTCCAACCACCAGCAGAGAGTCACAAAAACGATGCATCCAAACCATACGAACAAAGCCAACGAGACACCTTTAAACGAGGTAACCATGTTGGCGTATCTGAAAATTCGAATGAGAAATTTCCCCATTATTTTCTTCTGCCCACCTCAATGGGAATTTGAAATACATGAGTTTGTCAGCATTCAAACAAATCAGACTTAACGATGATGCCGATAATCCGACCCATGTTAGAAACTGAAATAACTATTTTTGATGTTTGCTCTTCATAAATTCTGGATTCTTCGAAACCCTTTTCATTTCCTTCTTCCTATCATTGTCCTCAAAATCCAGCTCTGTTTCTAAAAATAAATAAAAATCACGTACGTGTTGTGCAATGTTAATCCATTGTGGCGGTTTGATAATTTCCTGTTCACGGAGTTGCTCAATCGGGTAGCAGAAGCACGTTAACAGCAGATCTCCCAGGGTCATACTCAATAGAAAAACGTGAAGACATTCGTCACCGGTACCTCTTCTGATGTACTTGACGGCTTTCAGCAGTACATAGATCTGAAAGAATTCGAGATGGTGTTCATTGGTTATATCAAAAAACATGTTGTTTTGGTCGGAAGAAAAAACTGGAACTCAATAGAGAGCATAAGGAATGGGAGAGGATAGATTGAAAACAAGGTTCAGTTTTGTGGAACACTACAATATTTTGTATGTCTATGAGTGATACATATATAGATATTTGGCTCATTCACACATGGCGCGTAGACTATATGAATATAGACGACAATCCGGAACTGTTCCAGAATTAGATACTATACTTGTTTGAGCCGCCTGAACCATGTGATGTGTTGACATCGAAAAGAGTTCAAATCAAATCCAGATTATAGACTTTACATTCTCAAAATTTTTCAAAAGTTCCTAGTTTTTCAGATATTTGACGATTTCTGAAAGACTCTTTTTCGTGTATTCCGTACAAAAACGGGTTGAAAAGGGGTGTCTTTCAAAAATCCCCAAATAGCTAAAAAATTATTTCCGAAAAATACTGTGATAGCAAAATTTTCAATCTAAGCTTATTTTACACCTCTTGTAATTTTCCAAGTGACCGGAAACCTGACAGCCGGACTACTGAAAATGCCGAAAATCAAAATAAGCGTTTTTTGATATCTTATTAGTATTTACTTACGAATATAGTTTTAACTTTCTATTTATTTGTAATTTTGAAAAGTTTCCGTTCTTTAACGTCAGATTTTTAGAAAAAAAAACGTTTCTCATTTTTCCCACTCACCCCCATACATCTCAAAAAATGGCGTTTAGACTTCTCTATTTGTCTGCAAACGGAAGACCCTATTCTTTCTTATCCGAGTCAATGTAAATGATGACACATATCATCTAGACCACCAAGCGTCAGACCTCCCATATTTAATCATAATCACCCACCTGCAAAAAAGTGGAAAAGAAGCAGGATACCAGTAGAAAATACTCGAACGATTTCAGATAGTTCTCCATCACTCGCATTGTGAGAAACTGAAGATTTGTTTTCCTGTTAATCGAGATGCCAAGAAAGAAAACAACTTACTGTTGATTCAATACAAATTGGCTCTTCTTCCTCAAGAAGTTCCATCATGGTGGAGTTATCAAATGGTTGTGTTTCCATCTGGAAATAAAAAACAATTGATTAAAATAAAAAATTGAGGAAATGAAATATAGGAGGAGTTAGCTGGAAAAGGTTAGCAAAACGGAAATTGAGGTGAAATATCATACGTCAAAGAAAAGGATAAAGAGAGATAGAGGAGAGAATATCCACCTCGTCACTTTTCAACCTCTAATGACTTCTATTCTTTGCCATCTCTTCTCCATGGAGACGGCCAGAGCAGAATACCCTTTCCGGACTATAGGTTCATGTAAAAGGGCATGGATGAAATGAGAACAAAGATGAAAATTTAAAAAAAAACGAGCTAGACGAGAACCAAGAAATATTCCTCTTCTTCTCATTTTTTTTCTATAGAGGGAAAGATACATATTTCAGAAAAAAAAAGCTGAGCGGCGGGGATTTGCGAAATTGTCGAGCCAGGATTAACACTATCGAGACGACGTCTCCAACGATAGATAAAAGGCGCCAAGAAAACACAGAAAGAGGAGTGTGGCAGATTGGAAAAGTAACTTTCAGATTACAGGAGTGGAAAAAAAGTAGAATAGGATGCATTAGTGTTTTCTATTGAGTTGAGGATTAGGGTATTTTATTTGGATCACAAGGTGGTTGGAAAAAAAACTTACATAGTTGAGAGTAATTCCTACTGTAAACATTCATCGTTGCAGTTAAATTTTTTTATTGGGTGGAGCAACTTCTTTCGAAATATAGAGGGACTGGGACTGGTCTCTTGTTCAAAAAGGAAGAATAAAACTTAGAATTCCTTGTTTCTCACTACAAATAGGACTTGGAAGTGGGGGATGCCATGATCATGTGTCTGGAAAAACTTGAAATTGCAATTAGCAATTGTGGAATCCTCAAAATAATTTTCAGCTTTATATCGGTGATCTCATGAGCCTTAAAAGCTGATTGCTATATTCATCACCTACAGTACTATTTGGCTAAAAAATATTCGATGGAACCATAGCTCATAATATAAGTCTACAACTTTGCTCCTAGAACAAAAAGAGAGTGTTCGATTAATGCAAGTTCACCTAGCATGCATCAGGAGAATCAAAAAAAGAAAAGAGGAGCACTAAGTGCGTAGAGAGAGAGAGAGAGAGGTACAATCAAGTTATTATATTTCTTGATGCGAGATGATGAAAAAAAAAAAGAAGGGTCTGATCCAATTTTATTTGACATTCTTTGACATCACAAATGAAGGAGTCTGAATAAGGTCCATTTTGAATAGAAAAATGCATTTGGTGATTTATGAATTCTAATAGGAACAAAAAGAGGTAACTGACGGAAATGAGAATGAGCCCATATGAGAGAAGAATGGAGCTCCGCCTCCTCTGCTCTCAGTGATTGTAGTTCTGGATACTGAGAATGATGCGACAATCACACGCACACACACCTTGACTGGCAGTGGCCAGAACCACAAAAACTATTTCAGGAATCCTACTAATCCGTTTCTTCTTCTTTTTCATTTTCTTCTTCATCTTCCTCTCCTTCTTCTCCTCCCTTTTCCTCTTCTTTCACTCCATATAACACCCACGACAACAACCAATTGCCTAGTTTTGAGTTTCGTCAGAATTTCTCAACTACACCGTGAGAAGTTTTGGGGCTGAGTAAGGACAAGAGCTTGCAGCAATACCTAAAAAACATCTGAACTCATCAGTTATTTTATGCAGCCGTGGGGAACAGTGGAGGAAAAATGAAGAAGAACAGAAAGTGAGATTGATAAAACCAAAAATTTTAATCATTGGTAGGTAGACTTGTTATGACTTTTAGAGCTGGTCGCCGGCCCGGGTCGTTGATGCTTGGCATTTTTTCAAAATTTACAGTTTGCAATAAGATAAAAGACAACACGGATTATCAGAGAAAATAAATTCTGTGTCGAAGCTGGATTTTACAAATACAAAACACATTTATCTCGGGCACTATTTCACACAAAATTTCGATGGAGTACACCACACACTTGAGATTTCAGAACATTCTAAGTGCCTTAACCTGAAAGCAGAGCTGTTTGAAACATAATTCCGAAAATTGACCGGAATATTACCGAAGATTTTTTTCGAAATAAAATCCTGATGGGATTCTTCCAAAGCTTCTTTTCGGAATTATAGATTTTGAAAAATTCGGGAATTCCGAATTTTTAAAAATTTGGAAATACCGGAATTTCAAAATTTCAAATATTCCGGAATTCCGAAGTTCAAAAAATCGGTGAAATTATTTCAAATTTTGAAATACTGATGTTCCGTACATCAATTTGAAGCAGTTTCAATAGGCTGAATCTTTATTGTAACGTAAATGCAGGTTTCAATTCCATCGTGCGCACCCCAACTTTGCTAGCAAGTCCGAACTAAAAAAATTTATTTCAAGACCCTTTCTCAAGATATTTCCAAATTAGGCTTTCGGCATTACATACTTTCTAAAAACATTCTTAGAATAATCCTCAGCCGTCTGAACATTCTGTTATAGACACCATGTTTTTAGAAATAGGTCGTTCGAAGACCCGCCAAATTCAGCAAAAATGGGCGAGAGTTGATGAGATTCCTTCAACAGAAGTGTCTGGACCAATGACAATAGTTAACAGGAAAAATTTACGACATTTTTTACAACAACTCAATATTTTACTTTTGAAATAAAAATGTAATACTTTTCATTAAATAACTTTTTGGAGTGAAAAGATCAGATTAAAAAAAAAATTAAAAATTATACGAATTCCAAATTTCTGGAATGTTTTTCAATTTCGCGAAAATCGAGTCTCAAAAGTATCAACCACCTACGTCCTTCAGTTTTTTTTGTCCCAATCAACCTATGCATGAACTAAGTGCAAAAACCAAAGAAAAAAAACAACAAGCTCTCCGGAAAAGAGGAAGTGGAAGACTAAAGAAACGTGCATTTTGGGCTATTGTTTGCAACATAACTCATCTCGCGTGCGGATTTATTTTGGGTCAAACTGAAAAAAAGGTTTTCCGACGACAAAAAAGATGAATGTGTCGCTGTGAAAAGATTCCAATGGGGGTGCGGCGACGACGACCCCAACCCACACGAATAATTGATGCCAAGAGATAAAAGAGATACTATAAAGTGATTCAATCTTCAGCTCAATGAACTATCAAACGGAAATAAATTTGGGTGCATTTAGTGCTGGGTACAAACTAGATTTAAGGGAGTTTCTGAGGGAAAACAAATATATCTCAGTAAGCACTTGTAAATTGAAAAATCTTATCACTGTTAAATGCGGTAGTTCATTTTTTGAAAAAAAAATTGAAAACAATAATTCCATATTGCAAAAAGAATTTTCAAAATTGTTCTTAGAAACCTTCGAAAAGGAAAAGAATCAATGCAAAATTACACAAAAATAGAAAATAGAGAAAATGAAAATTATGGGATTAGAAAAATCTCAAACCCGAAATTACGTCAGACCTCGCCAAAAATTTTTCTAGATGAAAAATTCCAGATAGTCCGGTTATTTGATCCCAGTACTGATATTCCTATCCTACGACACATGTCTTTTTCTTATCTATTTTTTCAAAATCCGCTTAATTTTGGGTCTCTATGAGCCTTAGAAAATCCCGGAAACGAAATTCTGTGGCTGCAAAATAGAAAGGAATAAAACATGAAATGTGTACAAGACTAATAAAATTGAAACACTCTCAATGTGCGGTCACATAATTCATTTGAAGAGAGTGGTCTGAAAATTTAATATCAATTTTTTCCGAAAAAAAAACAGACCAGAGTTTTGACTTGACTATCTTGTTATTTTTTTTCTCAATGTTTTCCTTCTCCTGTGGAAGATTAGGCGAACAATTTTTAAGGATTATCGCGTATTGTCTGAAGTGTTATGTGGCCAGTAATTGTTTCAAAGTGGAAGCAGGGGAAAAAAGAAAACAAAGTTTCTTTTCTGCGAACAAAGATTGGTATCAGGACACATTCTTATATATAGTAACTTTGGAATTCAATTTTCTGATTTTGTTTCGAAGTACAAACTTTAATATCCTAGGACAACTGACTAATTTAAACAAAACTTAATCAAATCCAGAATGTTTTCTGATTTGAGTAATTTCATTATTATATTGAATTATATTTTTATACAACCACTCACTTTAAATAATTCGTGTCCGACAAAAATGACGAATATTCAAGAAAAAAGGTGTCGGAGAGTTTTGTTTTTTCCCACGGTTTCAGTTTACTCAATGGTTGAAAAAATGAAAAAAAGATGTCAAAAAAAAAATAAATAGCAAGAATTTGACCGGGAATAATTAGGTCCGAAGTGGAGAACATCACAAGTTTCAACTAATTAGTGAATAGCGTGAAGAGAATATTTTAGTTGGAGAGTAGAAATTTCGAAATCAGAAAAATAACATTGAATCTAAAAATACCAATTGTCAAACTTTTGATTCATCAATGAACAAAATGAATCCTAGAACCAGTCTGTCTAATTTAAAACTAAAAATTTTGTGCTCGATAATCCGATCTTCGGACCTAAACGATACATCAAGAGGAAAACCCAAATTTAGACATAGAGGGCATTTGGTCAAAAAGAAGAAGGATACGAGATAGATGTCGAAGAGCCGCGCCCTTAATCTATTTGGGGGTGCAAACAAAAGGTCCGATTAACTTTGTGGGATGATAATTATTTGATCTTGGATTCCCTAAACCGCAGCGTGGATTCTAAAATGTGACATCACTCATCTAATTTGACTATTCTCGAAAATTTAGAGCACATTTTTGCTTCTAACAAAGTATTATCAGCCTCCAAAGCAGCAAGATCTCCAAAAAAAGCATAGAGCAACTTGAAGAAAGAGACCAACGTCAATGTTCTATTTCTCAAGGGAGACCAAAAAGAGAAACTTTTTAAAAGTTTGTGCTCTGTGAGCCGCTGGGAAATTAGCAAGGGAATACGAGAACAGAGAAAAGAGATTATTTTTAAGGGTTCAGGTACACTGATTTTTTCATCATTACGTAGAGAGCCAATTCGACTGGAAACTGAAAGAAACTTACACTGTCAACAAATTGCTCTATAGTTCGAACATTATCATATAACAAGGAAATTTCAACAGCTTGTAAATCCAGATTTGGATGAAAGTTTTTGAATCCGCTGGCCGGTTTCAGCCCAGTTATATCAGTTTCAGTACCAAAAATCGCCGTTTCAGTACAAAAAAAACTATTTTTAAAGACGATTTTCTCTACTTCCAGGACGTTTCAGAACATTAAAATTGTTTGCTACATTTAAAGTTAAATGAAATTTGATAACTAAAGCAGTTTACGAAAAATACATGTTGTTTCAATTTTCGAATAAATCTGGAAAATCATTGAAAATTCGAAAAAAAATTGAAAAAAAATGTCTGAAACATGGTATTTTAAAAATTTCAGAACCTAATATGACTCGGCTGAAACTGGTGAACGGATTCTAAAACTTTCAGAAATGTCTAGATAGGCAACTCTTAACTTATCCAAAAAAGATTTCATTAAAGTCTGGGCTTACAACGTGTTGAGGTTCCCTTGTAAGGTGAATGAAGAGTTAAAAGTTGTTAAAATCAATTAAAAAAAAAGAGACTAGAACAAATTCTAAAGTGGCTTTCTAGAAAAAAATCTAAAATAGAAAAGATAACTAAAAATCTGCTTGGTTCTTTCTCGAATTATCTACCTTCGGACAGAAACAACAAACGAAAAGTGCACTACAGCAATTATCGAGATTTGTAGAAGTCTTCTCCCCCCACGCAGACGTTCTGAGAATATTTAAGTGGGTTAGAGAACAGGATGTGGTCGGTTTGTTAATTGATTCAGCTTCAAACTTCTAGAAAACAGTTGTAACTATTAAAAATAACCGGAATATTTGAAGTTTGCTCTTCTGCGTGAAAACAAGAGGACGTTGAATTCTGATCAAATTCATCCATGTCCTTAATTTTCTCAAGAAAAAAACAGCAAACCACTTTAGAATGCACAGCTTAATTTTTCGTGGAAATTGTATGTTAAGATATTTGTTGTCAAAAAAAATTTTTTCGAATAAACCTAGCTAGGTGGATTATATTCCTTTTATCAAACAGGATTAAGAAGGGCACCAGGAATAAACATGAATAGGAGGAGAAAAATGTCATAAAATGCAATCTACAGCACTGTGGATTAGTGTGGCACAAATGGAAATAGAGAAGAAAAAAATACGTTGGATGGAAGATGAAGACTTTAGTATATGATCACACATTTTTTTGGGTGAGAAACGAGATGAGGAAGTTGACCGTGAAAATGGCATGAATGAGAAAAAAGAGTGTGCCAAACCGGGGATTGAACCCGGGACCTCTCGCACCCAAAGCAAGAATCATACCACTAGACTATTTGGCCGTATTTAAATGAAGAAATGGAAGATGTGAAATTGCCAATGTTTTATAAAATCTTCCGAAAAAGAACCTGTTCTGATTCAAGCGGCTAACACTAGAGTAGAAAAATACAGAAGCACTTGTTTTTGGCAAGGAGATATAGAAAATGTGGCCGAATGGTCTGAGTGGTATGATTCTCGCTTTGGGTGCGAGAGGATTTCGCCTGTTTCAGCCGATTTTATCAGTTTTAGTTTACAACACAAAAGCAATTTTTAAAGAGGTCTTTCTCAACTTCTAGGAGGTTCCAAAACATGCATTTAGTTGTGCTGCACTCAGAATTGAAACCACCTTCATATTTCAGACACTTTCCCAAATTTTTCATTTTTCTAATAAATCTGGAAAAATTGTGGAAAAAGTCGAAAAGAAAATATTTTTTTAAAGAAAATATTTTTTCAAAAGAAAATATTTTTTCAAAAGAAAATGTCTGAAATTTGAAATACTATTCAATTAAAAAAAAAATAAATGAATGTTTTCAAACGTCCTAAAAATTACAAAAATCATTTTTGGAATCTCTCTTTTCCACTAACATCACGGTTTTTGGTACTGAAACTGATATGACTCTGCTAAAACTGACGAGCAAATTTTGAACATTTTAGAATAACTGGCTGCCTAACAATCATCAATAAATTTCTATTCACTTGTGAAAAAACCAAAAAGAAGATGAGATTTTTTTACTCATATCAAATTCATTTTGAGATTGGTGATTCGGTAATAACATATGAGGGGCATCTGAGCACGCTGACGCATAAGATAAGCAGAGAAAATAAGACGATGAGAAAAAATTGGAAAACTTGAAAAGAATGCAAGTGACCCCCGATTAAAAGCTTTCTTGTCTACAACTTGGGATTAATGAGTCATGTATCCTTTTTTGATACCAGGAAAGTTAAGAAAATGATAGTAGACTATAAAAGGGATATACTATGAAGCTAGTAGGATAAAAAAAAAGACAATAGTGCAAAATGAGGTGGGAGATTAGATATGGAAAAAAGGAATTTGTGAATGCAAAAACCGAAAATGAATGACAAATTCAGACGTAGTGACTACTTTCAGGATGATAGTTACTCGAATTACTAGAATATAAACAATCACACATCTAGAAGAGTCTATGAATCTATGAAGTATACAAAATTGAAAATTGATACTCACCTGGAAGTTTTCACAAACTATGAAAGCGAAAAAAAATCGAAAGTGAAATTTCGGAGCAAATAAAAGCGGAATGACTTTATGAAAAATAAAGTGGGGGTGGGAGAGGTGTGGCTGGAGTATTGGGGTCTTAGAATTTCTGAACATTGAAGTGAGTAGGTGGGGTTTTACGAAATGGGACGAGAATCCAGATTTAGCTTTCTAAAAGAATTGAGTACAAAAACTATTTTGTATTTCATCCTTGTCCAAGGGTGATCGGAAATTTATCGAAATTGGAGAACTTTATACATATTTTCAAAGCCATAATTAGTAATATAAAACATTTCATCTAGATTAAAAAAAAACTTATCTTTTCAAAACCAAATTATCACTGAAAAGTATCTAACTTTTGTTCAACAAACAGAGTAAAAGTTGAACTTCTGAATTAATAATGACACTTCTTGAGTTAGACATTCTCACAGCTTGAAAAAGTCACGTGACATACTACTCTTTGCCCTTACGTTTCTAAAAAGTTAGTGAGGGAGGGAGTTAAGATCAAAAAATTGAAAAAAAATCTCCACTTTCGACATGTCCATATAATTAGACAAGGTACACACAGACATATTATAGATTGCATAAAATCAATTTTTAAAAAAAGTTTTCAAAATTTCGGAAAAAATGATTTTTCATGTGGGCACATTCTTTCCGATTTTCTCATGAAAAATTGACACCGAAGCTCAGATTTTGCGGCAAGAAAAAATTTTTTAAAAAGTGGAAAGATACTTTCGCATGTTGTACTGAACTTTTTTTTTAATTTTTAATTAATCTTCTTGAGATCTGCGAAAAAGTCTCCAAAATGAAACATGTGACAGATGAGAAGAAACTGAGAAAATAGATGAACCGAATTTTTTTGGTTTTTTGATAAATGAAGTGGAAAGGTAGAAAAAAACAAAAAGTGCATCGTCACACATGTTGACGCCGAACTCAGTGGAAATCAGAACAGTGAAGATAAATTAAAATAGAACATTTGCAAAATCGTAAAAAAATGTATTAGATGAACGTCAGAGATATCAGTTTGGAGTATTCTGGTGACCATAGAGAGCGTATTGTGGTAAATGACATCAAAGGGGTCAGTTGATCCAAAGATATATTTTTATTTCTTTTTCAGATTTCAATAAGACTACGAATTTAGTAAAAAGCGGGGAAATAGTGACTGATTAGTTTCTTTGGCTACAGTAAATGAGACTGGTTGTGAAAATTACTATTTAGAAGATCTGAAGAGAAGAAAACCAAAAAAATAGAAAATTGGCTGAAAACCGAACAGAATGGTTTTGAAAACACTAGCTTTCAATAAAAATACGCAGTATCACAATGTAATTTTCTTCCGCCGGCAAATTCGTCGCAAACATAACCCCCCACCGACTGATATCATTCCGCCAGCGCCTAAAGACATTGTAACGCAGTGACAAGACGTGCAGTCATGTCCGAGTGGTTAAGGAGATTGACTAGAAATCAATTGGGCTCTGCCCGCGTAGGTTCGAATCCTGCTGACTGCGAATCTTTTTTTTTTAGTCAAATGTTTGGCAACATCAAGAAGAGTATTGAAAAAGTCTGGTTATGAATGAATGAATTTGGTTTTTGATAGGTTTGGTTCGATATGAAAAAATTGTGAGAATGAATGCGAACAGCATGATATCGTTTTTTATTGTGAGTTGGAAAAAAGACATACCAGAAAATGTTTCGAAAGTAGAACGTTCTCAATTGGACTTTTAAACATGCCGGAGAGATTACGACAGATTCAGCTTCTTATTTCTTCCTGTCAGGTGACTATTCTTAATTGGAACAGAAAAAAATATAATTCAATCTGGGCAATTTTTCGTAAAATCAGCTCGGATTTATCTTTTGCATATACCGTGAAAAAAAATTTAAGATCGCCACCCTATATTTTTGATTTGAGCTCGTTCTTTGCGTATAGAGAGAAACATGTGTCAATTGATAAACTGTTTTTCATATCCAACACTTTTATTTTTCGGACTTTTGAGATCTCTCACAAATATCGAGACGCAGTGAAACCTTTTTATGAGAGCACTATGATAGAAGGGCCTCCATGAAACTTGAAGTTGTTAATCTTCCTTATATTTTCTCTAATATCAGCTCACCCCTATTTGAAGTCCACCATTAATAGAAGCCCACCCCACGAGGTGCTTCGAAAAATAGAAGCCCACCCTTTAATAGAAGCCCATGGGCGTCTATTAGAGAAAATGTGGTGATTAAAAGTTTCAGAATTTTTGGAACTGTGATTTAAGAACTCGTAAATTTCTCAATTTTTGATCTGCAAAATTCCTGAACTTTGAATTTAGAGATTCTGGGATCTCAGAATTTCAAAAATTCGTAATTTTGTTGTTTAGAATTGCAGAATGAAAACTTCGAATAAAAAAAATGAAATTGATAGGTTTTCATCAAATTTGGAGATCTCTTTAGAGAACCCCTGGAACAATAGACAGACCGGCCCTTCCGATACAGATTTGACGGTATACGAGCTCAAAATTCAAGTATAGGGTAGCATTCTATTCGAGTATTTATAATATTAAGTGTCATGAAAAAATCTCCGAACTTCGTTATACTAAAAAATATTCGAAAGTTTTTTATCCGTTTTAGCAAGCCCATTTACTGATTCATGGTTCTTCTCTAAAACGTCTCAGTTTTTTGGCTCATTAACACGACGTGTTCTAGTTTGAAAAACAGCTCATCTTATGACATATGCATATCAGTCTTCACCTGTGATCACTAAAATCTATGTTTGGACTCTTTTAAAAGTGTACATATAATGTTACGTTTCTTATAAAATATTTCAAACATCTTCTGAACGGAGCCACTGTGGAAACCACTCAAAAAATATTTTACGTTCTTGGCATATCGCGTTGTCTTGACTTACCTTGGAAGCTGAAGACTAGTGAAATGCTCCCACACCGATTTGATAAACGCTGAGTATCATACCCCAGCCAAAATCATCCATGTAGCAAATAAATTGAGCTCGTGCTTTGTTACCCACCGCCGCCTCGCGCCAATTTTCAGAAGACCGGAAATTCGATTTTCAACCCATCTTTCTCTAGTTATTGCCCAGTTTTTCTTTTGTCTTTTCACACACTCTCATCGGATATTTAACATTTTCCTTCGGTGGCGATTATGTACCGCCTCTACTAATTTCCGTTGTATGTTATAAGTTGTATTTTCGGAAATTGGGCCGGAAATGAAAGATCGGAAAACTTAAAACTCTGAATAAAAGGTTGGAGTTGAAGATCATTTTTCAATGTTCCTCCTCTGTAGATTCTAGTGAAAATTCTACCCTAATAATGCTTGAATACTATAACGATAGTGTGAGTTTTATAGATTTAAAAGGGAAGTTGCTAGTGTAACAATAATACAGTTTCAAAATTTGATCTTGATCTTTCTTGAATTGAACATTTTACTACAAACGAGCTACAACTGAAGTCTGACCTTTTAGAAAAATAATTGAGTGATAAAGCTGCGCGTGCAAAAACCAAAAATACTTTAAAGTACTACTAGATTTTAGAAACCTCCGCCCCAACGTGACATGAGGAATTCCAATGAAACATTTATCGTTGCGTTTCTCGTTTTGATTTAAACAGATGATCGGAGTGATATCAAAAGTTAAAAGTGAATTCTCTGGTGTTTTCCCTCTCTCAAAAGATATAATTGTCTGTCCAACAAACCAACCGTGTAATTTTTTGTAAACAGACATGGTACGGGGCTCCAAATTCTGTAAAATCACACATTTCCATTGTCATTTTTGTGCATTATAGAGCTCCACGTGTTTGTGACACACAACATTCTCTCAACAGATAGGTCACAGCTCCGTGACCATCCAATTTTTCCCATTATCTAGCCTGCAACAATACGCTTCTATTCACTTATTATGCAGCATTCGCGCCCAATATGAACAGAGCGAGAGAACCATATCCTCGAATGTCGAAAGTTCAAATAGCGGATGTATTATAGCTGGCATCCTTTCTGGTTAACAAGAGAAGACACTTAACCACGCCCACTTATTTCTGCCGCTTCTATTCCTGGTCGCTTTTTTTCTGTTTCCGAGAAAAAACGGAACACATATTTTTCTTCTAGATAATCACTGTTATATAGAAGTCCCTAGAGTGAAAGACCCTAGAGTTCATACGATTCCAAGGAAAAATAACTGCTAGGAAAGTATTCAGAACACATGATATTACTTCCATATAATAATTTATTGTGTCTAGCCAAGCTACTCTGTTTTTTGCTATTATCCTCACTTGATTCTACTATCAGGACGGAAATATGAATTTCCCATTTCGGGTAAGTCGAAAGCACTTTATAAGCCTAGAGCACGAGGTTTAGAAGTTTCAATAGGGAAAAGGTTTTCACATAGATGTGAGTAGTCTTTGACATTGTGAGAACTTAAGATTGTTGATTATAAACATGTTTTAGATTTTGGTGTTACAAGGGAATCGCATAACTTTGTAAACACAGAATTTTATGAAAGTTTCAGAATATGTTAAAATTAGCCTATCTAGTTACCTCTCAAAATGTAAGAATCCGCTCGTTAGTTTCAGTTTAGTTATTTAAGTTTCAGTACCAAAAATTGCCTTTTCTGTGCAGAATCAACAATTTTCAAAAGCGATTTGCTCAATTTCTAGGACGTTTAAAAGCATAAAATTTGTTGTGTTATATTTTAGAAGGAAAACAAATTTCATATTTCAAACATTTTTTTTTCAGAAAAATGATTATTCAATTTTCGAATAGATCTGGAAAATTGTGGAAACATTTCAAATTTAAAAATTATTCTTCATTGAGAAAATGTCTCAAATGAAAAAATACTTTTAATGCGAAATTTAACACAACAAATTTGACGTCCTATAACACAACGTCCTATAAATTGAGAAAATCGTCTTTGAAAACCGCTGGTTTGCACGGACAACGCGATTTCTTGAAACTGATTCAATTTGACGGAAACTTTCAATGTGATTTTAACATTTTCAGAAATGTATAAATACACTATTATTAACCTCTCCTAAAAATGTCATCAAAATCTCAATTTACAAGGTTTTGATGTTACCTTGTTAATATTCTGTTACAATTTGAACGGAATAAATGTTTATCCCATATTTTCTAATGTTGCATTTCGAGATCCTTTTCCAAAAATTCCAAAAACCAATTAGAATTTTTTGTTCGTCCTTTTTCACAATATTTACTCATTCCAACAACATGTCACTTCCTCAGTGTGAAAACACGCAATTCGAAGCTCTTTTCTTGAAGCAATTACCCTCTTGAGTATAAAATATTCATATTTTTTGGCCCCATTTCTTGTGCAATTTTTGTGTGAATGTGTATCATCATTGACCTATTCATGAAGACGTAGGAAAAAAGGTGTGATGTCGACATTCGAAAAAAATTCAAATGAAAGTACGGGCTCGTGTTGAAAGCTAAAATTAGAACTCAAGGTGTATTGCAGAAAAGGTCATATTTGGAAATTTTAAAAACAACTACAATAAATAATTTTTCTCAAACTAAAATTTCTCGAGTACTAAGAAAGCAATACATTAAAAAATTCTGAAATGTTCCTAGAAAATACTTCGAATACAAAGAACACAAAACTTAATTGAGTAAATTAGACGAGTTCCGTGTTTTCCTGAACAAGAAAAAAAGGTTCAAATCAAAATTCAAAATATTCTTCGTCTCATTTTTTATATTTTTCCGAAGAGCTACTGTCTATTTTATATTTTTCTAAGGAGCTACATTCTAATTGCACCGCTTCGAACAGAGAACACTATGTATTACTCTGTTGTTTCTATAATGGTAACGTCCTAGACTGTCTAGTACATCTAGCGATTTTTTATTCCCAAAACACAAAAACATTTTTTTGGTTGAGATGTGTGTGTGTTAAGAGAAATTAGGTCAATTCCGTCCATTTTCTTTTGTCACCCCGGGATGGGGAAACTCCCCAACTATTATAATTCCAACGCCTCTTCCTTCTCTTTTCCTTCTTGTTTTTCTTCACTATTGTGCTCACGAGGATTCAGTTATGGAAGCACAGAAACACAATATAGGAAGAGCGAGAGAAAAAAGGAAAAGAAAAAAGTGCATGATTTCGGTCGTCCGGGGGAGTGTCTATTCTCTATACCCGAGGTCCTCACAGTTGTTCCTCTTTTTGACTCAAAGATGCTCGTTGCTCACTTTGAGCAACTCTCTGTCATGTGGAAATTCAATTTCATATGAATTCGATATAGTTCTTTTATTCTCAAAAAAATCGACGATCATAAAGTATGAGAGTACACGTAGTCAGGTGCACCATGGATGAGAGCGCATAAAATTTTTGGCTTTTTGGGATTTTAAATTATTCCAAGTAGTGGGGGGTAATAAAAAAGTCAATTTAATAAACTAAAATCATAGAACCTTATTGAATTACAAGAGAAAAAATTTATCATAAAACTGTAATAGAAGGGCCCTACACACTCTCAAGTTTGAGCTCAATTATCTCGGCTCGCATTAGAGATTTAAAAATTGTGAAAATTGATAAAATGTTTGTATCACTAAGATAAACAGTTTACCAGTAGACAGCTTTTCTATATCTTCGACAGGAACAGAGATAAATTTGCTCAAAGTTAAAAATTAGAGAGCCTTTCTATGACAGGATTTACGGCAATGAATTTTTACTGTAATGAAATTAATTGTTCATTCAAACGTTATTTTTTTGTAATCTCAAAATCATCTTCCATGATACTTTTGGAAATACATAGTCCTATCTTCAATGCTTTTGTTTGTGAAACCAGAGGCTTAATCGAATTCAGAAAATGAGATGTATCTGACATCTGAAACACAACGTCAGCATGTAGAAAAAAAGAAGATAAGTTCAAGAAACTGATGTCTGTGTTTTCCAGAAACTTTCTTGGTTGTCTTTCTTTCTTCATTAATTCATCTAGTCCTTCTTTTTGGTCTCAAAATTTTGCTTTTTTTCTTACTTTGCAAGACAAAACAAAATTGGAGCTCTCGCATCAAAATCTCTATCTATCTATCCTTTTTTTCACTTCATCACTGAAAATTTTCTCTCATTTGGAAGTCTCGTGATTTCATCGTCCAAACCCAGTCTGGGTAGCCTTTTGAAACATTATTTCATACGTCGGTTTTCCCACCAAAGTATACATCTATTAAGCACATAACCATTGAGTCAGAGTTTGGTTCTCACGAGTCATCCGATTTAGGCGCAGATCGAAATTTCGCGCAAAACCTATGTGACCTGAGTGTCAAGTTGCTTCTGAGTTTCTTTATGAACATTCTTGCTCTTTTTTGTTGTTTTGGATTTTAGAGAAAATTTTGGATTTTGAAAATAATTTTGGTTTTTAAAAATCGAGAGACATGAAAAGATGATTTTCATTTATCTGAAATTCAAAAAAAAAATTTAATTCAAAATAACCAACTAGAGCTAGCATTCCTGTTTCACATTTCAATGTTTGAATAATAAATTGCTCCTTATGTTTAAAATTTTGCTCAACTTTCAAGAAACGTCATTTGCCTATTTCAAAGATGGATTTCCCTGTTTAAACTATCTTTACGTAACATCTTTTTAATGACGTCTCTCCGGACGGTGAAATTTCAACTTGTTAAAAAAACTACATTTTTTTGCAACCTTTACCCTTAAACCCCACACCGGATGGGATTCGTTTCACCGCATTTCTGGCTCGTCGAACACGATGAATTTCTTTTGTAGCGAAAAAAAGTTTCCTCAAAACTTCTTGAAACTTTTTGAACTTGAACTTGACTTTTTTTTCCTTCTAAGCATATGATTCAAGGAGCGTAATCAGATCCTACTTGTTAATCCGAGTAGAGTCGTGATTTTTGCTCTTCTTCGTTTATCCTGTCTAATTAGTAGGTAAAAACAAAAAAAAACAGAGAAGAGATTCATTTAAGTCACACATGCGAATGACTTATTCAGAGTTTGGCTGCGACTTTTGCTGTTTTTGAATTACGGAGAGTTCTCATTTGATTGTTGTTCATTTTTATTCTTACAGCCAAGTGAAAACATGCTCAAAGTGTGTATGAATGTCACCGATCAATGCGATTGTTTGGCTATCGAGTGCCCAATTGCCTATTCGAACTCTGTGGAAGAAAAAGAGGCATGCTACATGGAGCATTGCTTTATTTCTAAACGAGCGCTGGATGACGTCACACTTTACAAGGTTTATTTAAAAGAAAGGATAGAAAAAATGTTCCAAGAAATTTGGAATAAATACAAGAAGTTTTGAGTTGGACTCAGTTCTAGAACACTGAATTCTAAAATGCGTATAATTTTAGGTCACTGCTCTCTACTTGGTGATCTTCATCATTGGGGTATTTGGTAACACTGCCACTTGTCTTGTCATGAGGAAACACCCGATGATGAAAACTCATACCAGGTAAAAAGTCATTTTCGGAGCTGCACAACCTCCGAGTATTTCAGTATGTATCTAATCAACCTAGCTGTTTCGGATCTTGTAACTCTTTGTGTTGGTCTACCATTCGAGATGATGATGAACTGGCATCAATACCCTTGGCCATTTCCAGATGTTATTTGCAACTTGAAAGCGTTAATTGCGGAAACTACGAGGTGAGTTAACGGGAAAGGAGGATTTGGTTATTACAAATTCGAAATTACAGCTCTGTCTCAATTCTGACTATTCTGGTGTTTGCTATCGAGCGATATGTAGCTGTGTGTCATCCACTATACCTTGTGAAAAATCAATTTTTCAAACGCAATGTGAGTTTGGGTAACGGGAATGTAGTAAGGGAATAAAATACATTTCTTACTTTGTAATGTCAATTCACATATCCGGTTTGCGAATGGATAAAGCAAGGATCAGTTACACTTCCTAGACCGGAAATGAGCAAAGCGGGAGTGCATGTCTGAATACTTAGAATATTTCTACAGATATAAAATAAGATCCGTTACCAATAATGTTTCAGAGACAATATGAAAATTTGAACAAGATAAAAAATGCAAAAGAATCTTAGAGAATGACATTTTTGTCATTAATTGCAACTTCTGAGCCAGTTTAATTTGGAACGACCTATATTTCCAGAAAGTGATTCTTCAAAAAAGTTGTAAACTACTAAAATGAAGCTCTATTTTGTTTGATATGATCTCAAATTTTCAAAACAATCAAATGATATCGATAGATGTTTTCAAAGGGCCAAAGTTTGCTTTCTTCTTAAACATGTATCTAGTACCAGCCAATGAATTTGTCAGTTAACTTTGACCGTTTTCCGGGTTCTGGAGCTCGGCTGTCAAGTTTCCAATCACTTTGATAATTTTGGAAGGTGTGAAACAGACCTAGATTAAAAATTTTGCATTCACAGAATTTTTTGTAATTTTCCAGTTTTTCAACTATTTCCCAATTTTTGAAAGACACTCCTAGTTGGACCCTTTTTGTACTGAAAACGTGAAAAAATAGGTGCTCTTCAAAAATCAACAAATAGCTGAGAAATTGGAGTTTACATTAAATTATGCGTGAGAAGTTTTAAATCTAGATCTGTATTACACTTTCTAAATTTTTCAAAGTGATCGGAAACTTTACAGTCATGTTTTAGACTCCTGAAAATGGTAGAAATCAACTGAAAAACACGTTTTTAATCTCATTGACGGGTACTGTATGTCACTAATCGTAAGATAGTGAACGTTGAAAAATCTGACAGAATATGAACATAAAAAATATTCAGATGAAATCTATTATTGGACTGAGCTGGATTGTGTCTATTTTATGTGCTACTCCGTTTGGAATCTACCACAGAGCTGATTATCTCATGAGAAGCTGGCCAGGAACGGATGATAAAATACCGGTAACAAAGATTATCAAGCTAACCAACTCATGAAAAAAATTGCAGGTAATCTCTTCAAAAATGTGCATGGTGGCGGTTATGTTTGAGCCAAAGTTGGAGCCGACTTTTAAAGTGGGTCTTTAATGGTGTTTGATTTTTCAACTTTGACATTTTCGCACCCAATAAAAAATTAATGACAAGTTCTTATTTTCAGGTTTTATTCCACTTTTCGGCCATCGCCTTTTTCGTGGTTCCCCTTTTGACAATTCTAGTTCTCTATGCTAGAATCGCGTGCAAAGTGAGTTTCATAACAAAAGTGTAGCAAGAAATCAAACTTTGGACTTTAACAACTCACCTGACGTTTGTTTCAGGTGTCAAACAATCGAACGATCCAGGCGGGAGAATTGGATATAACTGAAGAGCTGCAACTAAAAATTAATGCAATTTTATGTATGTTTGGACAGAAAAAAAACAGAAAAAGAAAGATATAATGATTAGAATATGAAAAATAATGTGAAGAAAGAAGAGGATAGAGCGGAAAAATGAATGTGAATACGTGAGCCAAAGCGGGAGAGTACAATCTATTCATTTATGTTTTTATAGTATATAGGTATAATACCAAAATTATATAGTGGATTTTATGAGAGATTCAGACAAATTGAAATCATGGAATATTAAAAATATCAGAGACTATTGAGAAAAGCACACTACATCCTATTTCTCGAAATACTGGTCATCTTCTAGTCCCATCCCATTAACTCCTAATCCTATTTCCGGATAAAGATAGTTTGAGACTAATCGACCATCAATCGCCAGAAACACATTCATTTTCATTGCAGGTGCAATAGTTTCCGCCTTCTTCATTTGCTACCTTCCGTTTCAATTCCAGCGCCTCCTGTTCTTTTATTTGGATAACGAGGTTATTCTAGTTTGGATCAATCAATATGTCTACTTTATTTCGGGTGAGTAGTAAGCTGACATTTGAATCAGGAAAATCGGAGGGAAAATTCGAAAATATTAAAGATTTTTTTCGAGAAAATGTCTAAAATAAGAAATTGTATTCAATTCTGAGTGTAATACAGCACATTTCATGTTCTAAAACGTCGTAAAAATAGAGAAAATCATTTTTTAAAATCGCTATTGTACAATGAATTTGCGATTTTCGGTACAGAAACTGTAACTCTGCTAAAACTGGTGAGCGGATTTTAAAATTTTTTCAGGTATTTAGAAAGGTTACCCTCAACTCATTCTGAACTTTTAATCAAAATCTGGGCTTGCTAGGTATTCTTTCATCAAACAAGAAAAAAAAAGAATACTGGAAAGAAAATCAGTACAAATCGTTCAGAAATTGAACTGGTGTCATGTTTTGAATGACGTGTACACAATATACAAACATACTTCTTCAAAATATTTCAATTTCAGGATTTCTGTTCTATCTGGCCACCATCATCAATCCAATCGCCTACAACGTTGCATCCAGTCGGTTTAGAAGAGCGTTCAAAGACATTCTTTTTTATTATTGTTTTGGAAGAAAATCAAATGGCTATCCTAGAAGTTCATTCAGCAAGTACAGCTTGTGAGTTTTTCTTGATTTCAGAGAAAAATGATTGAAACAAAAATTTTCAGGGCTCACACGCCTCTCCGTCAAGCAATGTCAAATCGTGTACCAATCCTGGATCCAAAAGTCAACGCTTGACTTCTTAAACAGTTTCCAAAAAAACTTGCATTATATTTTTGATATCATCTAGTTTTCATTACGGGGGACTCTTTTTTTCCATAATTCGTTTTCATTCCATGATATTTTTGCTCGATTCTCTTTATGCTTTATTTGGTTGAATAAAAAAGTTTTGGGTTCAAAATATTGGGAAATTTTTTGCGCCTAAAAATTTGTCGGTCCATTGAACTTCAGTCTTCTCAAGTAGAAAAAAACGGGGGTCAACTACATTGCAGAAAGTCATCGGGGAGTAATGAATAAGGAAGTATAGATATTGTTATTTTCTACATGGTTCCTGAACACAATAACACAAAAAAAGAAACAAAAACAGAAAGATCTGTTCTCAGAACTTGATCATGCGCATAAATTACCGCTACCTGGTTTGTTTTGTTTTGTATTTTTATAATTTCCTATCAATTTCGTTTTTAGTTTCCGATGGGAATTGTTTTCTGAATATGGTTATTTTCGAATCAGAAAATTACAGTACCGGTCAATATTATAAACAAAATCGTGTATGCCAGTTGATTTTGACCGTTTTCAAGAGTATGGAGCTCGGCTGTAAGTATCCATTCACTTAAAAAATTTTCAAAAGTGTAACTAGACCTAGATTGCAATCTTTGAATTCACAGAATTTTTTGAAATTTCCTATTTTTTATCTGTTTGCCGATTTCTGAAAGACATTCCTATTTTATTGATCTTGTACTGAAAACAAGAAATTGGCAAATAACTGAAAAAATTGGCAAATAACTGAAAAACTGGCAAATAACTGAACAACTTAATGATTCCAAAAAATTCTGCGAATGCAAAGTTTTAATCTTGGCCTGTTTAACCATTTGGAAAATATTCGAAGTGATAGGATACTTGAGAGACGAGCTCCAGACTCCTGAAAAGGACCAAAATCAATTGAAAATCACTTTTTTGTATATCGTATGGACCGGTACTGTAAAAGCCTTTGAAGATCAAAGTCTAGTTGAGGTAGTTCCTCGTATTCTCATCACTCATCTTCTTTTTGTATCATCTTGTAATTTGAAACTCTTCTTGGGAATTTACGTTCGTTTATCTTTTGTTTATGTTTACAGGATCCCTCAAATCAGAGAAATTGCTTTTTCATATCCAATTAGTCAGTTATCTTTCACCCTCTTGATCTCTTCTCCCACCTCAGTCATTGGAATTTCATTTTTCTTTTGCTTTTTCTTCTTCATATCTTCCTTCAATCCTCCCTCATTTCAAAGTCCCCCTCATCAAATTGTTGTGACGATTGACTCCAAAGACCTCACCGATCTATCTTCTTTTCATTTTTTCACCCTGCTTCACGAAGCGCTTTTTTACCCTCACTGATGCCTACCAATATCAAAATATCCAAAGTGTCACTGAGAAAGAAAAAAAAACGGAAAACGATGGCACACGAAAAAGAGACTGACACGAAACCGAACAATTGGCACCACACCGCCGCGCCACCGATTTGAGAAAAGAGTGTGAAGAAAGAAGGAAAAGAGCAACTGAACAGATTGAAGAAGCTGCAAAAAGTGTATTATATCCAATGAGTGTGCTTGTGTTAGTGAGGAGTGTCACATCTTTTGCCCCCACTGCCTTCGTGTGCTCCACAAAATTCCCTGTGGTGCCGTGTCAACCTCTTCCCCGTTGCTCTTTGCCTCCCGCGCGCAACTTTTGTCTTCCTCGGGAGCGCTATCAACAACACCGGCGCACGAAAAGTGTATTCTTTACGGTAGCATTCTGTGAGGAACAATAATTCCTTTTTTCCAAATGTCTTACAAGTTTGGGTTTCGATATTACAGTTCAAAATTATGATTCAATTTTTTTTCTTATTCAAAAATCATAATCAGTTAGTTCGATAATTTCGTATTTAACAGAACATAACGGGTATTTGCCTGAACTGAAAAATATAAAACTATGGTAATTTGATTAAATGAGCCATCCTTTCGTTTTTTTTTCCAAAAACTACGGTAGCTTAAAATTTCTTCTGCCTATGTAAATTTGTCACAGTATTATATTTTCAGTATATTGGAGTAGTAGGATCAGTATATTTTCCATACAAGGGTTTCTCCTCTGTTTTTTGGAATTCTCCAGAGACCTGGTACAGTATCCGCAGTACTTCGTAAATCTCTTTTTCCTTGTAAAACAATTCTATGGAAATAACATACCGTAAACACTTCAAGAGAACGCCACCCGAACCGTCAACTTTGAGCCTACAAATGTCTCGTTTGCTGTAAAAAATATTGAAACGTGTTAAACTGACAAAATTGTTTTGATATTATGATAAACATTTTTTCAATTGTCTATTTTTTGATATCTCACACAGGAACAGAAATGAATTCGCTCAAAGTTGAAATTTTGGATGGTTTTCTATTAGTGTGGTTATAGTATCTTACTAAACATTGAGGAATTTTGCTTTTCAAAAACATAATTCTCTGAATCAAGTAGAAACAGACTAAAAAAATTAATTGTTTCTTACAAGCAAAACCTGGATCACCTCAACGCTTGGTAATCAAATAAAAATTATCTCAATGAATTCCTCAAGAAACCTCTCGAGAAGTTTAGTTTATTGCAAAACTTTTAGGAGTACATTTCCGCTTACTGTTGAACTACGCGGCCATATAATCTGCTACCAACTGACCAATGGTATAAATGAAAAGTTCGATTGTCACCTCCGAACTATCCTCCATACTTTCCTCTGCCTGACCTTCTTTAAAAAAAACAATTTCCACATTTCCACTGACTGATCTGTGATCCCCACCTTGACACTTTTTTCACACAAAGAATGGCCCCATTAGATATCTGGTATCTCATGTGAAAATCTCTTCATCTTTGTTTCGTGAGCCAATTTATGATTGCCAATAACCCAGACTCCAATTGCCCTCTTTTTCCCCTCCCTCTATCATCTTCAGCTATCTGATCCGCCGCTTCCGACATTTTCAACTCCTCTTTCAATATTTTTCCTTTTTTTTTTGCTCAATTTGTAGTTCTCAGTGCAGTTTCTTTTCTACTCATGCGGATCGAAAGCCAAAAATCTCATGAAAAAAAGTTTCACTAAAAGAGGAAAGAAAAGTAATTCAGGTAGTCCATACGACGACGAAAAGTGGGAGGAGACTGAGCAACAATAACATCCGGAAATGGCGATTGTTGCGGCAGGAGTTTCAAAAGTCCTGACGACGTTTCAAAAAACGTTCAAAGGTATGCCAAACGTACTTTTTGAATAGAACCATGTGATTTAAAAGTGGAACGAAGTATCTAAAAATTATACTTTTATTACAATGATTTTCTTCATTCGAGTCATAAAATCAGTGTTCTATGGTAAGTTGTATCTTTTTTCACATTTTACAAGCACATATTAGGTTGTTTGGAAAGTTCCCGTCATTTTTGAGCTACTGTATTCAAACTTGGTTTTTAACGACGGGGTAAAAGTGAGGGAGCTGTCGTTCTATTAGTATATTAGTGGGGTCTAATAGTGTCTAGACCAAAACGGAGACCATTCTCCTCTTTTCGTGTAGTAGGATATGCCCACCGTTTATGCCCCTAACAATATCCATTTTTCGACTGTCTTTTTTGTTTTTATTCCTATCTGACCAGAAAATTGCTGAAATCAATTGCTAATTAGTGGAGGTGAACAACAAAGGTTCATTCTTTCGAACTATCATCACAAACTGGCTTCACCAATTTGAAATAAAGGAGTTCTCGTTAAACGAAAATCTGCCTTCAAAAAGGCTAATGGACTTAGGTTTGGATGCATTAGAAGCCGGGATTGAAAGGGACCTGTCTCAAACTTTGTGGGATTTATCAAGTACATCAGTGGCAAACCTTTCGTCAAAAAGCCATAAATTGGAAACTCTCGGCAAAATGTAAAAATGTGGGAAGACATTGACCACACCTTTTGGCTCAATGCAACTTTTTTTGGGGGTGGGCACCTGTTTGAATCTTTTCATCCTGTGTTGCACACATGAATGTTAGAATTAAATCATAACATTGAGGTAATGAATGGGTAATATATGATCACGATAGGCGACGAGCCAAGTGGGTTGACAACTGCACTCAACCACCAGACGTCCCAAAACGTGAAATTCGTGTTAAAAATGGGATATTGTGGTCTACCAAGATGTGGAGTAATGGGAGCTGCCAGATAATTGCGTCACTTTCAAGACCGATACCTATTCTTGTCAAGCAACATAACTCACACTCCATGTGTATCTCCATCGGAGAGAAACATAATGGTTCATTTTCAAAATTTATATCCGCAACCTCATACGGGAAGGAAGACCCAGGCCGATCTGAATGTGGCTGGACAATTGTGCTTTATCCACCGTGTAGCCCGAACCTTCTACTTTCAGACTACCACCTACGCAGCCATTTCTAATGTCATCTTGATTGAAAAAAATTCACCTGAAAACAGGATATCAAAAAGGGGTTGGCTTGGGCTTTGATTCGCTTTCACCGTAGTTCTGGAAGGAAGGCACCCACAATTTAGTGGGGCGTTGGGAGATAGGCATTGATAACAATGGTCATTACCTTCAATTTATACGACATCGTTTTGACCTTTTTTACTTTGAATGTATCTGACACTAAAAATGACGGGAACTTTCCAAACAACCTAATATTTCGGAGTACCTGAAGTATATCAATTAAAATAGTTTCCCATTTCTTTCATAATCTGAGTAGTTCATCCATAATTACACTATATTTTGATGAGGTCCCCTCCGACCGCACAAAATTTCAATGCAGTAATATCACAACTGCCACCAATCTCTCATCCCCATCTCATTGACTTTTAGGACTACTCCCGTTGATTATTCTCGTGATCTACACTCTACTGGGAGCATGGATCTTCTGGATGATCGAAGGAGAAAACGAACGAGAGATGCTCATCGAGCAGCAAAAAGAGAGAGATGATCTGATCCGGGTACTGAACGAACAAAATTGAAAAGATGAGAGATGTTGAGTTTTTTAGAGAACCGTGTACAAGATTAACCAGTTGCAAATCAAAAGACAGAGAAGATTAATGACAGCTGAAGAGGAGTACAATAGAACTGCCAAAGTTTTGACTACTTTCCAAGAAACATTGGGAATTTTGCCAGCTGATATGGATAAGGATATTCATTGGACTTTCCTGGGATCTATTTTTTACTGTATGACTGTTTATACCACTATTGGTGAGTTTCTGGGTATCCTGAGATCCAGTGGGTAAAAACGTCTAAAAATACTTGACCATATTCAGAAAATAGCAGTCTTTAAAAAATACGAAGTAGCGGTCAATAAGATTTACAAAAACGTGTTAACAAAGATTGAAATTTTTTGCATTTACAGAATTTTAGGAAAATTCTAGTTTTTCACCTATTTGCCATTTTGCCTATTTGCCAAGTTTTCAATCTAGATCCATTTTATATCCTCAACATTTTCCAAAGCGATTGGAAACTTGACTGTCTAGTTTCAAACAAAATAAAAAAGCTTCAAACAAAATAAAAGTCAAAATAAACTGAAACATACGTTTTTGTATATCCGCTGGTACTGTACGTTAAAATTACTGAACACATTTGAACTCAAAGTATTTGCTTTTAAAAAAGTCCACCTGATACATGCGCTCTGAGTTTGATTATCTTGGTTCCCATAAGAGATATAAAACATCTGCCAACTGATAAAACGTTGGTGATTTCATGGTAAACCCTTTTTCGATAATAATGTTTTGGTATCTTTTGGAGAACCGAGATAATTGAGCTCAAAGTGCATGTGTTGAGTGAACTAGTACTAGAGCTAATACGGTAGTTCAAACGTCCTAATATCGTTACATGTATTGATAATTTTTAGGTTACGGTAACATCGTACCAGGAACTGGATGGGGTCGCTTTGCTACCATTGTGTATGCCTTCCTTGGTATTCCACTCACAGTACTCTCGCTTTACTGTCTTGGTAGTCTCTTTGCCAAAGGATGTAAAATTCTGTGGAAGTTCTTCTTGAGATCCACCAGAGTTGTTAGCAAGGATCTTTCCGAAAAAGTTGTTATTTTTGAGTTGTTATCACATACATAGTGTCGTTAATTTCAGATTTCCGAAGCAGCTGACAATATTGAAGAGGGAACCACTGTGAGTTTTCTTTCTCTCGAATTTATTTTAATCAAACAAAACGTTTTCAGGCAGTGGCTCCTGCTTCAAAAGAAGAAAACGACGATGATGATTTGTTGTCGTTCCCTATCTCTGGACTTCTACTTATCACTGTTATCTGGGTGATTTTCTGCGCCGTTCTCTTCACTTTTCTCGAGGAGTGGGACTTTGGAACTTCTCTTTACTTCACTCTCATTTCGTTCACAACCATTGGTTTTGGAGATATCCTTCCATCTGATTACGATTTCATGCCTATCGTTGGAGTTTTGCTTCTCATTGGTCTTTCTTTGGTGTCTACTGTTATGACTCTCATTCAACAACAAATTGAGGCACTGGCATCGGTAAGAACTTACCTAAATTTTTTGTATATTTTTTGTATACTTAATTTGTGGATTTACAGGGAATGAAAGACAACATCGACCAAGAATATGCTCGTGCTCTTAACGAGGCCCGTGAAGATGGAGAAGTCGATGAGCACGTCGACCCAGAGGAAGATCCCGAAACCAACAAGAAATCATTGAACGCTGTCGTTTCAAGAATGCCCTTGTCCAAGAGAGCACTTTACTATTTTCTTCCAGCCAGTCAAAAGAAGCAGCTTGAGCAACAATCTGAAAAGAAGATGGGAAGAAAGAGTATAAAAGTTCAAACTGATAGCGAATTGTTGGAGGTAATTTATTTTTTCTCTGAAAAATTCGTCTACAGTCACTCATCGTATAATTTGTGTAACGCAGAATATTGTTGTTGTCGTAAACATATCCATAATTAGTTCCGTTTTGTGCCACATTAGCAGTCATTATGTTGTACACCACCCCACAAAATGCCTTTACAGACACTCATCCGCGAGGAAATTCTCAAGGCGGAGCTCAACAACGAAATGCACAAATTCAACGGTCCACGGTCTTCTCAACAACCGAGACTTATTCATTCCGAAATTCGTGAGAAGGAAGTGCCAATCGAGGTGGTTCGTGTCGAACAATACAATCATGGAGGACATGATGATTATTTGGAACATGACATTTAGATTTTTGTTGATCACAAAAAAATGATACCAGTAAATTTCACGAAACGTTTTTTTTTGCATTTCTATATTTTTACATTTTTTCGAATTATCCTCACATTTGCCCCGACTAGAACCTAGTTTTCGAATAGTTTCAGGCATACATAAACCAACAAAAACTTTTTCGACATCGAGAAAAAGCGTCTTCACGAATACCGCGTGCCACAAAACCTACACCCACTAAAAATCCCCCGCGACGATTTCATAAATCATAATGAAATTATTTTTTCTTTCTTTAAAATTTACCCTTATTTTCTGACCCGTCATTTCTTACTGCCTTCTTTTTTCCCAAACCGTTTTTTCTTCATTTTTTCTTTCAACAAGTTTTTTTTTTTTTTTTCAAATGAAAACTTCTCAAATTTTATATTCTATCTGGTCAAAAATCATGGAACATCATAGTGTGTTTACGATTGGACGACTACATAGTAGTCACAAAGATAAGAATCAAGGACGGAGTACCTGTAGACGCAGATAAAAAAAGGAAAATAGGTCAATAATTGCTACACTGTTATAGTTTTCTATTGTCTATTCAAAATAATCGCGCGGGTGAACGAGTAAAAAACGTGTAGAGAGTCTCCAAACCTGTAGAGGCGCTGTAGAGACGCAGACATTTTTACTCGTTTACCCGCGCGATTATTTTGAATATACAATAGTATTTTTCCGGCTGAATTGATAGTTCAATGACCATTTTGAATCTTCCTTTTTTCTCAAATTTTAAAATAATCATGTATTAACCCGAACATGTTTAAGATGACTCGTCTTTTAAATGGAATCAAGGTGGTGGAGTTGGCTGGACTTGCTCCAGTTCCTCATTGTGGAATGATGCTAGCCGATTTTGGAGCAGATGTCACTGTAATTGATAAGGTCAGCTCAGAATTGATTCTTCTGGGACTTTCCAAAATTTCAGAAACATCCAGTTGTGGAACAAAGGATGAATCGAGGGAAAACAATGAAAGAATTTGATTTGAGAAAGCCGGAAGATGTGAAGAAGGTAATTTTTTGAGATTCAGAATTTCATGAATCAAAATAATAATATGAAAATATTTCAAAAGAAAAACAGGAAAAAGATTAGAAACACTTCACCATTTTTGCATAAACATCAATCGAAGTTTTGTAATTACAGTACAAGACGTAAAGATATTACATTGTGCCTTTTTAGTGGGAAGATTGTGTGTAAATTACAAAGCTTTGAAAAAGTATTCTAGGATTTTTCGAATTATCTGAAAGTTTCAGAGTATACTAAAAATTAAAAAGTCGTAATTTTTATAATTGACACCTTAATCATCAACTTCTATTTTGATGAGATGTCGTTTGTAAAAAACGTTCCAAAATTTCAAAATTAATGAGAGTTGTTCCAATCTAAAACCACTTTTTTCACTTTGATGGATTTTCACAAAAAAGTGATCTATTGCAAAAATGAATATCTAATTTCGTTCAACATACTCCGAAAGTTTTAGACACATCGAAATATTCTGGAGTAGGTTTTCAGCATTTCAAAATTTTTCATTCACCTGTGAAAAGTAAAATTGTAGTATTTATAATATCTGGTAGTGTAGCTGATCGATATAAGAAATGATTTTTAGCTATTTCATAATTTGGATAACATCAAAAAACAAGCAAACTCTTCAAATTTCAGGTCCGAGAACTATGCAAAACAAGCGACGTTCTTCTTGATCCATATAGGCCAGGAACGCTGGAGAAAATGGGACTGGACCCGTTATCATTGTGGAACGACAATAAAGGGCTGATAATTTGCAGAATCAGTGGTTATGGGCAGACCGGAAGGATGAAGGATGAAGCGGGACATGATATCAACTATGTTGCTATGAGCGGTAAAATGATTTTCTGTATAAACTTTTTTCTTGTAATTTTTTCTTTGATTCAGGTATGATGCCAACATTTGCTGGCACCGAAGCTTCACGTCCTTGGCCGCCAGTTAATATGCTTGCTGACTTTGCAGGTGGTGGTCTATCCGCAGCATTTGGTATTGTATCCGCCATCCACGCGAGACATCATAATGGTATGAATTTGAATCATCAGGCAAATATTAGGATTTAAAAAAACCACATTTTCAATAAAGTTCACTGTTTTCTGAATGTTCCTTTTTTAAAATTTTCCAGTTTTTCAATTGAAACAATTTATGCTTAGGTTGAAACGAAATGAAAGCTGCCCTAATTTAGGATTTTTGCTTCAAAAACAATAATCGTATTCTGGTGAAGTACCCGATCATTCTTCATCGTCCCACTATTATGGAACAGAGCCCAATTATCTAGATAAGACCTGATTTTTAATGTGTTCCAGGTGGTAAAGGATGTGTTCTTGATTGCTCAATGACCGAGGGAACTGCTTATTTGGCCTCGTTCGTTCAGCATTATTATGACCAAACCCATCTGTTCACCGATAAATACGCAGCATTTACTGGCGAGTGTCCCATTTATAGGTATGAAACATTCTGTAAAAGAAGAAGTAACAATTGAGAATGCATGAAAAAATGTTTTCAGAACATACAAGACCAAGGATGGAAAGTTTATGGCCGTTGGTCCTTTGGAACCGAAATTTCATCAGAATATGTTTGAAGTTTTGGGTATTGATGGTGATGATTTGTTCTCGGATCCAGATCGAATCACCAAAGAGTTAGAAGCGACCTTTCTTCAGAAGACTAGAGATGAGTGGTCTAAAATTTTTGAAGGTGAGTTATATTCTATTTCAGCAAAAGATTGTTGCGTATATTCTATTTCAGGAAAAGATTGTTGCGTGACTCCTGTCCTTGATATTCATGAAGTTGGCACATATGGACAGCACGTCGATCGCCAAAACTTCTCCAAAAGTGACAAGTTTGGCGGAACTTGGATCGCAAAACCTTCACCCAGAGTGCAGACGATAGAAGAGTTGACTGCTGCGGCGACTCGGTCCAAACTGTGAATTTGTAATCCGCTTTTTTCTCCTTCTCTTTTTTTCGCACTAAATTGTTTATTCTTCTGTCTTCCTGGCTCTTTTTGCTTACTGCTTTTGTTTGTATAAAGATTTGTAAAAACTTTTTTTAATAGAATGTCTGGAGGAGAGATGCGTAGGTGTCTGGTGAGAAGTTTCAGATCCATTAGGATGGAAGACATGTGTGTTTGTGTGTGAATTAAAAATAAATCTCATGTCCCAAAATTAAAGACAGATGTCAAAACTGTCAAACAAACTGAGACTGAAGTTCCTCACTGTTAATTATCCCGAGTTTCTGTAGTTTCTGTAATAAGAAAACGTTTTTTTTTAATTGTTAAATTTGAATTTTTAAATTTCCGATAATTCCTAAGTTTCGAATATTTTAAGTTGGAATATTCCGGAATTCCGAAAATTGATTTTTCAAAATAGTAATTTTCATTCCGGAAAATTTTGAAAAGTTTCAGGTTCAATTTCAGGTTTTTTCAAACGACTACCAGGAACATTTTGAAAGCATCTATGTAACCAATAGGAGTTTCCAATTTCCGCTCCCTCAATATCATTTCCTTTTGGACCCCTGAGTTCATTTCCATGTTAGTCTTCCGCCAAGTGCGCGACGAAGGTTTGCTGGGCATTGAAAAAGAAACGACTGAGTGCGAGAGAGAGAGAGAGGAACCAAAAATTTTGGTCCTCCACTTGCGCGGCACACAAGGGTGGGGGCCATTTTCGTTTTTGGCTCTTCTTTTTTCCCATACAGCCCGAATTTTCCTTCCCACCACACCCGGCGAGTCCCGTCCGCGCCGCCGAGTCGTCAAGGGAAAGGAGACCCTTCTCAGAATATATTGATTCTTCGCTACTCCTACTACTACTTCTTCTTCTTCTTCTTCTTCTAGTTCTTTCACTACGCGGGGAAAGCATCTCGTTTTCCATCTTCTTCTTTTTCTTTTCTTTTCTCTATGAACTGCTCTCAGTGTTGGGCGGGAGGGATGCGGCGACCGTCACCGTTAGGCTGCAGCCGAAGCAGCTGTAGAAGAGAGAGAGAGAAAGAGGGAGAGAGAAGAGGGACCTCGACTATTTTCTTTTCTCTAGATTGCCAATGGGTCCCGTTTCTTCCGAAGCGGCTTCTCCTGGTCGCTTACTACTCGGCACACTGCGTCTCTTCGTCTTGAACACTTTCTCGTTTTGTTCCGATTTATCGAGAGTAACTCATCGAAGTCAGTTGTTGTGCGTTCTTCGTCAAAACTCTCGATATGAGAGAGAAACAGAAAGTTTTCCAATTGCTTAAGTACTATTACTTAGACATACTTTCAAAAAGACATGATTTGACAAGTATTCCGAAAAGCATTGAGTCCAAATATCTCTGGGATACTTCTTTTTTCTCTTTGTCTGCTCTTCCGAACATTTTCTCTGTTTAGTGCCCTATTTCGCTTCAGATCTGAGAGCTCAAACTAAAATATACGGAATATTCAGAAATTCTAGAAGCCTATGAGTAGTAGTTTCTATTTTTAGACTGTTTAGATACAGTACCGGTCAATGAGAAACGCATTTTTCTGTTGATTTTTAACATTCCCGGAGTCTGGCGCTTGGCTGTCAAGTGTCTTTGAAAACTTTGGAGAGACTTAGATTGAAAAATGTGTACTCACAGAATTGTTTGAAAATTCCTAGTTTTTCAGCTATTTCCTGATTCCTTAGAGACACTTCTCTTTGGCTCGATTTTGAACTGAAAACGTGAAAAAAGGAGGTGACTTTCACAAATCAACAATTTGCTGAAAATCTAGAAAATTTCAAAAAATGCTGTGAATGCAAAGTTCTCAATTCAGGTTTGTTTTAGACTCTCCAAAGTTTTCAAAGTGATCTGATATTTGCCGACCTCAAGACTTCTGAAAACGCAAAAAATCTACTGATACCAGAATATCTATATCCGGTAATTTATATCAGCATTATTTTCCCTTTTTTAAAACATTCTTAAACACTTCCAGAACGAAAAAAAACACATATAGACGCTTCATCTTTTTCACTTTATCACAACACAAAGGAAACTATGTTTTTTTTCCTGTTTGTCTCTATAGATTCTTTCCTGCCCACCACTTCATCTTGTCTTCCCTTCTTTCTCACACATTTCAGAGTTGGCCGTCAGATTGAAGAAAAGCACAAAACCTTTCTTCTTCTTCTTTTTCAATAGCCAAGACTTTCCCTTTTGAATTCAATTTTTTTCCCTCTCGGTCTTCCTTCATCCGTTTTCCTCCCAATTCGGCCTTTACCCCCTTTTTTTGGTAGTGCCCAATTTTTTTGGAAGAGTGAAAATAGGATGGGCCAAGTTCACTAGAAGTTTAAAAGCGAAATTTAACAAAAAATTGTGCAATGCCTATTGTTTGTGCTTTTGCTCCTCCTTACCTTCTCCCCGGCTCTTTTTCTCTTCTTTTTCTATTTGCTAAGTAAGCCGAGCTGCTTCTCAAGACACAAAAGCAAAATTCGACCCAAAGGCATTTCTAAAAACTGCCCTAAAATTTGCTCGAAATTAGTTGTTGCCTGCGCAGTCAGTTTCGACATTCGGCAAAAGAGAGAAAGAGGGAAGCGAGGAGTTTTCCATTGCATCTCCTCTCTTTTAAATTCAAAACGCTTTGCTTTTCCTGTGCTCAACCACATTTCCCTTTCTCCTCTTTTCCTCAAATGGTGGGCTCTGCGCAAAGCACCATAAAGCCCAAGACCATGGCTTGATAGAGACGGAGCCACCTGGCTTTCCCAGGTCCCGGATCATTAAGTTTCTTGCATGCGAGTGAAAAATACATGTCGTTTTTCTTTTTTCTAGTAGAGAACAATTTATAAATATAACCTCTTCTCTAGCCCTCAAATTCATTTATTTCAGTTTATTTCGTTTTATATTCCTTCTATCTCCGACTCTTCCCCTTACAGTACATCTCTTTTTTCAGAATGGTCGACTTGAAGCAACAACTCCAATGGATTGACTACTTGGGTGTCGTTGCCGTGTGGCTCTGTTTCTTCGGTACCGTCTTGGTGATCTCCGTCACCTGCATTCTCTGGTGTTGCGTTGGAAAGGAAGACGATCCGACCGTGTTTGCCAAAGTATGTTATATAAAAAATCTTGATTTTGCTTTTTTCGTCTAGTTGTCTAACGCTCTCTTTCTGTCTAGTGGTGAAAGAAAAGATCAGTGACGTAAGTGCAGCACTTTAGACCCTCTGTGTCTATGGAGCAAATCATCTCTAGAGATTCTCTAGCAGCCTTTTTTTTTAATTGAAAGAAACGGAGAGGCTTGATGAAATCTTCAGAATGTTTATGACAATTCTGCGGAGAAATGGGAAGAACATCTGGTAGAAAGCTGCAGCTGCCACATAATAATAGAGATGTTTTACTTTTCATCGCTCCTTGTGTTCCCAAAAGGGCTCACCAAACAAAAACTGAAATGCGCACTATACAGAATGACGTCAATTGGAATAACAAAGAGAGAAATAGAGAGAAAGTGAGGCAGATTGCTCCACGGGATACGCATTTTATTTTGTATGTAATTTGTTTGGAGAAAGAAGAGCAAAATGATGATGTCGGCTGACAAAATGCGCAAGATGTCAAGAGAGAGAGAGAACTGGGTCGGCAAAATTAAAAGGAAAATTGGAGGGAAACTGTTGGCATTTATTTGATAAAAATCAGTTTTAAAACGGGACTTCAGACTTTATGTGTACGAGAAAAATTTCAAAAACAAAAATCAAGCTTTTTTCTTTCGAAAGCTTCAGGCGGCCCAGTATCCAAGGGTACATCGAAAAAGAGTACATCGAGTTCTTAGGGTACATTGGTTCCAAGGGTACATTGGATTGTTCGGTACATGTAGGTGGACAAAAAAGTCAATTAATATTTTATACATGCTATTTTGCTTTCTGCTCAAAATTATAGGCTTAGGCTAAAACGCCTTACAGTCTAAGATCCCATGTACCCTCAGAACCAATGTACCCTAAGAACTCGATGTATCCTCGATGTACCCTTTTTCGATGTACCCTTGGACCGTGGGCCGCTTCAGGCAAACTATAGACAAAATTTTGACTTTTTTTTGAAATTTTTCTTAGTACACAAAGTTGGCCTGAAGTTTTCAAAAGTTCTCAAAATTTTAGATTTGATAAATACACAGTGCCGGTCAAAAAATATACAAAATGTATTTGTCGGTAGGTTTTTGGTTATTTTGTTTATTTTCAGGAGACTGGAGCTTTGCTGCCAAGTTTCCGATAACTTTAAAAACTTCGGAGGTTGTGAAGCAGGCCAAGATTGAGAACTTCGTATTCACGAAATTTTATGAAAATTCCTAGTTTTTCAGTTATTTGCCAATTTCTGAAGTACACATTTTTTCATGCTTTCAGTACAAAAACGAGCCAAACAGTGGTGTCTTCTAGAAATGGGGAAATATCTGGAAAACAAAGTTTTCAATCTAGAAGTTTTTTACATCCTCCGCAAATTTCAAAGTGATCGGAAACCTAAAAGTCGAGCTCTAGGCTCTAGAAAATAGTAACTCACTAACTGAAAATACCTTTTTGTATAGACCGGTATTTCAAGTTTGACAAACAATTCTTCACAATATTCGATCACTTTTTAACATTCCTTTTTTCAGTACGGATTTGGACCACAACCACGCGTTCCATCTCAAAGGTTGGCTGCTCAGGAGGCTAAGGCTGAATAGCCATCCAATTCACCGTCCTCCTCTTCTCATCTTAACACTTCTGATCCCCCAACACCACTTCTCCTGATAGACTTCTATTTTTGTTCTTCACTTCTATTATATACTTAACCAGAATAACTTATAACTTTGTGGGTACGTGTTTGGAATTAAAATTTCACAATTTTTCTTTCTAACATTTTCAGTTTTTTTTTCAAAAATCGAAATTAACAATTGAGCATCATTTTTCCAAAAAAAAAACCATTCAAATTTCAGAAGCAAGTTGGAGGTGGAAAAAGATTTCTAAATCAAGTTTCAACAACATCAACCGTCATCGAAAATTGGTTCCAGTCGATCGCCTTCTCTTCTCATTCCCTTTCAAATTTTATTTTATATGCAGACTGCTAAAAAAGATACACATGCAAAACTCCATCTTGTCTCTTTTTTTTATATATTTTCAATACATTTATAGTGTCAAGAGTTCTTTCTTTCTCTATCCTATCCTATCCCGTCTCCATTCTCCCATTTAAAAATGAATACATAGTCCTGCTGGTCCATTTTACTTTTTGTTTCTTTTGGAAATAATAAAGTTTCTAACAGCGAAAAAAAAGACCTCAAGACAAAAGGATGCTCCGTCACAATTGAGGACTAGGGGGCATACTGTGACCATGACGACATGGGAGCGAAAAAGTGACGGTTGTCAAGCTGCTGTTGGGAGGGTCTACGGAGTTTTAGGGGCATACGCTTTTTTTTGTGAAATTTTAGTTTCGCAAGAGGAGATGTCAAGAAGGACTCGTGGAACTAGAGATACTGCTAAAGATATTATACTTGGTTTAGCGTAAGTTTCTGAATAATTTTAAAATGTCAAATTTATAAAACTTTACTCTATTTTACTTTTTTGAGGCTATCCGTAAAACACAGTACCGGTCAATAAAATATAGAGAAAAATTTTAGTCAACTGATTTTCGGTCATTTTGACCTAGAACAGGGCTGTCAAGTTTCCGATCATTTTGAATCATTTTCAAAGAATTCGGACTGTGTAAAAAAAGTTTGGACTGTGTTTGAAAAAAAAGCAGAAGCCTTTTTGTACTGAAAACGAAAAACTAGGAATTCTCAAAATTTTCTGTGAATGCAAAGTTTCTGACCTAGGTCAGTTTTACACTCTCCAAAGTTTTTAGAATGATAGGAAACTCGACAGCCGCGCTCCAGGCTCCAGAAAATGACCAAAATGGCCGAGAATCAACGGAGAAATACGTTTTTTGTAGTTCTAATCAACTGGTACACTTTAAATGGTTTATTCAAATAAAAACTGTCAAACTAGTTTTAAAAAACAAGATATTTTCTCAGCAATGATATGAATTCGGTACCTGAAACTGTCAGTGGATTCCTTGTAAAAATGCCTGAAACTAGAGTTATTCAAATTTTCAGGCCATCTGGACAAGGTCCCAAAGCCCCCAAGGAAGGCCATGCAGTCACACCAAAGGTAAAAACCTGAATATTTTTCCTATATCCCTTTGAACGCAGTAACATTGACTCTTTTCCATTTTGTCCAATCATTCAGAATCGTTCAAGTTCTTACGAAACTCCAGTTGTAACCAGACGGGTGGTCACCAGGAAAGCGCAAGTAATTGCAGTGTTCCTCTTTTATTTTTGAGTGAATTCCAATCCTTCTTATCCCCGTTTGATCACCAATTAATCCTTTATTCATTTACCCGAAACCTATGTAAACCGTATTTGTCTTTTTCTAATTCAGACGCCGGAAAGACCACCACGTACTGGAGATGATGGAGCACTTATACGCCTCCAAAGCCAATTGGCACAAATGCAACAACAGAATCGAGATTTGGCGACAGCAGAAAAGGTAGTGTGTAGATGTAATGCATTTCCCCTTTTTAGTTTAGCTAAATCAATTAGTCCATGTGAAATCGGAGACTTCGAATGGAAAATGATACTTTCAGGCAGCTAGAAAACGATTGGAACAAAATCAAGATGCGCTTACACGACGTCTGCAGAACAATGAGTCATCTGGAGTGCAGTCTAGAGATTTTGATGATGTCAGAAGGCAAATGAACAGTATGGACGCGAAGGTTGGAAATGTAGAAGTTCTTGAATCATTGTTTTGTTTAGTTGATGATAATGAACAACGACATATCAGGTCTAAGGAATTCCATGGACCGCCAGGTTACTGATCTTATGCATATAAACAACGAAATGAAAAGCCGACCAGTTGTGGATCCATCTGTGAGCTCACAATTTATGAAATCAACAAAACCTAGTTTTTTTTTCAGAAAATATCCAGCGCCAATTCTCAGCTGGATTCTAAACTACGAGATATGCATAATCAAGTGATGGAGCTTCAAAAAAATTTGAACAGAGAACAAAGGGACAGAGAAAAAGATAGTAAGACTGCCGGTGATGGGTAAGTAACTTTTTGAAAAATGACTTTTATAATCAGATTATAATTAGATTTTATAATCAGATGTATTATCAGATTTTTATTTAGACTACCAGATTGATTTTTTTTGAAGTTTCACTTTAGAATCCAACGTTTACAAGACATGATTCGACATCAAGACCTGGCTCGCCAAGATATAATGACCAACTTGTCGAAGAAAGGAGATGTTGATAAGGATAAATTGAATGAGGAAACAAGGAGACTCAATGATAAAATAAATTTGATCACCGCAGAAGTTACTCGAAAAATGACAGAAAACCAGCAGAAAACAAAAGATGATTTGAATTCAAGAATTTCGGTTTTGGAGAATGTCGGAGTTATTCATGATATTTTAAAGCTAATTGTAAAATTTTCAGATGATTCGTACCCAAACAGAGCGTTTTGTAGCGAATGAAAATGAGATGCGCCTTAGCTATGAGTCAAGATTGGCTGATCTATCCGGGCAATTGGATGTTGCGATGAAACAAATCTCGGTAGTGTCTTGTGTTGTATTTGTAATCTACCGTAATACCTGCTTTAGCAGGGCCTTTTTAATATAAGCTCCGCTCTTATAAAAGGGCCTTACAAGATGCTCTCGGGAAAATAGAAGGACCCTTTTCAAAATATTCTGTTTTAAATTCAAAACTTCCCTGAAAAAAATTCAATTAAAAATCCCGAAAATTTGTTCTTACACTAATGTTGCTCAAAATGTCAATTTTGGTGAAGTTGGTAGACTTTCATGAATGGCGAACGAAATTTTGCCTAATCATCAACGCAAATTTTTGGTACAGTGGTTGAAAAATAGAAAGCCCTCCTCTATGTGAAAGGTCCCTGTAATAGGAGGACCAGAGGTACTTTGGAAAAATATAAAAAAAACTCCGGTTCTTCTAAAACAGGTTTCACGGTAATTTCTGGTTTCAGAGTGAAAAAGCAAAACAAAAAGAAAGATTCCAAAAAGTCAACGAGGCTCTTGCTGCTCTAGAACATCATTTAGAGTTGGGAAACAACAAAATAGATAAACTGATGAATTCGGAAATTCAAGCAAGGTATTTCTAGTTTTATCTAGAATTGATGTAATTGACCTGTTATTCAGAAAACTCCACGAGAAAGGTTTGCTTGCCAAGATGACCGACATAGAAGATAGAGTCAATAATTATGTCGGTGGAATGAATAAATCAATTGATGAGATGAAAAATGGAAATAATAATGTGAAGATGCCCGCTTTGGACACAGACGCAGTAAGCAAAGTTTGAATATTGGGTTTTATAAAATATTTTGCAGCTCCGCCGAGAAATGGAGGCTATTGCTGCAGATAAAAACAAATTGAGTATGGAAGGACTTCTCAAGTTGGAAGAGAAAATGAGCAGAGTTCAGCAAGGTTTCTACCACGACCGTAAGGAAATGAATCAAAGACTCACGGATCTTGGAGATGGGGAACATGTTAGCAAGTGAGACTAAAATATATCAAATAATCATTTTCACAAGTTTGTTCTCAGAATTCGTGCTCAGCTCAACAAAATGGATGCGCTTCAGGAGGATATGGAAAAAGCTCAAGATAGAATACGAGATAAGGTTGAGAGGCAGATCCCACAAGATGTGAGTTTATCACTCAAAAAAGTTACTTCGGGTGGATTCTCTACCTGTTTACGATATTACTTGAATTTCAGTTAAACGAATTGTCGGCCAAAGCGGATAATATAAAACATCAATTGAATACCAGAATCGACAACGAAGAAGAAGAAAGGTTAGGAAATATACAGAAAAGTCTTTAATAGACTGGTGACCAGTCGGAACCAAGTTTTCTGATTTTCTAATGTCTCAATTTTTGAACCAATCAATTTTCGAATCCGTATTTCCCGAGCCTCTAGGATTTTCCGATTTTCCCGAACTTCTGTGTTTCATAATTACTAAACTTTTGAAAAATACGGAATATTTCAATTCCTAAATTTCTTAAATTTTTGGACTTTTTGATACCCGAAATTTTTGTTTTCCTGGATTTTTTTTAATTTCGGGGAGTCAATATCTGTGTACTTATTGAGAAGGCTTGCACCTCTGATGCTGAACCTCATCGTCTCCGTACTCATAATCTTAAAAAGGTTATTCGTCACTATTATTCAGGGCTAAAAATTGGAAATTTAGAAATTCGGAGTTTCAGAAATTTATAATTTGGATAATTTAAAACCAAACATTTCGGAACTCGGGAGATTAAAAAACGACTATTCGGAAAATAGTAAATTCGGTTTCTATTTCGAACTTTTTGGGCCGGCTCCCATTTACAAAACTGCAAAACCATTTGATAAATTTCCCAATTTTATTCAAAGATTGTTTTTTTTCCTTTTTTTTGTTATTTAGCATAGGGTTACCATTTGGGGGGGGGGGGGGATTCATTCCCGCACCCGTCCGGGGGACTCACCTCCGCGGCTCCCGCCGGTCCCCGCAATCATTTAATTGAGGAAAATTTTATTTTCTTCGCTATTTTTCAATTTATGAAACTCAATTTTACATGGAAAATACGTGATTATTTTATCATTAAAAACAATTGAAAAATTCACACACACATAATCGCGTGTGGCCACGGGTGCTGCGGGAGGGAGCCCCATAGCGGGTAGCGGCTAGTCCGCAATTTCACCCACCCAAATGGAAATACTAATTTAGCAATCGGAATTTTGAAAGTCCTCCTTCCAGGAATTTAGACATCCCAAAATTTCGGAATTTAAAATTAAAAATGTTTCAAAGCAAAATTTCGAGAACTCAGAAGGTTAGAAGTACCGTAATCAGGCCTGGGCGGCAACAAAATTTTTTCGGCAATTCGGCAACTCGGCAATTTGCCGCAATTTTCGGCAACAAAAGTTTTGCGTCTTTTTTAGTAAAATCGATACGTAACTCACATGAAAATGCTTCTATCAGGCTCAGAACTACAGAAAATGCGTTTCATTAGTTCCTTAAAAAAGTAATTACAAAAATTGACAACTCAAGACCACATTTTTATGCAAACTATTTCTTTTTAGCAATAGAGGGTATTCCAATGGTTAAAAATATTTGTTCCGATTGTGAGTTTTGAAAATAGTGCGCTCAAATTGTTAGGCAATTCACGACACACGTTCGCTAGAGATTTGAGACAAATTGGATAATTTTTTTGATGAGTTGTGACTCATGATATCTATTTTTCTCCTATGCTCACAAATTTGAAGCCCATTTTTAGATCCGATGCAAGTATTTTTGATGATTATTGGGACACATTTCCTCTAAAATTCACTCTGAGGGATGATGGTGTTCAAAATTTGATTTTTCAAACTGCGAAATCATTTTGTTGACTAAAAAAAATTGTGAAAATCTATAAATTAAAAAAAATTTCAGTTGCCGAAATTGCCGAAATTTTTTTGCCGAAATCGGCAACGGCAATTCGGCAACTTGTTCTTCGTTGCCGATTTCGGCAATGGCAAACCGGCAACAAAAATTCGGCAATTTCGGCAATTTGTTGCCGCACAGGCCTGACCGTAATCCAGGAATTGAAATTTCAGATAATTAGACATTCGAAAATGCAGCATAAGTAAAGCTATGGGCTTTAAAATTTCAGAATTTTAGAGCTTTTCAACAAAGCTTTCAGTTTCTGAATCTACGAAACTCGGTTCTCTGATTTTCAGAGGTCAGATTCGAAAAGAGATCGCTCGGCTAGGGACTGCCTGCCTTACGACTCTTTCTAAACTTGTATAAAGAGAAAGAAACAAGAAAGAACACGATTAAGAATAAACTAGGGTATATTCTCAAAACAAGGCAACACAAATAAAAGAAACACAGAGTCCCAGACTCTAGAAAAAGAACACAAAGAAACCTTTGTAGAACTTTCGTACAGCCACCTACTCGTGAACTGCACTCTCAGAAAAAGGAATCAAAAGCTTTAAAAATGAAACCTAATCAGATATTGACATGGTCACGTGCTCGTGAACCGGTCACTCGAAAGGAATGACTAAAAAGTCCAAAGAAAACCAGCAAAAAGGAATTTCCCGCTGCCAGTGCGCTAGGGCGCGCTTGCACGTGCAGGTGTTTGAGGCAATTCCGAAGGGAATTTTGCCGCTTTGAAAGAATATTCGGAGAGAAACCGGATAAGAATCCGACACGGACATTTCTGATATCTAGATTTCTGGCTTCCCGTATTTTTTGTTTTCTGGTTTTTTCAAAAGTTCAAAAATTTTGAACTACAGGAAATCCGAAACGGGAGATTCAAAATCACAGAAATTTTTGAATTGTTTTTAAATTGCAATTTTCATTTCTAACTCTCTAAATTTCGAGTTTTTGGGATTCAGAAAAACAAACACGGGAATTTTCAATTAGAAAATTCAACAATTCATAAGTTCAAAAGTTGAAAAACTTTGAAATTCACTGATTAAAAAAAACTAAAGTTTTAAAAAACTCTCATTTCCAGTTTGTGAAATAATTCTGCTAATTTTTGGAGAGAATTTGATTTTCCAAGAGAAATGATAGTGAATATGGTCAGAAAGTTCAGAAGTGTCTGAAAATACTGTTTGTAAAAAGAAAAACACTATAGCACACATTTCCAGTAGGCCACACGATCGAAATTGAAGTGATTCCCGAAAAAAAACGAAATTTTCAAAAAATTTATTTTTGTAGATTTGAGCTCAATTTTTTGTAGGCAGCATTTAAATAGACCTAAAAACCGTTTTGCAGAGTTTCATGAAGTTTTAGTGAGTTTTAGCATAATTTCGAAAATTTCGATTCTCAACACTATAGGTTCCCTATTAGCTAGAAGGCCCAGGACACGATGGGCATGAAGCGCTCGGTACTCTATGACTACGTACCACGCACCAATATAGGAGTCCCACGTCTCTTTGAGTTATTCAAGTAAATGTCCGAGACAGACAGACACACAGACACACACACAGACAGAAAAGTTTCCTTACAAGGGAAGTGTTTTCAGACGGGGGTTGAGAATTTGTTGAAAATTTTAGTACTTATAGTTTGAGACATCCTCCACACGATGTCAGAAATATCTCGTCCCCGGATTCACCGGGAAGCTGAAATCTTCGTCTGAAAATTCTCTCCCAATCTCGGCGCGCACTTTTCCCCCTCTCCTCTACGCCCTCCGCGCCAGAGGAAAATGTCGGTTGTGTGGTGTTGTGGCAAGAGGATGTGTCATTAGGAGTGACTATGGTGGTTCGAACCCCACTGTGGGTAAACTTTTTTTGCTCTTTTCGAAACAAATTTTTGATTTCCAGTTTAAACCTCTAGACACTTTGTGACACTTATTTCATGAAATGACAAGGTATTCAAAGCAAAAAAGAGAAATTTCTCAATTTTGCTCTGAAAATTTCTCAATTTTGCTCTTTTCGAGATGTAGTACTGCTAGATCGATCTTTTGATATTTTGATTCCTATTGGATCCGGGGATGAGATATTGCTGACACCGTTTTCAGCATGTTCGAAAGTACCTTTGTACAAATTTTGAGCAAATTCTCAACCCCCGTCTGAAAACACTTCCCTTGTTAGTAAGAAGTAGATATTATAAAGGATGTTTCATCAAATGTCTAATTTTTGATATCTCTTACACAAATTAAAAAAAATGTGCTTCAAAATTTAGGGTGGTATTTCATGAGAGAATTTACGCTTTTACCATGTCATTTTTTAAAGATACTTGGCGATCAAGGAACTCCAGGAAGCCTTCACCACTCTCCAACAAACGCAATATAACGGTGGAAAAACTGCGGCGACATCAGATCAACAGGTAGCTGTTATCATCACTAACTTCAATGAACTAAAATGTTATTCAGATGAAACGCGACGTGGATGAATGCAAAATTGCTATCAAAAAACTTGCTGAGTCAGTCACTACTGTCAAAAATGTGCTTGACAAGAAGATAACAGATGAGACTAAACGAGTGAGTTGTTTCTCTCAATTCGATAGTTACGTATTATCTGTATATTTCCCAGAGAGAAGACGATGTCAGCTCCCTACGTCGCCAAATGAGCTAATCTGCTACGTCAACAAAATTATCACATTTCTCCAGTTAGTTTGTTCTAACTCTATGCTGTTTCATTTTCTATCTTCATTTTCCTTTCTACGTAAATCCCATTTTTAGTGTAATCGGTATTTTTATCTCTTTCACACGACATTTTTCAGATATTTAATTATACCTGTTGAACATCTAACTATAATGAATTGAATACCGATACCTCCGTCTTCAAGTGCGGACCATGTGAGGACAGAGTTATATACTAGGAAGCTTTGAAATGTTTTAATTAGGTGTAGAAAAAATGTTTTTCAATGTTCATAAAAATTCTGAAAGAACAGGTCATGGTGGAAATATTGATGAACTGAAATATGTAATTGCTCGAAGTCGCTGTTATGCAGGCGTCTGTAGACTCAACTTTTCCAGATAACTTTTTACAAAACTTCTTTTAGGAAAGAAAAGTTTCAAAATCGGATACGTACTACATACATACCAAATGTAACACATTTGTGTTGATTTCAGGTGCGTGTCAAAAATTCCGAGTTTCACAACTGCGGAATTTTGAAATATTGGAATTTCGGAACATTCCCATGTCGAAATTTTTAGAATTTTGGAAAATCCAAATCCTGAAGTTTTCGGAATTTCGGAATACTCCGATTTCAAAACTTTCGAAATCCGAATTTTTTTTCAACATTCATTCACAGTACGGATATCCAACTTCCAGTGCAAAAAATCGGATATCCGATTTTCCAAAAAAAAAATTCGGATTTTTATTATTTCAGCACAAAGAAGATTGATAAAATCAGTTCCCTAATCATACTACATAAGTCCCGAAAGCAGGTCAACTCTGTTCAATTCTAAAATTTTATGTAAGCTAATCCAGGTAGCAACAACAATAACTAGAAAGTCACGGCATCACACAACTAGGTCACAAACGTCATAATTATCACCTTGCTAATTATGGTTTTCTATTTTTGAATAAGAATTTTCGGAAACTTTTCCCTTGTGTTTTCATCAGCCTGTTATGTTATTCGATCGTTGTTACGGAAAGGCGGTGTTCGAAAGTTTTCACCCACCCTTCTCCAACTTCACACTGAAAATGTATTATGAGAATGTGCTTATGTATAATATGTTCACCTTGAAATTGGATTCGGAGATAGTGATTTTTATCCAAAACGGTTGTTGTGTGCGTGGAAAAAACCTTCTTTCCTCATTGTCCCAATGAGAGTCAAAGAAAGACTTGAAAACAATGGGCTAAAATCACAATTAATTTGAAAGTTACATTTTTTGAAACTAACACTGTTCTCCTCTCTCATCGACATGAAGAAATGAATAGTTTCTCGGTGTCCAGTTTGACTCGTATGTAAATATATATTGAATATAAATTATACTCGTTATTTTTAAAATGATGAAAGTCTACCTTGTTTCCAGCCTTGTATTTTTGAGGCACGTAACGTGCATTGTATTTTTTAGGCACGTAACGTGCATTGTATTTTTGAGGCACGTAACGTGCCTTGTATACCGGGGGGCCGGGCCCGGGCTTTGAAATTTTCCTCAGGCCCGGCCCGGCCCGGGCCGACCGGAATTTTTCAAGTATGCCTTTATGTATGCAAATGGGAGGCCGTTTTTTCTTTGCCGGCGTGGCTCAGTCGGTAGCGGCACCGCACCCTCAATCCTCGCCCCACAAGTTCTACTCCTCGAGGGCATATATAGAATTTCGAGAATATTTTTTTTTCATGTTCCCCCAGCTTTAAGTTTTTTTTCTTTTTGAAAGTGTTGTTTTTGAGCTTCGATTTCTGGTTCTAAAAGTGGCGCACCCGGCCAGATTTTTTGGCTCTTTCCGGGAAGAACGGTCCCAAAGCGGGACCGTCGGTCCTATCATCGGACCGCCGGTCCCAACGAATTGCGACAACGGTCCGATTGTATCGACAACGGTCCTATTGTTCCGACAACAGTCCCAATGTCCCGAGAACGGTCCCAACGACAAGGGTTCCAGGGGAACGAGAACGGTCCCAACCAGATTTAATCTGGAAACCCGATTTGGAACACTGTAATTTTTTTTAAACTTAGAAACACAATTCAGCAACAAAAACGAACATTTTTCTGATAACTGAGAATTCCAGCACTTTTCTTGAATTTGTTCAGAGTGTATTTGGTCTATAATTATAGGCTTAGGCTGAAACGCCTTGTTCACATCAGTGCCGGAAAAAGGCTTTTGGCCTAAGCCTACAATACAAAAAACGTAATATTTTGTGAAAAGTTCCTGTCAAAAATTATTGAAATTCCCAAGTATAAGAAAAATGATAAATTTTCCACTGGATTTTTTAAAGACCATTCTGTTTTTTTTCTGTATTTCGGGAACAGGGTTTCCAGATTAAGCCTGGTTGGGACCGTTGTCGTACCCTTGGGACTATTGCCGGAACGTTGGGACCGTTCTCGGAACATTGGGACCATTATTGGAACAATGGGACCGTTGTCGGAACAATGAAACCGTTGTCGAAACAACGGGACCGTTGTCGCAATTCTGGGGACCGGTGGTCCAATGATGATACCGGCGGTCCCGATTTAGGACCGTTCTTCCCGGGAAGAGCCGATTTTTTTTGTTTAAGAGCTGTGGCCAGTGTCTATCAGATTGTAGATTTTCAAATTTTTATTTCACTTCGTGTTGGAAAAATGGTGGTTCTTTTGGTCCTTATCCCAATGCACATAAGCAACATGCTTAGATTTTCATTTTTATTTGGTCTTTAAACACCTGCTATTGGCAATAAAATTATTGATATATAAGGGACATGTTCCGTCACCGCCTACAATTTGCGTTTGGTTAGAAAAATTCCGCGCAGGGGAGTTCAGTTTGAAAGATGGCAACGGCCTAGTGGTCGGATTTTCATCAATTGATAAAAACCAAGGAGGTGGATCCATTTCAAACTATTCATAAAATGTCACAGACATTGTCCTTTAGTCAATAAAGTTTTGTGAACGGATCGAAGTCTCTTGGCAAAGTCAAAAACTGGGTTGATTCGCACACCGTGTTTTTCCGAACTTCCATATGTTTCGCCATGTAGACATGGGTATGTTTCACCTATCATTTCTTCGCACGTTCAGTTGGCTGAATGATCTAACTACCGTATATGAAAATTCGGTAAGTTACTCTATCAATGTGCGGAAGGGTCAGTCGATTAACAAAAAAGGGCTAGCTCTGGACGTCCGGAAACCTAAATTTCACATGAAAAAGGGCATGCTAGAAATTTGGTGATTTTGTGAAATAATGAAGACTGGGAGGTTCTAGATGTANGTACTACTAAAACTGCCGCCTTGTATAATTTCTAGTTACAGAAAGTGAATTTGAGAGTCGAATCACAACGAGGAGAAAAATCCACAGTTCATTTCAAGCACACAAAATCACCGGTGACTTGAGGGATCAGCCAAAAGTTCATGTCGCTTCGTTAAACTATTTTTTAACGCAGTGTTTTCCGGACCTTGTCCTTTCAGACAAATGGTCGTTTGGGGCTCACTGATAAAATCTTGGCACAAGTGTTGTCAACATTTCTTCAGTTGACGTATTTTTGCTAACTCGCATAAGAACCCCTCAAACTCAGCTCAAAGTTTCTTTCTGTGTGACGGAGGACAGCCGTCTGTTCCGAAAGTTTTGTTTCGATCTCATATATCGCGGTTTCTGTGGGAGCTATCAAAAATCTGTCAACTGATAAAATCTTGGCACAAGTGTTGTCAACATTTCTTCAGTTGACGTATTTTTGCTAACTCGTCATCTTGATAGAAAAATTTTCAATCGAAAAGATGACACCAAAAAGGAGTTGGCTCATTTCTTCAATCTCACACTCCATATGTTACCCGGGGATTCGGATGAAACCTATCCTAAATAGTAGTACACAGTCTAACTAGAACAACCCCCGAATTATAGCTGCCGTCGTGAAGGTTTATTCAAATGGCGATGATTTTTCGTGAGTTTGGAGTCGGTACCCTTAGAGCAACCATAACTTTGTTCATTTTTACTGTAGACGTTAAAACTATTTTTTATTCAAAAGGTGATACGTTGGCAAACAATACTGTTAATTGCACCTACGCTCTAGCTTAAAAACGATAGTCAGGAAAAATGAAAATACGAAAATATCGAGTTCCAACGAATTCAAAAATGTCAACTTTTGAAAAAAAGTGCTCGGGGGACCATGTCTATCAGATTTTTCAGGGCGAGTATCGTACGTATACGTGTTCAAATATAGGTCGAGCCCTTGAGTTACGAGACTTATTTCCATTTTTTCAAAAAAAAATTTATAATTCATGTACTCTATACATGAAATTTTTAGAGAAAAATTTTAACTACCGAATGCTTTCCTTTTCAGTTTCTGAACTTTTCTTTGTTGTTTTTTTTTGTTTTTATTGGTTATTCTTGGTTTTCGAAAACTTTATTTTTTCGAAAAATTTCATGTATATAGTACATGAATTATAAATTTTTTTTTTGAAAAATGGAAATAAGTCTCGTAACTTAAGGGCTTGACCTATATTTGAACACGTATACGTACGTTACTCGCCCTGAGAAATCTGATAGTAATGGTCCCCCGACCAATTTTTCTCAATAGTTGGCATTTTTTGAATCCGTTGGAACTCGATATTTTCGTATTTTCTTTTTTCCTGACTATCGTTTTGAAGATGGAGCATAGGTGTATTTACCAATAATGTTTGCCAACTTATCAACTTTTGAATAAAAAATAGTTTGAACGTCTACAGTAAAAATGAACAAAGTTATGGTTGCTCGAAGAGTACGGACTCCAAACTCACGAAAAATCAAAAAATGCCTCGCCATTTGAATAGACCTTCACGACGGCAGCTATAATTTTGGGGTTGTTTTAGTTAGACTGCGTACTACTATTTAGAATAGGTTTCATCCGAACATATGGAGTGTTTCCCGTGTCAGCCCTCTTCGTTCTAGGCCAACGGATTCAAGAAATTACCAGAGCGTTGCCAGACAACTACTGATGCTCATGGACGTTACTTTCATTGATATTGCTCCCTCCGTTTTAAGGAAAATCGGATCAAAAATTTTGCCAAAAAAGAAAGAAATTTTCTTACCAACCTAATAAAATGTGATGAAATGTGATCTACGACTTCGTAAATGATAAATTAGTTTTCGAAAACAATAGAAACAAAATACCATAGTTGCAAAAAGCCGGGTCGGGCCGGTAGACGAATTTCCTCGGCCCGGCCCGGCACGCGGCCCGTCCCACCTACCACAGTAGAAAAATTTCCAATGAAAAATTACCCAATTCCAGAGCCGACTTTGACTCATCCTTCCAAGAGATCGCTCAATATTATGAAGCCACCCTCAGGACCTTTGCGACAATTTCGTGAAAACAAACCCAAATTATTGGGTCTGTGAAGTTTCTATGCACTCCCAAATAGTGCAGCGAGGATGATTGTTCGCCATTATACACATATATTTTTTTTAGAATTTCTACCCAATAACAAAATTTCTTCCCAACAATACACTTATTTCATCAGAACACTTCTACATCAGTATCCATTGACCTTTTCCTCATTCTCTTTCTCATTATCACTTTTGAATTGTCTTAGGAGTTCAGTTGGAAGCTCCGCCATTCCTTCTGACGTTAATGATGTCTGGAAAATAGGCGGAGCTTTATTCCTCGAAGCGATAAGATTTCGTCAAAACAAATAAGTTCGTCGTATCGGAATGTAAGTTTCTGTGTCTTAAATGTTCAGTGCACTCTGTCACAAATCAAGACCCACTATTTTGTACTCACTTTCAGCACACGCTCTCCTGTTTCTAAGCAACGGGATCGCAGCCATCAATTAGCATTCTTCGAGCTGCTGGATGTTGCCATTTTACACTTTTTTAAATTTCTTCTGTTTCTTTGTTCAGCTTCTGATTTTGTAATTCTATACAATTCTTGTTTTTTTCTTGTCTTTTGCATTCGTTGTCTTTGTTTATCATTTTTAAATGGATCATGCGGCGGGGTCAATTCCGGTATGACACGGGTCAGCATTGGGAGCAAATGAGGGAAGATAAATCTGTATAGAGGTAGCTTACTCTGTCATTGCTTTTTCGGATTAATCTGAAGAAAAAAGTTGGATAATGATTTGGGAGTGTGTGTGTGTTTAGAAAGGAACTCTAGAAAAATGACCGTATTTGAAAGAATTCTCAAGAATTCCTTCAAGAGGATGAATTCCTTCGGGAGCCTCATCGAGAAATTTTCCCCACGCGAGGAATTTCTAGAGCATCTTGTCGCCGCGTGTGGCGCTCTGAAACCGTCGTTTTTTTGTGATCTCGTAGAATTTTTCAAGGATTCCTCAAAATCTCTTGAGAGATTCTCGAAAGATTCATGAGGTATATTTCTCGAACATTTCTTGAGAGATCTCAAGGAACGTCTTGAGGAATACCTCCAGAAATTTCTCGAATGCTTTCGAGAGACACGCACTGTTCTAAGTAAACCCCTCTCAGAGTTCAGTTCACACGCAAGGTGTTCAGAGGACCAATTGAAATTACCCAGCTTGTAAACTTTAAGTCAACACATGCCGGAGCTGTGCGCGGAAAAGATATACCATCATAATGTTTTTATTGGGTGATGTTTTGTTGAATTCAGTTTTCGATAAACAAATCATGATGAGAGCCAGCTTGCATTGGGAAAGGTCTAATTGTCCTCGCAGCTCCTCAATAACTTTTATGAATGCCATTGAAAATGTTCTTGTGATTCTCATCATGTTTGTTGTTTACCTGTCTTTGAAAACATCGTTTTCATAGAAAAGTTTAACTGATTTCTTCTATTACCTCAATTGTTTCGAACTTGACGGCACCCTGCAATTATAAGTTGAAAGGAAAAAAATCATCGGGGGCGGTGCCAGGAGCGCTTGGCGTGATTCGTGTGCAGCTTTGCTCCTTTCTGGCAACACAGTAGATTTTTAACTGCAACACCTTTTATCTTCGTCTAAAAAGTTTTCTACCCCATTTTTCAACAATATGACTTTTAGTTATTGTAGACAAGGTCTTGACTTTGTGAAAAACGCAAAATCTTACAATTTGATATGTTGTGTTATTAGCTCTCAAACGTTTAGTTTCTTGTTTTTCATGATTTTTTCGATTTTTTTACTCGTAATTCAAGCAGTTCTTTGGAAACTAAATGTACAAAAGCTTGTTTGCAAATGGAAATCATCCCATGACCGTTAAAATTGGAATAAAAAGTAAAACCCAATTGAAATGCTTTGAGAGCTAATAACACAGCCCGTATTTGGTCGAATTGTATGATTTTGAATTTTTCTAAAAGCCAGAAGCTTTGTCTACAATAACTAGGTGACAAAAGTTGGAAAAATAAAGAAGAAAACTTTTTAGACAAAGATAAAAGGCAGTTTCAGTTGATAATCTACTGTGTTGCAAGAAAGAAGCCAAGCCGTCTGCGAATCACGCCAAGCGTTCTTGGCACGGCCACCGATGTTTTTTCCTTCTTAACTTGTCATCGCAGTGCGCCGTGAACTTCAATAATCTTACGAAAATGTGTTTCTCCTTCTCAGCGTTTTTACGATTTTTTAAAGCGTCCCACCGATATAAGACAATGAAACTGTTTTTTCCTATTTTGATTATGGGGGGAACTCAAATATGAAGTCCTATTTCACGATTTCCAGAAATTTCCCAAAATTTCTATTTCTGTTTTTTCTCCCAGAATTTACTTCCTTGTTAGTCACTAATCTACGGAGAGAAATCACCACTTTTCTGTGTTGCCTTTAAGTCATAATTATCATCCTTCTTTTCATTTCAGTCGTATCTGTTGTCCCTCTGGTCCCCAAGCTCTGATTCATGCACTTTTCTATTTCAAACTATACTTTCCAACAACTTCAATCAACAACTCATGCTTATTTAAAATTTTCTAAATACTCCTATTGACGTCAGAATGATAATAACTGAGTAGTAATAACTTTTGAATCTCCTCATATCTCTTATTCTTACTTATATCTCTTATTTTTAGCTGATAAACCTATATCTGATTCTCTCGAGTTTTTATTAAACTTTCCATGTGTTTTAAAAAACTGTTTTTATAGCTCGAAATAATGCTCACTTTTGCCCCGACGTCATATCGGGTGAAATCAAACACTGGTCACGAAATCTTCGATCTCACACCGGCCGCATTTTTCCTCAACTCCCAGTTCGTTGACTTGTATGGAAACCCACAGAACAGAAACACGATTGTCCACGTTGATGTAAAAGAAGGATTGTTGCGCATTGTTGTTCGCTGGAGTCAGATGACTGCTGCGAACGCATCCGCCAACACAAGAGAACTCACTCCAGCTCAGATTCAATTTTTCGCTTACATCGAGAATGCGGAACTCTACGAGCTGTTTGGCGTAGCTCTAAGAATCAGAAACCAGAGTCTGATCGTTGCAGTCCAGAGAGAAAAGGAGCGCCGCCGCAGAGAGATCGAGCCATTATTCTATGGACCACTCGCTCATTATATTCGTAATTGATTCTGATTTCTATGATCCCAATCAGTAAGTTTTATTCAGAAGGTTTCATCTCCTACAATTAGACAAAGTTTCAGATTCCAAAGATCCAATGTTATTCTTCCATTAACTTTATCACTATATTATCGAAATTAAATATTCTCCAGGTAAAGGAAACTTCCCGAATAGTTCTAAAAATGTGTTTTTTCAGTTTCGAAAAACTTTAATATGCAAACTATTTTGTTATGTATGTGCTGTATCGGTTGTACAATCCTACATTTTCCAAATAATATTATGGGACCAGTTTATTCATCCTTGGGAATCTGCAATTTAAGATTTCGTTCAGTTTCTTTTTTGAATTACAATATACTCAAACGACTTTTTTTTCAATGGGACCCCAGCCATATCTAGATATGCGAGGACAACTAGCAATTACTTTCCTTTTACACAAAAAACATCAAAACTCAATTATTACATTTCAAATTTCAATATTTTGAAAATGCGGATTTTCGAACATATTTTGGAAAACATTTCAGAGTCATTTATTCTGATTTTCGATGTTCCATCATTTATTTTACGCTTTGTCTAACGTTCTGTCTTTTTATGTCCCTAATTATTTAAATAATGAAATTGCCGAAAGTGTTTTAACAGATTTTCTGACAGTATCAGAAACGTTCTATAAAGGAAAATTCAAACTTGTGTTTTTTGTTGGTTCTTCAGATATTGCATGTTTCTAGACTTCTAAAACATTTACTTGAAAAACAGTTTGCCCTGACATGTACAACACTTGCAGAAATAAGGTCATGAAGTGTCAAAAATTTGTTTTTTTTTTGAGTAGTGAAATTCTCAAAAGTGACATTTATCCATCTAGTCAGAGTTTTTTTTTGTTGAAATTCAAAACACTATGTTATCCGAAAAATTCCCGTCAATAAATAAGGATTAGTTTTGAAATATTGATAAACTTGAGCCCATGAATTGTAATTCCCGATAAGGATTTTGAAAGCATAAACATACTTGTTTACTAATTGAGACCTCGTGGCCACATTCTTGAATGTTCTCTAGAAACAAGCTGAAAACGTATTAGAGTATTTCTTGTTAAAGTATACTTGATTTCTAATAGTTTAAAGAAATTTAAAATTTTTCTAACCTACACATTTCAGATTTGAAAATGAGGATAAAGATTTGTACGACTTATGACGAGAAATAAGCAATTTGGAATTTTTCCCATCTGCTGAATGTCAACCGCCGGAAATTTGTTTTGAAGTGTTTCACAGATATATAAATGAACCGTTAACTCTTCATTAGAATTATAATTTTTCCTTTGTCGCACCACAAAAATGTTCCCTAACAATAGAAAAATTTCGGAGAAAATGAAAAAAAATTGGATTTGAGTAATATCAAATCTTGAATGCATGGAATCTTCCACTAGGTAAGAGTATAATTTTTCCAGATCATTTTCAAACTAATTCTTGTCAGATACTAATGCCTTTGGACTGTTCCTCTCCATTGTTTTTGTCATCATCCGAATGAAATTCGTCTCATTTTGAAAAGACAACCGTCATGAAATCCTATTAAAAGTTTATGTCACTTCTCCTTCTAATAATTTCTTGATATCGTAAAAAAAGAATTCAAATAAACTTTACCCTTCAACCATACTTCATTCAAGTCATGACTCGTAACACAACAAAGTCCCATTGATATCCTTTCCAAGTTAAGAGATATTCATTCCGAAAGAGAGAAAAAGAAAGAGAACACTTTCTGGCAATGTCGCTAACAATAATTTTCGATAAAGGACACATTGCTATTATGTTGCACATGGTCAGATCTTTCGCAATCACGACAACATGTCTCTCCCTTGCAACGTTGCATACGCGTCTCTCTCACTCCTCATTTGTTTCCAAAAACAGGTGCGCATTAATCGCTGCTTCTCTTTAACCTTTTTTCTATAAGACTATAATTTTTCCTTAAGATGTGCTGCGTGATATATAATTTTCATATGATACAATTTGAAAGTTTGATAGGATATTCTTTTCTACCAGATCCAATTTGTTGAATGTTCACTTCCTTTTATGGCGGGCGTTATTAATCAATAAAACCCAAACTTTATATTTGGCTCAAATTTTCAAAACTCTTGGCAATTCTTTTCGCAAACAAAACACAATATTCTCAGGATCTTGTTCTCAAATTTTCCGAAATGCACTGGCTTGTCTCGACAACCACAATGTTGATATTGGGAGTTATTTACATCATCTTCCCAGATTTTGAGTTCACCATCAGCAACACCATGATCATCATAGGAATGAGTAAGTTCAAACTATTAATGAACAAAAATGTGCCGTGATTCAGTTCTAATCGTGGCTTCTCACTACGACTGTTACGAGGATCAGCGAAGGCAGCTGCCGAAAATGCTGGTAATTGAGAAAAATGTTGTTCGTTAAAGTTCAATAAATAATGTGACTGTTGGATTTTTTTCATGTCGAAATACAGTGAGGTCAATATCTATACGACCCCCCTACATTTTGGACGCACAGAATAAACTAGAATTGATATCAAAAAGCGGTTAACGCCATTCGATTCACAATCAAAAATAATTTCTAGAGGCAAATTTCCATAATTTTAGCACGTATATCATCCAAAAAACCCATTTGCAAGCGGTCAATATCTATACGAGTACATGGAAAATGAAAAATCTCAAGTATTTTAAAGAGCAAATTTGAAGTTTTTCTGGTTGAAAACGGCTAAAATAGTCCTAAAACAGCATGTTTTGACAGTTTATGTTTGAAAGATGTTCGAAGTCGTTAAAAATGCTATCAAAATTGTTATTTTGTATTGAAAACTGCATTTCGAAAGTTAAATCAAGTTTTTTTAAACATAAATCAGAATCACCGAGTTTCAAGGTCAGTTTTTCAAACTTCAGATCATCTTTCATCACAAACAACGGCTCAGAATAGCATGAAAACAGTTGGTACATAATTAAGACTACGGTAAAAATAATTTCTATGAATTTCAGCTCGAAATCTTATCCAGGAGACAAGTTATTCAAGGCTTATTCCAAAAACCAAAAAAATGGTGAAAGTATCTAAAAATAATTTTTTCTAAAACTTGAATAGAGGAGTTAATTTTTGTATAAACTGTCAAAACATACTGTTTTAGGACTATTTTCGCAGTTTCCAACCAAAAAAACTTCAAATTTGCTCCCTTAAATTTCTTGAGATTTTTCATTTTCCAGGTGGTCGTATAGATATTGACAGCTTGCAAATGGGTTTTTTGGATGGTACACGTTCAGCGAAAATGCTAAAATCATGAACCTTTGTTTGTAGAGGTAATTTTTGTGGTCGTATAGATATTGACCTGTATTAAAAAGTTGAGAGCATACAATTGTTCTATCTGTAGTTTCCCACGACGCTGCTTTCTTATTTTTGAGAAAACTATTTGGTAGATGCGTCAGGGAGCTAGATCTAAGAAAGTAGGTAAAGGGAGCTTCCAGGTATCGCATTGTACGGTATTCTACCGTGTTTTCTCTTTTAAAATCCTCTTTCCAAGTCTAAAGGAGAGAAATCTCCCCCCGAACACACGTGCAAGAGGTGTGGATTACTGTATCCGCGCGCGAAACTGTGTGCGCGCCAAAACGCGTCTCCTCTCTCGACAAATTCTTATCGTTTTCTTTAGTTTTCGCTGGTGTTCGCTCACGATTGGTGACGACCCGTTAAAGTGTGGCTCACTGGTTTTAAAGGTTTTATAGTGGTTTATTGAGTAAAATCAATAAATAGTGTTTTATAGGAAATCTGTGTTTTGTATTCTTCTAGTCTTCAGGTTACACAGCTCTCTTTGAGTACATAGAGGTTCTGTGAGTGCATAGCGTTTGTCTGTGGTTCTCACTCTCTCTCTCTCTCTGCATCTCGTTGTTTTCAATAGTGTCTTTTAGCAGTTAGTGTTTCTGGGAGTTCTTTCAGTTACATTACTACATGACTATGATGGCTAAATCAGGCACTGTATTGAAAAAGCTGAGAGCATACAATTGTTCTGTCTGTAGTTTCCCACGACGCTGCTTTCTTATTTTTGAGGAAACTATTTGGTTGATGTGCTCAGTTTCATAGTATTTCATTTTTGTGGGACGGTGATCCTAGTTATCTAGTGAGGAAATTTAAAAAAAACTGCTATTCAAAGTACTTTATTCGTGTTCTCAAGGCCAAATCGATTCAATCAAGTTATCTAAATATGTTTTTTCTTCTCTGGCTGCTCCGGGCTAATCGATGACAATCACATTATCGATATCCTTGTATTTGATTGGTGACGTCGGGGACACCTCAGGAATAGACTGCTCATACTGTTTCCAGATTCGTGTCATGTCTGGTTTCTTCTCATTCCATTCCATCGTGTCAAACATCTCAATCAGCTGACCCATCCACTTCTGTTCTCCCGAGAAAAATGAAGTTGGAGATGCATGCTGAAAATAAATAATCATTAGTATTCTGAATAATGTTTTCAAACTCACGAAGCGTTTCTTGGAGGCATCAAAAGAGTACTTGGCGGTGTCGAAAATTTGAGCACCGGCGACATCAGACATAAGATACATCGCGGAAACCAGATCATCTCGTTCACAGTACTCCTTCCCTATCGTGACATGATAGCTGGTCGTGTAAGTGTGAAAGTCGCATTTCTGACGAGGGTGGCACGGTGCGGAGTTTCCCAAGTCGATGACCCGGACAACCACCTCCTAAAATTTCTAATTGTAATATTCATTTTTGGAATTTTTGAACCCACCTTTCCCACTTTTTTGATCATAACATTGTTATCATTAATATCTCGATGAAGGTATCCGATTCCGTGAAGACTATGAAGAGCTTTTGTGAGCGCGAAGGAGATCCGAAGGCAGTTATCGTTGGTGAAGACTTTGTTGTTTTTACGTGATAATATATCATTTATGGATTCGCCTTCGAGGCTCAGAACTGAAAAAAAATATACACCGTATACACTCTAATAGAATGACCACCCTCACTAACTTCCAACGTTGAGCCAATTTATCTCGGTTCCTATGGAAGGTAACAGAAAGTGGTCAACTGACAAAATGATTATGCTATCATAATACACATTTTGTCAGGCGACAACTTTTTTTATATCTTCCACAGAAAACGAGATATATGAGCTTAAAGTTGATGATGTGGGAGGCCTGCTATTGGAGTGTTCAAACAGTAAATGCTCTAACAAAAGCAAACCGTGCTCTTCGACTTCACTTATCTCGGCTTCTCCGAGAGGTATCAAAAAATGTTTAACTAGTAAAATGTTTCTGGTGACATTACCAACATTTTATTAGTTGACATATTTTCGATATCTTCTTAAAGAACCGAGATAATTGTGCCTGAAGTGCACATGGGGGGCTTTCATTAGAGTATTTACTGTAGTTTGATCTAAAAAACCCACTGATAATCCGGTAGCTTTTGGTTTCAAAGTAGTTGGACATCTGGGGCCAATGGACGAGACCAATGCACTTCTTCAACGCGGCAACCTCCGTCTCAAACTTTCCAGTATTGTCGTCTTCTTTGCGAGCCACCTTTGCTGCTTGGAGTGCATCGTTTTCGGAAGAATCATGAACTTTGAACACAGTGCCGAAGCTCCCGTAACCAAGACGACTGACAACACGATATCTCTGGATGATGAAAGTGCCTTGGGTGTAGCAGCTGATCGGATTCCTGGAAATTCATTTTCATTAATAGTACGATTTTCAAACACAAACTCACAACATATCTGAGAAAAGAGAAAGAGAGAGAGAGGAGAAATTCCTTGTGGTGATCACAAGAGTGATAGAAGGAGGGAATAAATTTTCTTTTGAGATTTCTCCACACATCGACATTTTTCTTTTTTTTTCTGACCTCACGGATCCCGCGGAAATAATCAATTTTTCATCCTTTATCAGGCTGAAGCTAGAGCCATCATAGTTATGTGATACCTGAAAGCTCCCTTGACCTACTTTCTTAGATATAGCCCTAGGAACATATAATTGATGTAGGGGTGCCAATTTGGGATGCCTGATCCAGCCATCATAGTCATGTGATACCTGGGAGCTCTCTTGACCTACTTTCTTAGATATAGCTCTAGGAACATATAATTGATGTAGGGGTACCAGTTTGGGATGCCTGATCCAGCCATCATAGTCATGTGATACCTGGGAGCTCTCTTGACCTACTTTCTTAGATATAGCTCTAGGAACATATAATTGATGTAGGGGTATCAGTTTGGGATGCCTGATCCAGCCATCATAGTCATGTGATGCCTGGGAGCTCTCTTGACCTACTTTCTTAGATATAGCTCTAGGAACATATAATTGATGTAGGGGTACCAGTTTGGGATGCCTGATCCAGCCATCATAGTCATGTGATACCTGGGAGCTCTCTTGACCTACTTTCTTAGATATAGCTCTAGGAACATATAATTGATGTAGGGGTACCAGTTTGGGATGCCTGATCCAGCCATCATAGTCATGTGATACCTGGGAGCTCTCTTGACCTACTTTCTTAGATATAGCTCTAGGAACATATAATTGATGTAGGGGTACCAGTTTGGGATGCCTGATCCAGCCATCATAGTCATGTGATGCCTGGGAGCTCTCTTGACCTACTTTCTTAGATATAGCTCTAGGAACATATAATTGATGTAGGGGTACCAGTTTGGGATGCCTGATCCAGCCATCATAGTCATGTGATACCTGGGAGCTCTCTTGACCTACTTTCTTAGATATAGCTCTAGGAACATATAATTGATTTAGGGGTACCAGTTTGGGATGCCTGATCCAGCCCTCATAGTCATGTGATACCTGGAAGCTCCCTTGACTTACTTTCTTAGATCTAGCCCCCTGATCATAACATCGCCTTAGGAACATATAGTTGATGTAGGATTATCAGTTTGGAATAATTTTTTCTTTTTTCTTAATTAGTGAGATAGCTTTTTTCCGCAAAAAAATTTTTCAGTTGCTCGACCAGGTTTCTGTTGGCGGCCACAACAGACAGCAAAGACGGTTCGACAAAAGTAAAAAACATGTATTTCTTTTTCATCTTTATTCAATTCATGTGTGTTATTATTACGACGATATGAGAAAAAGAACAATCGGGAAACGTGTAGTTCACTGGGATAGTTGTATTTTAACATGTGAGAGCAAGAACTGTTTTTATTATCTTGGTGGAAAAACAATTACAATAAAATGAGAACTGGGAATCATTAATTAGAATCATTAATTATTTTGAAACGGTTGAGGTGGCGATATTAATGTGGATCAACGAGGTCGATTTAGAAAGACCTCACGGGTATTGGGAGCTTGTTGAAGTCGAGATACGTAGTAAGCCCATTCGGCAAATTGCATCCGTCGCGTTTGCACAAGCAACGAAGAAGTTTGGAATGGGCGTCCGGCAACGTGGAATTGGAATGCCTGAAAATGAGAAAATTAGATCAATTTTTGGCAGAAATTTATGTAACTCACCTCCTGGAGACAAACGTTCAGCATGGCGTGTCCGCGGTGAACGACCTGGTAGAGGTTGAGGACGTTCGGGTAGTCGTCGGACTTCATGTCGACTCCGTTGTGTGGGGTTCACTTTTTTTTTCAAAAGAGTAATCGTTGAGTATCAAATATATGAATTTTGTTTCTCATTTTTTCTTCCCTTCTTGAAATTTATCATATAGTATTTAACAGAAAAATGACTTCTCAAGTTTGGATCCTCCTCTCAGAAAATGGTCGTCTTCATGCTGTCAGTAATATGGCCCTCTGTGTTTCTACAGAACTTACAAAACGTGTTTAGCATTGAAAGAAGCAAAGAATGCGCTTATTGTGGACAATGTGAGCGCGGAATGTCTCTTGAAAGTGATCCATTGGAGCAATACGCACATCCATGCATCTCCAGACAATCGAGCACTTCTCGATTCCGACGAAATGAAGTTTTTCAAAGGAATGAATTCCCGGGACATCTGTAAATTGGGTCTTGCTGCAAAAACCCTAAGCAACAAGAGCCTTGAGAACGGGTGTCGGAAAATTCTTCTCGAATCTAACCAATCCTACTACTATTTCAATGGAAATCAAAATGTCAAATTTCATTTATAATCTATCAACCTTTATTCCTACAAAATACGTCTCATATCGAGTCATTATTATTTACTTCTGAAAAATTGTAAGTTTGTGTTTTTCAGAAAGCATTTCTTCACAATTCTTATTATTCCAGAATCACCTGCTTCTTTCTCATGACTTTCCAGAGTTACGCTGTTCTTGCAGTTTCCAACTACTTCCCTTTCAATATGTCTGTTTAAAAATCTTCAATAAGAAGAATAGGTTCTCTTCTCGGATCGGATCGTGTTGATAACAATGACACCGCTATTAGTGATCAGGTGAGTGACTTGAGATTTATCTCACTCTGAAATTTTATTGATTTTTAGGACGACATGAGTTGTTCTGTAACTATAGTTTCTAACTTTCTCATTACTATTCTGACCCCTGTCTATTATTTTCATTTCTTCAAACAAAGGAAAGTAGGAATTTACAAAAAAGGCCAACTAATTATAAACCAAATTGCATTTGTATCTATTCCTACGAGCTTGTTTTGCATTTGTAATACAATATATTTCATCACTGAGTGCATGCGAGTTTAGGAGTATTTGGAATACCAAAAAAATATAGTTACAAATTACCACCTGTTATTTTATATACAAAACATTCAAGCAGCACTCGAAGAACGATCAGTATAGTTTTGCAAACACTTAAATATATAGCCATCGGTCTATTTTATTGGAGTTCGCGGATTTTCCAACATGTAGTTTTGTTTTTCCAACCTCTCCTTAATAACTTCATTGTCCTTCTCGCCTCTCAACGATTTGTCTTCGTCTTTCTTCCCGAAAAAGCGCATTTTCTAGCAAAAAGGTAAGAATTATAGACAGACAGGGTGTCCAAATCAGAACGAATTTATAGAAGAGCTACACGCATCTATATCATTACTATCTGGACAGTTTCAATATTATTCGGTGCCTTAAACGGTGTGATACTATATGACGTCACAATTAATCGAGCGATCCAACATTCCCAGCGTTTTTTCAACAAATTGAGTTACTTCACTTTTGCATCCCTGGCCTTTGTGACATCAATATATTTCTCCATATTTATTCACTTATACAAAATGCCTAGAGACAATAACTGGAATCGGCCGGAAATTGGATTGCTGTATGAGGGGATTCCTTTATTGCTGACCAATGTGAGGCGCTTAAAAAACACAATCTCCACTATAGAATTCTGATACTTAAGAAAAATTCAGAACCTTCAAGTGATTGACACTTTTTTATAGATGAATTGTAAAATAGTAGGAACCAGTTTTTTTTTTCAAGGACCAGTATTTTGCAGTAGAGCCATAATAAAACTAAAGAAACAAGAGGTTTGTTCCAGATTTTTATATTATGCTACATCCAGTTTGACGTTGAAGGGAAGGAGCTCTACGACTGGTACATTAATTATGGAATGAGAAAAATAGTTATTTCAACGGCTCTTGTTCAATTTACCTATGTTTTCACGTTTCAAATGATCGTCTTGTTTTTCAGCACTGACATTAGAGTTCTGTTGAATCGATCTTCGATAATTCGCCCAATAAATATTGTCTCCTGATGCCATGGTTATATGTAAAACTTATATCATTTTAATATTGAACACTAGAATTTCCAAAATAATTTTTTACTTCTGCAATTTCAAATAATTTATGGTAAACGTTGAACAAAACATGGACAAATATCTGAAAAGAAAACAGTTCTTATTGTTGTCATGGTTTTTCAAGGATTCCTATCACTGAATCTATAACCTTTTTCATGTTTAGATTCAAACAAATTCCCATTGGTCCCATTCTTCCATTAGATTGGAACTCCCGAAAAACCTTGATAAGATCTCGACCGGATTTTTTTTCTCTCTCTTAATCAGTTTGAAAAACACCCCTCTAAACCAGCTTTGTTTTCAATAACCTCTCTGCTTATCTGAAACGATAAGTCAAGTTTTGCGTCAGTAAAACTAATATGGATGAAAGAAACAGATTCTTTTCACGGGTCAGAGGTATATCGCATTATCTAATCACATCGCGACATCCAGAACTCAACAAGAATATTCCATACGTAAGTCGAGACTTACCTTGCAGCATCAGAATGTGAGAGAATCTTCTCACCGGAAAATCACCCCATTAAATAGATTGGTTTTCCAAAATAGAAAACATGTGAAAAATTAGAAGTGGAAAGAGTCAAATTAACGTAAATATCTTACTGTGTTTCATTCAGAGATGTACGCTAAGTGATAGTTTTGTATGGACAACGGAACCTGAAATATTACCGGAGAGCAGGCAACAGACAACGATCAACGGACTATCTGCAAATTTCTGGTTTCATTTCGTTCTTTGACTCTATATGTGGCAACATTAGTCCATAATTTGCTCAATATCTTAATTAGTGCCCGTTTGATTTCTTACTCAAGTATGAAAGGCATGTGTCACACGCGTTGGTCGTTCTCTTGTTCAATTCAATTATTCTATAAATGTGTGCATATTGACATTTTTCACCAGGAAACAAAATTAAGGTTTCAAATTTTCAAATGTTTGAAGAATAATTGGACTTTAACTCCAATCGGCATTATCTCCAGAACCAATCGAAAATATGTTTCAGAATAGAAATCCAAAACTTAGCGTTACGAAAAGCTGGGCTTGGATTTTTCACATTCTGAAACTTTGGAAGTTTTCCTTAATTTTTTTGTTGTAAAAAAATGTCTATATATTTTCACTTTTTTCCTTGATTCCGATATTTTTTCAAAAACACAGGAAGAAAAATACTGCAAACTGAGCAAGGCCCAGCAATAAAATTACGTCTTAATCCAGTAATAGTTTCAGACATGTTCCGTTTTTCGATATTGATTCCGAAAACTGTAGAAACTTTTCGAAACTCCGACATTCCAAAAGTCGTGTGTTTGAGTAAAAATTATTTTCAAAGCGAGTGCTTGAATCATGACAAATTTTTCTCTGAAATCTAAGGATATCACAGTTTAAGCTTGATCTAAAAAAATTATACTATATAATCTCTTATCAAACGAAGACAAGATGGATATTCTCAGAACAGAGACCAAGTACTTCGCAGGAAATAATTTTGAATTTATAATTTTTTTCACGTCTTGTAATCTCGATTTCCAATGACAAGTGTCTCATCGAAAATCTAATTTTTTATCACATGGTGGGTTTAGCTTATCCAGGCTCAGCACTAAATTTTTTGTGATTCCGCGAGTCTGAAATCTGTCGAATATTGAGATAATGAGAAAAACGATTAGCTAAACCCCATGGTGCTCATCTTGACAAAATCTTTTTTCAATGATCGGTTCCTTGAATAAATCATATTTTCTGATTCTGATAATCAGAATATTTTTCAACAAGCCCCTTATCTTGAGATTCGGCTATTATTCAAAGTGTGCGTTTCCCTGTTTTCCAACAAACATCAACATTTCTCCATATTCTTCTATTTCCTGTTAAGCATCCGGTTTATAAAAATTTCACCAACAGGAAATGAAAATGAAAAAAAGAGGCAGTAGAACAAAAAATTAAGAGCGAATGGAAAAATACAATGTTTACATTTATGACTTCATGAACCAAGAAGTGTCACATTTCACTTTCATTCGTCTTATTCTTCCATTCTTATTCAGATTTCGATTTCGATTTCACTTTTGCTCGTCTTCCCACATCCTGTCGCCCGCCCCAACAAAAAAGTCTGCTTAGACCTCTTTTTTTTCGTCTTCCTCCATTTTTTCTTTTGCTTCCATTCCAAATGGAAACATGTTTCTTACTGGTTCCCATTGTTCCAGCTCCAATTTTTTCCCTCCCCCTTTTCCTGGCTTCTTTCTGGGGTACAAACTTAGTCTGGTGCTCTTTATGTAAAGCAAGAGCAAAAAGGTAAAAAAGGGAATGACGGGAGAGACGTTGCCGAACCGGAACAAATCGAATATGTGACATGTTTATTTGAAGACATGCGAGTACCCCACACTTTTTTGCTCATATGGCCTTTTAATGAGAAATGGCTCATTGTTAGATCATCCACAAATGTTGTCTTCTTGAGAAATGCACTTTTCTCTTTCTTTTCTTTCCAGATCTTCTCAATTCTTCGTGCCTCATTCTCTATTTGTCGGGGTTTTTTGTCGTCCTCTTTCGTGCCTCATTTGAAATTCAGAAACGATGACGATGATTCGTGGCGGTGTGACGCTTTTCAAAAAAAGAGCTTTTTTGCGTCTCTGTTTCAGTGTTCGAGAACATTCTAAATCAGTGGTTGTGTTGTCTTTGTGTTTAGCAGAAAGAGTGAGCACAAATCTTACTTCCCCGAACCTTCATTTCATTCCCTCATAAACTGGTCAGATTGTAACTCTATCTCTCAAGTAAGCCTTCATGTCTCCGCCCACCAATCGGATAAAAAAATGCGGCTCTGCCTCAATATTTTCGATCTGCTCACATTCAGAACCAGAGGAGAAGAGTTAGCAGCATTCAGTATCTCCCTTGTGAAATCAGCAATGAGTTTTTCAAAGTACAAAGAAGTATGTTTAAAAATGTAATCAGAAATAAGTAGTTTGACTAATGTGTATTGTCAAGTTCCGTTTCCCATGAATGCGAACATTATGGCGTGAAGGAGCTCTGTGTGGTTCTGGCAAGCACATTTCCTTTCTTCCTGTTTCATTCAGTGCTTTCCGCAGATTTTGAAGAAAACGAAAATAGAAAAAGAACATCTCCCGTCATTTTTTTCTCTCACCGTTTTGCATCTGATTTCATCAAGCTCTATAGAATCTGCGTTCACAATCTTTTCTCCGAATTTTCACGTTTTTCATCTTCAATTCTATTCCGGTAAAACCCACCCAACGATCATCATTCATTTCATTAAAAAGTATTCATCCTTCTCCGTCTCTTTTCATTCTCATTCCCAAACACTCCTCCTCAAAGATGTCTCTTTTTTTCTCGTTAACTCTTTTTTCTTCCCGTTTTTGGACGAATTTTTTCGCGACTTCGACTTTTTGAGACTTCCGCACACTCTGTTGTTTTTGTTTCCTGTTACCACCTATGGTTAAGCACATTTGGAAACAACTTTTTATCTGTGATTTTTAATTGATAACTCAATTTCTTAGAAGCTCAATTTATAAGCTTCAGGTAACAACGTCGTTCGTAATGACCATCATTGCCAATAACCAAGCTCAAGTAGTCGTTAACAATCACCAAGAGCAACCGACTGAAGCAATGAAGTTTGAATTCGTCAAGAACAAGTTTGTCTCTCTTCGTAACAACTTGGTGAGTGGAAACTTGCAAAAAATCAAATATCAGATTTCCATATTCAGATGTATCTGCTCGAGTACATCAACCACATGGAGTACCATCCAGAAGAGAGAGTCGACAACTATCACATCATGAAAATCAAAGCCAACTTCTTCATCGATGAAATCGACTACCATCTCCATCGCGAGATCACCTACCAGAACAAGGTGCATTTATTCCTTTTTTACAAAAGATTTTCAAAAAATAATGAATTGCAGGTTTCCTTCCAGGAGTACTACGCTGCCTACTCCAAATTCTACCAACGCAGCCGTACAGAGCTCATGGAAGCTTTTCATCAGCTCACTCCTGATCGTCAATACACTTGGTAAACAGGCACCACCTAATTTAAATGATAATCTGTCACTGAGATCTCTGAATTTCTTGTTCTTCGTCTAAATAAATGTTGATGTCTCAAGTAATCTTTGGGTCTCAAATGTTATAAATGAGATCAAATGTTTATTAAGTTAGCAGAACGTGTTTAGGGGAAGTACAATATTTATATCGCAGAGATTGTTGCAAAAATTGAGTCAAAATGGAATCATGAATAGATTCAATAAATTATGGAAAGGGAAACGGGGAATGATAGGAACAGAACCAGCAAAATGAGAGTTAGGGACAAAGTGTGAGATTTAAAAAAATTCAAGAAAAGTAAACAAAGTTTTCAGCAGTGTTGAGAAAGAATCCGAAATTTTTCAAAACTGTTTTCAAAATTCTTTTTTTTGCAAATTTTCCGAATATCAAATCAGCTTTTTAAATCAGTTTCTTAATCGCTTCTAAATGAACACATTTTTAACCATGTTTTTCAATTAAAACGGCCCAATAGAAAAATTTCCCAAAAATTTTTTTTGGAAACTTCTCGTCAGGAAAAAATTCAGGAAAAAAAATTTGTAGCGAAACTTTGCCGGGTAAGAACTTCATGAATACTCCAGCAGAGAAAACATTCCAAAAAATGCCCCGAAAACCTTTTTGGATTGAATAATTTTTGATGAACAACTACAACTACCGAAAGCATGGAAGAATTTAAATTTTCTAGATGAGGAAAATATTTATATATTACCTGTAAAAGTATAACTGAATAGTATTCACAGAATCAAATAAAACCAAATAAACATTTAAATCAAAATTTACACATTCACAGATTTGCACTAAACATTCCGAGCTATAAATTAGAAACAGCAGGAAGCGTTTCCCATTCCTTTTGAATTTCATCCGTCTTCTGCTCTTGGTCCAGAACGTTGCTTTGTTCTTCTATCGTTCGTCGAAACTAAGAAAAATATGAGTAAAAATTTTCGGGTATAAGGTTTTGGTTGAAGAAGCGTAGCACTCGCGCTCTATTGTGGCCAAGCCAATTTTCACGAAAGTCGTTTCTGGGATGGCAATTTGGGATCGCGTTTCTAGTACAGAGTTAAGAATTATATAGCAAATGAACTAGAACCAGTTGAAATCTTTTTTGAAATAATTACCGATCGAAACAATGAATACTTACCTTACGGAATTGTCCCTCCATTTGTTCTTGAGTCAGTAGCTCGTCAGATGACACTTTTCCTACATCCTCTTTATACCTTTTCAAGAGCCACAAGCCAACAATAAAAAATTGAGAGAGTACGCGGAAGTGTGTAGAAGAAATCAGCATGAGTAGGAAAATATCATGAATTATGCCGTTTTCTGATTGAAATTCCGTAACGGTGTTGAAAATATCCTTGAGGATGTCGAAAATGCTTTTACTCGGGACTGTCCAGCTGGGAGCTTGTAGAAATTCGGTTTGGTTCATGAAACTCGTTAATTTTCGCTGTAAATCTTTTTCCACGACAGAAGGTCGTAATCAATAAATAAATAAATAAATAAACAACTAAACTGAAGCAGAATCGGAAGAAAGTTATACAATTACCATTGGGGGCTCTTCTTCTTCTCCTATTCCATTGAACACGAAAGAAGCATATTCACAAGGAACGAGTAGTGCTGACCGAATAATTTCAAATTGATGACGGCGCTCGGACGGTTCCTCATTAATCCATTGATCAAAAGCAGTCCAGAGATATTTTCTAAAACAGTTCATGTTGGGAAATTATTCATACGAATTTCAATCACCTTTTAAATAATATATTTCTTAGATTTTCAGATAAACCCAATCCAGAATGATCACTATCTGACATTTTGTGGTGTACCTGTAAAATTGAAAAATAACCAACCAACCTGTAAAATTGAAAAATTGAGAGGAAAAACGCAAATTCGATCAGCAAAAAAATCAATTAATCGGTAGAAAATGACAAATTACAAACATCAAAATAATTAAGACTACACGAGCATTGAAATGCCGCTAAAACCCGCGCGCGCCGGAATTTCGAAGCTTTGTAATTGATGTTTTTTAATCGCTCCACTGCTTGTACTGGCATCATTACAGTGCTTCTTTGTGAACGGAATGAATTACATCGAAAAATCGTAGAAAATTTGTTAATATTTCTGGAAAACGCTTTTCAATTCAGGAATTTCGATATTTTTACTCCAGATGGCCAATACACTTGGTGAACATACACCAACTAATTTCAATGAAGATCTCTGAATTTTCTGTTCTTCGTCCAAATAAATGTTGATATCTCAAATAATCTTTGGGTCTCGAATGTTATAAATGAGATCGAATGTTTATTAAGTAACGTGTTAAATATAGGGTTCAATATTTATGCAGCAGAGGTTGTTGCGAATATTGAGTCGAAATGGAATCATGAATAGATTCAATAAATTATGGAAAAGGAAACAGGGAAGGATAGGAAGTGAGACCAGTGAAAAGAAAGTGAAGGTATGGGGACAAAACAAAAATTTTGGGGTTGAGCAAAAATGCAAAAAATAAAGAAGAGAGCAAGGTTTTTTTGTAGTGTTTGGAAAATCAAAGAACATTTTTGGAGATTTGCTTCGATCATTTTTGGGAAGAACCGGAAAAATCGAGAAATTTAATTTTTTGATCATTTAGCTAATTTTTACTGAAATCTCTTTGCTGATTTTTGTCGGTTTTTTTCGGTGTCAAAACTTTTGATAATCAAGTAAAACAAGGTAAATCAATGAGTGCATGTATTTCAAAATCATGCATTCGTCCTGATATTTTTTCTACTTACATGAAAAATACACCGTATGGGCCAGATTGATGTAACTTGGTATTATTTAAATATAATTCAAATTAATTAAAATGCTATGAGAATTTTAAGACACGATTAAAAATTTGTAATGGGCTTTCTAATTCTTTAAGCTAGAAATGTTTTGTAAAAATGAATCCAAAAAATAAAAAAAGACAGACTGATCCGACGGTTCGTAAAATAGAGACCTCGTCTGTGTTAACAACAAGAACATCTTTCGCAGTGAAAACCGAACCCAGTTTCTGAATAAATATAATTTATGATATGTATAACATCCAGAACACATACCATGGTCCCGTTTTTGATGCAATTTTCCACACAGTTTTCAGAACAGTAATCTCCTGCTAAAATGTTATCCTCTCCGTCGAGCCCACCAGTAAAATCTTTGATATATTTATACAGCTCCCGGATAGTGGTCATATCTTCTATGAGAAAGGGTAGTTCCTGAAAAAAAATATTTATTCTGATTGTGAAAGCAAAAAATGAAGGATTCCGTCACACCCATCAATTTCTAGAACTCACGTCATCATTTTTTAAATATCACTAAAAACCTTCTGTTACAACAACTTTTTTTTTCTTATCAGTAAGAAATCAAAATTTCGTGAACTGATTCAAACTTTATCAAAGTGTAAACGGTAAAGTTTCAAAAGAAAAAAAACCGACGTCACTCACCATTAACACCTTTTTTGAATTTTTCCGAACTAATCGTATCTGTTTTACCAGTAACTTTGTTTTATGCATCCACCGGTCAAGAAATTGCAGCCGCATGAAAAAGTTGACAATTGCCTGAAAACGGGAAATTTGAACATTTTAAATGAGAGTTTTTTTAATTTCCAAATTATAAACTTACCAATAAAAATAGAAAGCCTGTGAGCAGGAGATCACAACGGCTAATAAAGCGAATACAATCACCGATTATGCAAATCGAAAACATTATGGACCCGTGTGCAAATAAAATCTGTAATGAAAAACATTTTTAAAATGTGTACTTTACACCCGAATGAGTTTGGCTAACATAAAAAAGATGACTTGAATACAACAAAAAATCAGTGATTCAGAACACACTTTTTTAATTGAGGATGGGTTTGAAGAATACAGGATTTTAGAATTTAAAAAATTGTACGCACTATTCTAGGCATTTTTCACAAATAAGCTTGTATTTTTAACTAATGTAAGTAAAATTTTTCCAAAACTTTTGCACCAATCTGATACAAAACATGTTTAGTGGTGTTTTATAGAAATCGAAGAAAATTCAACCCATCTTCTCTATTTCATTTATTTCCGAGTTTCCCATCACCTGTTAAAAAGGCAACGAGAGTTAATACTCTTATGGCTTGGAAAGGGTAACAATGACTTCTCACCACATTCTGGGAAAACTAAACAAGCATGTAAATTCATAGAAAACAATTCAGTGATAACGAGAGAAAAATTGTGAAAAATACAACAAAGAGCAGCTCCGGGAAATATTTAGATAGATGTTTCAAGAATTCTGCACTTGTCATTTTCAGATTAAAAATTCGAGATTGAGAATGTTTTCTTGTCTAAATTTCTTGTCTAAATTTGTCTGAATTTCTTGTCTAAATTTGTCTAAATTTCTTGTCTAAATTTGTGTCTTTTCTTCTCATACTTGTTAATCACTGTGAAAAATAAAAAATAACAGAAAAAGACACGTTCAACTGAAAAGTCACTGACTTGAAACATCAGCGGTTGCGAAACGTCTTGGGTGCAAAACGCCACGGAGCCCAAAACTGGCCAGTTAATAACTCAGGAAAAATTGCGAATCCCTCAAATTAACTGGGAGAAAATGCACAAAAATCATTGTATTAAAAAAAAGAAATGGGAAAATACAGTGATGAAACATTTCGACAGTGTTTTAACACAAAAATATGAAATCATCAGCATCCCGATTACTCATAGCAACCTTACACGTGTCGAAAAATGATTGGCCAGAGGGGAAGGGCCATCTGTTTCAAATTCAATGTGCATATCATTTCTTATCAAGAGGATGCTCACCATGAACACTGTTTACGCAAACAGAAAAAAACTATAACAGAAAAATGCGTTTTCACCTTGTTGAAAAATTGATAAATTGACTAACAGCTGGATGGTCAATATTCTCCTCATGGGAAAATCAGGTTGAATAGAAAAGTTGTACATTTCTATCTTTTGATTTATGAGATGAATTTATCTGATCCGTTCAGTCTAGACGCGCAATTATTATTCTTCATCGTTTTTTAAAAACATTCCCAAGTTTTTCTCAGATTGTGCCAATTTCGAATTTCAACATTATCATTTATTGAGATCGTTATAGTACAGAGATCCGAGAGAGCGATGAATCAGAAGCTTGAGATTCGAACGAAAAGAAGCTTCAGTACACATCAGTACAAATTAATTCATGTTCTCCGGTCCATAGCGCTCTATGAGAATGTCCTTGTACTCGTTCTTAACATACTTTTCGTCGTTGTAGTACGTGAGAGCGTTGTACAACCAGCAAGACTCTGGCTGTGGAGCTCCATTGAGCCATTCGAAGCGACGGTTGATGAAGTTCCACACGTGACGCTCGGCATCAGTGAGATCTTCGATAATCTCTTCTACTTCGAACATGGCACAGAGACCTTGGAAGGCGTGAGTCTCCTCGACCAAGAGCATGAACATGTAGAGTTCCTTATATTGGACTCCAATCTCACGGCGGAAGTCATCGAGCAATTGTTCGAAGACAATTTGATCAGTCTGAAATATGTGACTTAACGAGGAACAAGGGAAAATCAATAATCTACCTCAAACACCTTAGCCGTGACGAGACCCCGCTTATTCAACATTTCAGTGATTTTTGCGTCTCTCTTCATCAGCTCATCGGCAAAGCGAGGCTGACCGTCGAATGGGAATGGTTGTGACTTGATGACGAAGTACTGAAACTATCATTTCTTATTGGAAAAATTCAGAAAAAAAAGTCTAAAGATTTCGACACTTTCATAAATCAATAAAGCTTTATTATCCCCAAATAGTTACTTACCAGCTCATTGAAACATGCATCGAACATCGCTATCGTGAGAGAATTCATCTCTTTTTGTTTTGGGGTCAGTAGAATACGATTCTTGTTTTCAGTGGCACAAACGATGTCGCGGCTCATTCTCACAACTGGTTTGAGCAGCAAAACCTTTTCAGGCATGATAGCGGGCATGCTTCAACGATTTTGCTTAAAATTATGATAACTGGAAAAATCGATGATAAGTAAGAGAGGGAAAGAAAATGCAATGAAGAAAAAATATAAAAATAGAATAGATACAAGAATTGGTAACATACCTATTATAGAGGAACAAAAAAAAACAGTTTGAGATAAAATTCGAATCATTTATTAAACTGGTTATTTAAAAAAAAAGAAAGAAGTTATGTTGAACGAAGGGTGCAAAATCCGGCGAGTAGTAGTTCCGATGAGTGTCAAGGTCCAGCTGGAGAAGAAATTTTACTGTAATTTGTTTAGTGAAGGAGTTTTTGCGTTGCACATTTTTTATCAGTATTCGTCAGGTCATAATTTTTTTTAAGATTAAGAATTCAGACAATTTCTGGAATTTATCAGGTTTTTTTTTTATTTTATGATTTGCTCGAAATATTTCTCGAGCAGTCATTCGTGTCAAAATGACGGTTCTTAACCAATATTTAAATCACTTTCAAAACAATATTGAAACATTTTTCAACTTTGTTTCAATTTTGGACCTGACGTTATTTTCGTCTAATAAATTTATTTCAGGACTTCTTTGACCTTTTTTTAAATTTTTTCAACCCTACCATAATCATATATTTTTTTTGCATGCGCTACTTCACAGATAAAAACACTTTGAAAGGGTTCTCCAAACCGTGTATTTTCGCTCATTTGCAGTATCCTCCAGTCGACATCTTGGCTTATCGACGTTGCTCAGGATTTCGCCTTTGTTTTTGATTGACTCCAATTCATACACATATCATCTCAATCAAAATTTTCCTCATTCGCTGGCTACCCATCCGAGAAATATTAGGTTGGCGGGAAAGTCTTTGTCACTTTTTCAATAGTTTATTTCTCAAAGAAAAAATAACCGAATAATTAATTATATTGTCCATCATTATCAACAACATGTCTCCAACGTTCCCTCAATTTATGGATTCCATTGCGGTAGAATCCAGCCGGGCGTGAGGCAAAGTATTGTTTGAGTGCCGCTTCGACCGCTCCACGGGAATTGAAGCTTCTTCCTTCGAAGGCACGTGTCATATCGCCAAATAACCAATAGTCGGAAGGAGCAAGATCAGGAGAATACGGGGGGTGAGGGAGAACATTCCATCCATATCCCATCAGCTCCTGCTTCACTTGTTTCGAAACATGTGGGCGAGCGTTATCATGTTGATAGTACACTTTCTTGTCTTTCAGGGCCGAACGGTCGACTGCTTTCTTGAGGTTTCGTAGTTGAGTAGTGTAGAGGTCTCCAGTTATTGTTTTGCCCTCGGGCAGAAGTTCCCAGTAGATGGGGCCGTCCACTCCCCACCACACAGAGAGCATAACTTTTTTCGGATGAAGGTCGGGTTTGGGGACATCCTGTGGGCTCTCTCCTTCTCCAACCCACTGGGATTTCCTGTGGTGATTATCGTAGAAGACCCACTTCTCATCTCCGGTTATTAGCCGGTCCAGCCATCGATCGCCCGCGTGGAGAGTGAGAAGAGTAATCGAATCGTCGACTCGGCGGTCAAGGTTGGCTTGAGTCAGGTGATGACGTATGAATCGACCAAAAAGTTTTCTCATTCCAAGAGACTTCAAACCTTCAAGGACTGTGCTATGGTGAACTCCGAATGTGACAGCTAGTTCACGGCTAGATTGAAATGGATCCGATTGCAATGCGTGCTTCAGCTTGTCCAAATCCAACTCACGGGGTCTCCCAGAGCGATCCTTTTCATCGAGCGAGAAGTCATCTTTTTCGAAACGATGGAACCAATTGCGAATAGTATTGTAGTGAGGGGCATGTGTGTTGTACACATTCTTCAAGAAAGTTTCCGAATCCTTCATCGTGGTGTGAGATAGGAAGAGGTAAATCAAAACATGTCTGATGTGAATAGCAGTGGGAACAAACATATCGTTTCAATTACAGATGAGGAGCAGGGAAGGAAATGGGGACTTGTTTATATGGAAGGTTCTTATCACCTTGTTATTCACTAGAGTCGATATCATACACAGCCTCCATATACGAGAACAGTGATTAAACAAACAGAGTGACAAAGACTTTCCCGCCAACCTAATACCAAGACCATAATTCAATTTTTGTCGGCAAATAGGATTTCCTGAAAGCCATCATTAGAATCATTGACTTGTTTTGAGTTTCTCACCTTCATTCATTGTAAAGTAGTCTTCTTGACCATCCATTATCATTGATCCAATTTCCATAGTTTCTTTCATCCAAATTCATAGACAACATAACTTTTCATTCCTCTATATTGATATCGAATTAATTTTTTTATACAAAAATTGTGAGAAAAAAAACATCAATTCGGTCTTGATCTAGTCGTGAACTAGATTTTTATCTGGTGTGTTGTTTGAAAAGGATTTTTCAAAAAACTAAACGGTTTTTGGCGAAAATATACAATCCAAGAGAAAACTCTAGCAGAAGTTGACTAATTATTAATTTATGTAGTCTTGATTTGAATAGTTTCTTTTGAACAAAAATGCGCTCAAAAAACTGGGTTTTTCATACCCAAAATTTCGAAAATTATTTTTCAGGACGCCGGAGTTTTATTCTACACACCCCTGAAAATCTAACAGTTAGACATACAAACACAAACACACTTAAAACATAATCAAACATTTATCAAGCAAATAAGTCCCAAATCAGCAATGAAAAGGGTGAGAATCTCAGTTGGAAATCAGAAAAGTTAATGTAGGTGGCCGAGGTAATGTGGCAATTGCAGAAAAAAGGAAAAAAGTGTTCATTCACATAAAATGGTGAAAATGTAAATGACCTTGGCCTCCATTTGAACACGGAAAAAGCTTGAGATTCAACATTTCCTACGTCATGAATAAGATTCAAAAGCGTTGGTACCGGGGGTTTTTTTTACAAAGAAGCGTTTTGGATGTGGGTAACAAAGTATTTTTTAAATATGGGAAATTTGGTTCTAAGAATTTTTTGAGAAGGGGAAAATGAAAATTCACATAGCTGTTCTCGAAATTTTTGAGATACTTTTTTGTACATAAACATTTGGGACTGATGGAACAAATTGGTGTGAACCCTATAAGAAAACGACAAACCGTGTGAACTGAGAAATGCAAATCTATGAAGATGAAATCAATACAATATTGACTAATCAAGCAAATGAGTTTGGATTAATGTTTGGCATGCGGTGTCCCTTTGAAGATATGAACAAGAAATCCTGGAATTGGGAATAAGTTTCCTGGTCCACCAAACAAAACGAAGATTCCAGAACCGGCCAACTTGAGAACCAGTCGGAGGCGAGTCATACATGATTCGAGATTTTTGATGAGCAGGTTTTTGGCAACCTAGAAAAGAAGCTGAAATAGTTTGATTTTCTCAAGATATTTTTAATGACAAAAATCACAAATAATGTCTTTAGTTCTGTCCTGCATGAAGATTATCTGACGAAATCCATTTTTTGCACTCTTACAGTATCCCCCACCCCAATCAAACCTCATTTTCTCCTTCGGCTAGCCGAACCATTACATCAAATTTTCGAAGAGTTAGTTTCTTCTCCTTTGCCCACTCCGATGATTCGAATGTCTTCCCGGCGTCGTTGAAAGTGCGAATGATAGTATCCTAAATTATTTCTTTGGCTGCTGTCTATATCAAGTCCACTCACCAATTTCAATTCCACATCAACAAACAGATCGCTAATATTCTCTTCCTTTGATTGCACCATTCCTACCCGGTAGTTGACGAATGGATAAAATGTTCTGAGAATAATAGTTTTGGTTGTTCGATTATTTTTCAAACCCGCTCCACCGCAATCAGTAAGTTTTTGATGTGAAGTAATTAAAACAGTGGATTTCGGGTGAGAGGGTTTGTAAACATCGTGCCAACCTGGCCTTAAAACATATACATACAAAACGTCAGAAAAATAAAATAAGAATCAGGGCCAAGGAACCCTTTTTGGTTAAAAAAAAGTTGAACCTCACCATGTTGCGCAATTGAATTCTTCATTAATTTAATTTTTGCTCTGGGGGAGGAATTGTAACAAATCAGAAAATAGATCAGAAATGTTTGAATTCCATATGAAAAATAGAAAACCCAAGGCTAAACTATCCCGGCTGCCTGATTTCAGAACTTAAAGTGAGAGAGAGGAGACAAAAAAAAGAGAGTAACTATTATCAGAATGAAAAAACTCATGAAGGGAAATCATTGGAATTATTTCTTATCAGAAAGGTGTCTCAACTCTAATCCTTTAGACTGGTTGTATTTGAAAAGTCTTCGATTGAAGACTGGTCCACAGAACATGCGTGCGTCCATTCTTTTTTTATCGGCCTCGTAACGGTCATAGTGTTTATGAAGGAAGTTTATAGCTTCGCGGCGCTCCTGGAAATTAGAACAACAATGCCGGCCATAAATATATGCAAAAACGTGTTTTTCAGTTGATTTAAACCAGTTTTTCAAAAGTCTGGAACTCGGCTGTCAAGTGTGCGATCACTTTGAAAATATCGGAGATTGTGTAACAAAACTAGATTGAAAACTTTGCATTTTCAGAATTTTTTGAAAATTCCTAGCTTTTCAGTTATTTGTCGATTTCTGAAGAACACTTGCTTTTTACTGTTTTCAGTACAAAAACGAAGGACACGTTTTTGTGTATACTTATGACCAGCACTGCAAGTAAAATCGTTTTCAAATCGATTTATGTTTTAGAATGAATATTTTTAATTGGCTCCAATTTTCACCAGTCGTTTATGCGGAACAGAAAGAGAATAGGACATTTCAAGGAAACATTGTTTTGGTTTACTGGTAGTTTCAATTAGATTCATTTAGGTAGAATCAATGTTAGTTTCCATTGATACTCGAAAAAAATCGTTAAAAACTTACACGACTCGGTTTGGTTGTTGCAATAATTTCGCGATCTTGTTCTAGTCTTGCAATGATGGTGTTTTGATAGTTAATGGAATAGTCTCCGTGTTGTACGAGATATTTAATCATCTGTTTGACTTCTTCAAGCAATTTGATGCCGTCTTCAGGTGAGTTGAGGTCGAGTATCATGTGTGTGTGATGTGAGACTGAAAATTCCAATTGATTTACAGATTTATCTGTCGGGGTCATGAATACCCGAATCACATGCACATCACATCCCCCAGGAGTCATCTCGTAATAGTCAGTAGCATCGCGTTCGTTCTGCATGTCTGGCATATGTACCAATTCCGACTGAAAAAGAATAATACAGAAATCCGATAAAACCTCGAGTAATCACATCAGTCAGTTTTCTGGTCTGTGTGATAGTTTTGACCTAGAAAATATTGAAATTGTTCATGTTTAATATCTGCAGGGAGGTGTCCCCAGACGATCAGAACAAATCGCAGGTTCTGAATTCGTGCTATTTGATCAAGTGTGTTCACTACAACTAACATGAATCTGAACAATTTCCGCAATCTTACGGGAGCATTCTGTCTCGAGTAGTTCGAAAGGGCTGAATCTGACAGCGCTTTTTCAGAGAGTTTCTTGTCGATATATTTGTTTTTATCCAGAATACACTCTTTCATCTGGCCAAGGACACCCAGATCAGATAGAATATCCACCTAAATGTGAAGCAATAGATTATACATAACTATCACTACTCCACTATTTCACAACGACCATGACAATAACAACATTTCAGATTTACATATTTTGATAGATCCGAATATCTTCCTGGTCGAGACCATTTTTTCTCCAATATGGTCAACAGGCTCTCGACCTCTTCTATGTATGGCCGCCATTGTTGCGAATAGTAAATACCGCCAGTCCAGTGATATTTTTGCATGGACTTCTCCTAAATTTGAAGTGAATTTTCAAGATTTCCTAACATTATCAGATTCAAGGATTCCCAAAGTTTTTGGCTTTCAATAGAACTATAGATGTGTCGCGCGTGTGTTGCGACACTCATGGGATGTTCGGACCGGGATTGGAAATACCGAAAATTCCGAAAACGATTTGAGTATCAAATTCCAATCGGAATATTGCAAAAAATTTTCGGAAATAAAGATTTTTGGTCTACGATATATTGAAGTCGCACGCTAAAAGGTTACTTGCTGGTCTTCAGCGAGAAGTCACTTCTACATATTTTTGCGTTTTCTAAACCTGTTTATCAATTTTCAGCGTTTTTTTAATGGGAAAATGGGATTTCCACCTGAAAACTTGAGTGTCGAGAAATTCCGAAAATTACGAAATTCAGAAATTTAGAGAATGGGAATATTCCGGATTCCCGAAATTTCAAGTATTCAAATGTCGGAATTTTCCAAAGCTTCAAAAAATTAAATATCGGAGTATTCCAAAATTCCGAAATTTTGAAACTTACAATTTTCGAGATTCCGAAAAATTCCAAAAAGGTCAATCCGAATAACCCTGGCGCCACTGACGTTGCATTGTAAAATTTCTACAATTATTTCAAAGTTCTGCTTACCCCAAGATCTTTTTTCTTTTTCAGCTGATGCTGAACTCCTTTTTCCAAAGCTTCAAGGACCCGAAGTTTGTACTCCTGCTCTCTCTTCTCATCGACAGACATGTTGGAATCTTCCTCCATCGTCACAGCTTCAGAAGACTCCTCCATATCGATCGGTTGTGAAGACAACCGTACTTCCTCCATCGCAGAACTCAAATCATTCATTTCTTTATTCAAAGAACTCATCCTACCCTAAAAGATTTTTCATGAAGCTTTAAAGAAGAAAAGAAACGGCGAGAAAAGAGTAAAAATGGAAAATAGAAAGTCGAGAAACGAGAAAGATGGAATGGTGAGAGACACGACGGAGTAATTGTGGAGGAATAAAGGGAGAACTGTATATGTAATGCACTCTTTTTTTTTCTTTTTTTGACTCAACAGCGGCATCATCTTTTTTTGTGTGTGGGACACATACGAATGGAAAAAAACTGGCCGTTTTGAGTCGTTTGCAATTGGTGTCAATGTAAAGCCGATAGAGAGCGAATAGTAGGAAATTAACTGATGAATCCAACAAAAAATGCACTGCAAATCTTAATCAATAACAATTCAAATAGAATGTTTCTACAGAAAACTTGAAAAATCCCTAAAAAGTTTTAGATGGATTAGAAAAAAACGGAGGAAAAAGTATTTTTCCATCTCTGAAACATAAATCACTAGGAAGACTTGAGAAAGAGAAAATAATGGGTTGAGAATGGAATAAAAAAATGAACTGGAAAATTGAAACTTTTTTTTTCTTGAAAATTTTTTTCAAAAATGAAGAAAAAACTTTCCACACCTCGAAAAGAAAGAAAAAAAATCAAAAGTTGGGAAATTTATACAGTTTCCCAGTTCCAAAAATGAGCGTTCCCACCATTTTTGTCAGTTGACCAAAAACCATTTTGGCGTTGTTTTTCTTGCACTTTTACGGTTCCGAAAATTGTGACTCCTCCAGTAAAAATTTGAAAATTTCAAGAACAAATTGCAGGTTACAAACGTTTAATGTTCGTTACTTTAAAACTAGAACTTTCGACATTCCAGTTCAATAAAAATAAAAATGTAGGAAATAAAAATTTAGTCTTCGTAATGATCATCGAAATTCATTCAAAATATACAGTACCAACCAATAGGATATAGAGAAACGTATATTTCAGTTGATTTTTAATTATTTTTACCGAATTCAAGAGTCTGGAGCGCCTTTTGTATCATATTGACCGTTACTGTAGTTGCAACTACTCGAAATAGATTTTTAATATCAAAAAATGACGGCTGTGCCGGAGTATATTATCAGAACAAAGCTGAAAAGCACACAGTGTAAAATTGATGCTACCGTAACTTGGTGAAACATACAATTAACAAAATTCTCTTTGCTAGTTGAAACTGTACACATGAATTTCTTGTTTTTATTTCAAACAAGAGAAAAGAGAGGAAATTCGAGTGGAGAGAAAGAAACGATTCCTACAATAAACTTCAGCCATAAAAAATTTGATTTCTGAACGGAAGAAAGGATCGCAACCACTATTGCATGAATCCCAAAAAGAAAACATTACAAATATTTAGAAATACCCCCCATCAATGTTTGGCCGTACTGACGTCTTTAGCTAATGACTCGTTACCAATAAATGCCGAGTTAGTTTGAGTGAAGAAGAAAATATTAAAAATATGAATTTTTTTAAAATGATTTTCTACAAGGTTTTATCATTTGTACAGCGCGACATTTTGAAAACAATTAAAAAAACTACGCCAATTACGGTTACTTATTACCGATAATCGTGGAATAATGTCTTTGGGATCGTAAACTTTGGCTTTTGTTTGTGTGTTTGTGCAATAAAACAAAAAAACATTGAAATGAATGAAAAGGAAATGATGGAAAGCTATGGCCTTTTTGTGGGCATACGGTAACTATAGACGTTGGAGAAAAAAAAACATCATTAGTCTCGGAAAGAGGTCTCACGTTTCCATTGACCACCGCCGGACCCCTGCGGATTTGTCATCATGAGCACCCCCCCCCCCTCCTGAAACGTCATAAATAGAGAATAGAGTTTGTGTCTTGTGTCTGTGGAAGGAGGGAAGACAGCATATTGGACTACGGTATCTAAAGAATTCGATTTTTGTTCTGCTGTTTCAATGCGAGTGGACAATTGCTTAAAATAGCTTACCGAAATATGGAATTAGAGGGATATATGTTTGAGCATTTCGAAACTAGAAAAAATTTTACTACCTGAAAAAAAGAATCTACTTATTACTGAAGCTCCCTTCTCACGCAAATCACAAATTACTGATCTTTTTATATTTTATTTAAATTTGCTATATTTGGCATTAAGGTAAATTCATCACATGTAGCTTCTTTCAGTTTTGTGAATATGAGTAAATTTTGGAGAAATGTCAAAGAAAATAATTATTTACAAGGTTTCCCTTAAAGAAGTGGAAAAAGAATTTGTAAATCCAAAATTGCAACCGAATGTTTCGAGAGAACATTTTATGAGATGTTTAAGACCCGCCATATTCAAAGCTCTAAAAATTCCTAACAAGGGAACCATGTTTAGCCTTCATCTCAGAATTTTTTCTAAATTTGCTCATTTTTCTAAATTTGCACAGTTTAGGGATTAAAATGTTTCAGGTACTGGGCAGGATCAGGAGGAATTTTTGCTGTTGAGGAGATGAAGCAGGTCTACTATCTTAACAAACAAAGCACCTTACAAGGGAACCATGTTTAGCCTTCATCTCAGAATTTTTTCTAAATTTGCTCATTTATAGTTTCAAATACGGGCTTTCTTTTGATGTATTTGGTTTTCTGCACAAATTTCTAGAAGCCGAGAAAAGTCCATCTGAAAATATGCTGTTTTTTTTGGTCTCCTCCTTCCCTTCCACTTTTCCCCTTTCCTCTATACATTCTCCACTGTGGAAATAACGAGCAACAGTGGCTGAGTGGATAGTGGGGATGAATAGTAATAACAAGTTTGGGGTTCGATTCCGTCACTGTCCATTTTCTTTTTTCTTTTTTTTTTCTTTGATGTTGGAGGAATGCTTTGAACTTTTCGAAAATCAAAACTATGTTTGCTCTATTATTTCAGTAGGAAAAAAGCTCGAAAAAGATAATTTCTGAAAAATTCTTGAAGCACTGCTGAAAAGCCTTATCTACTCAAAATGTCAGTCGAAATCCCCTTATTTGATCACATTGGTTGCGGAACTGTCATAAATCAGTCAAGAAGTATGTAAATCTATGTTTTCACAATATTTGAGTGCTATTGGGTGATTTTCGAAGGACTACGATTCATTGGAGTTTTGGAAAAAATCACTTATTTCGGATTTCAAAACGGATATAGGCTACAGAATCTGGTGAAAAGACTCATTTTATCATTTTTTTTTTGCGCTTAGAATTAATTTTAGCACATTTAAAAAATTTTTTCAAAAAAATTTTTTTTTTTGAAAAATGAGGAAACTTTGTCAGATTGTAGAGAAACTTTAAAAATTGCAATTGACACTTAAACAATGCCAAAAAACTCCCATTAACCCTTTCAAATACTCACTCCAAAAGTGAGAAATTAGTACTGAAATCACTTAAACAGCCCATAACTCGACTTCTAGAAATTTGTAAAAAAAATGAAAACCAAATACATCAAAAGAAAGCCCGTATTTGAAACTATAAATGAGCAAATTTAGAAAAAATTCTGAGATGAAGGCTAAACATGGTTCCCTTGTAAGGTGCTTTGTTTGTTAAGATAGTAGACCTGCTTCATCTCCTCAACAGCAACAATTCCTCCTGATCCTGCCCAGTACCTGAAACATTTTAATCCCTAAACTGACTGAAACTCCTTTTGTTATTGATTCATTGAGCTCTTTCCTCAAATCAGTGCTTCCGAACTTCTTCATCTTTGACATCGCCATGCCCCGAACATTCGGAAAGCATACATCTCGCTTTTCACAGCAATACATTCCGATTTTCAAATGATCACTTTTCCTGTTGCTTCATTCGAACTGAAATCGTTTGTATTACATAATTATAATTTTGATGAGAGAGTAGAATAAGAAATAATGAAAACTAGGTTGGAACTCCGACAAAATTTAAAAAACCAAACAAAGAAGAGCCACAAAAACTTCGGCTGGTTTTGCGAGTAATAAACCGGGCGACTGAGCCTGGAGGGTCCCGAGGCTCCGCAAGCTCCGCCCATTTCTGCCGCACACTGAACTCACCGTGCACACACGGCACTCATAGCGTTCTAAAAACAGAGAAAACCTCAACAATCGAAATTCGGATAGTGTGAGTGAGAAGAAAGAGCGGCGCTTTATGTTTCAGAAATTGTGAGTAGAGCCAACCAAATTACCGGGTTGAGGTTTGGCATTCATTTCTCGACTTGGACAACTAAAACATGTGACGATCATCGAATGGATGAGTTTCAAGAGAAAGAAAATGAGACAGGAAAAAAAAGTGGAATGACGAATCTAATGGTATGGTCGGAAGCTCTTTGATGGAGAAGGAAGACACTCGAAACAAATTGGCCTCAAATAGAGGTCTAAATTGTTAGAATGCGTAGCGAAGAAGTGATCTTAGATTTTTCTATTTTCCTTCAATAGGATTACGATAACTAAGTAAAACTTAAAAGTTCCTTTTAAAAAGGTTGTAAAATGAATCATAAAAATTGGTTTTGGCAAGCTAGAAGCTATTGCTACAAGATATACGGTAAATACTCAGATAAAATGTGACAGTTGATAATAATATGGAATATTCTACTATGATAATCTTTTTTGACAGTGTAATGCAAATTATGTATACTCACTACATACTGGCATTTTATACACTCCCTCCTCCTGTCAACAAACGAGAGAGGCAGGTGTGGGAGAGTGAAAGACTGGTATCCTCATATTTGGCACCGCATATGGCAGTATTTATCGCCCTTATAGCTCAGTGGCAGAGCGCTGGTCTTGTAAACCAGAGGTCCGTAGTTCGATCCTGCGTGGGGGCATGACTTTTTACTTTTTGTGTCTTTTTTTGTCAGTGTCGTTATAGTTTCAAGAGCGATAAAATTAGAAATGGAAATTCATTGAATCAGAATTTGTAATATTTTTTCCTTGATTTTCATGATACTCATTCATTTCCTAATTTTTCAAAATGTACACTGTTCACATTCAAAAAAATTTAACCTCCTATTGAATTGTTAAATAATTTATCACAATTGCAATTCTTTTTATTAATTTCTTCACTCTAAAATGATACTCACAATAAACAACACCACAAAAAGAAAAAAACAATTTGCCCCCACGCAGGATTGAACTACGGACCTCTGGTTTACAAGACCAGCGCTCTGCCACTGAGCTATAAGGGCGACACGCACTCTCGGTAACTTTCTTGCACAGGAAAGTAACACACGCACATACAAACCCACTCTCTTCCCTTCTCACCTCATGAACAAAGTATATGTGTTCATGAGACGACCACAAGAAATGTGTTTCTATTTTTTTTGATGACGAAGGTCTTGTCATTTTGAAAACTTTAACGGTTTGGTTTTGTTTTCAGCTATTTTCTCTTTCTTCCTCAATCCAATTCTCATTAAGCCTGTTTGACCGTGCCCCCTTACGTCTTTTGAGTTTTTCTAAGAAACCGATTGTAAAAAAGATGGAAAACGCATACAATATCCATCATACCGGGATTTGTTGATTTTGTTTTGGATGTTTCGTTTTTCTGTCTGGTCTGGATGAGCAGCAGGGCGATGGACTTTAATTAAATCTAGGAATGATGACGGCAATTTGATTGTTCATAGGTTCGCTGTAAGGCGGAATGAATTCTAAGAAAACAGTGACGAGTGGAGAATCAAAAATAGAAAGAAAATGATTGAGAAATCTTCAACGTTTTGGGAATCAAATGAAAAAGGGGATCAGAGAAAGCTAGTTAGAGTATAAGTCAGATACTAGATAAAACTGATTCGATCACTTGTGTCTAAAAATTGTTAGATTTAAACATTACTTGACGATTATTGAGAGTTATCCCACGCTGAATCAGCGATTTTCGGAACGGAATTTGGAAGACAAAAAGTTTGCAACAATTTCGAAATGAAATTACGTCCTCAATAATCCTGGAAAAAATTCGGAATGATATTTTAGTCGGAATACTTTCGAAAATTTTTTTCAGAATCAAATTTCGATCGGATATTATTTTTTGAAATTTTTCAGTTTGGAATATTTTGAGATTCCGAAATTCTGAAACTCGGAATTTCCGACATTTCAAAAAAATCCGAAAAAGCTATTCCAAACACCCCAGCGCTGAATTCAAATTTTTGATAGAAATTCTGAATGGTTGGTTACTGTAGCATTTTCCAAAATTTAGACTCAAAAAAAATCTGAAAACACATAATTTATTTGCCAGACTTTTTGGCACGGATGTCATGAAAAAAAAATCCCTCAAGTATTTTTCGACGGAGGATGACGGTTGTCCTGAGCAATCGGGATGCCAAAACATGCAACCATGGAAATTAGCGAGAGCCCCACGTCATTCGAAAACAGGATTTGGGACATTTGGGATTAGATTTCAGAAATTTTGGGGTAAGGGATAATAATTTTTAAACTAAGAGAATGGAAAATGTTGTTATTGTTCAAATCTGCAATTAAGAGCAGGTCTAGGAAAACTACCGTAACCTGGAAAAAAATAAATAAACCTATTTCCAAGTTTCAATAACTTTTTTCGATACTCTGCGGCCACGGCCATCGGCGTTTTTTCTTAATAAACTGACATATATACAATACTGATCTATTCAATCAACTCAATTTGAAAATGTCAGAAACCTACCTATGGAACTCACTTTCAACCGACAGTAAATTTTTTCATTTCCGTACACAACGACTCTCAATCACTCTATAACCTACCGTACATCCAAATAAGAAAAATAAAACAATGAGAGTGGAGGAAGTGAATGGAAGCCAATAACGCTGGTCGTCGTGTGTGCGAAGATGGATGAGCTGGAAGAGGAGGAATGGGAGAAGAAAAATGGGGAAAAAGAAGAAGTGGAATTGAATATCCACGTCACCGAGATTGGCACCACCACCATCCTCACCGCTAAATTATAGGTCCCATTCAAGAAGAAAGAGAATGTAAAGAATGGAGGGACTCGCTTTGAACTGAGAAACCTGTTTCGTAAGTAGGTCTGATTCGAAGCTCAAGAGAAGTTCCAGCCAACAAAATAAATCCGAATAACGAAAAATTCGGAATGGCAACATGCGAAAATAAATTTTTATTGAAAATATCACAAGTCTCTAATTAGCGCGGATGAGAGACAAAGTATAATCAGACTAGAAATTTGAAAACCTCATGTATTTTCATAAGAACTCTATTCACTCATCTCTCTTGAAAGATCCTTTCCAGATAATAATGAGGAAACTGATGAACTTAATTTCGGGTGAAGAAACTCAAAACCCTCACAAACACAACATATACACACATACAAATCGTTGTTTTCTTTTTTTTTTGATAGTGCCTCTACACAAACATGTGAAAAATGAATGATCTAAGTAGGACGTCCCTTCTAGACTTGACGATCCATACGTTTCACCGAAAATTGCCTTCGTTTTTCTTAAAACCAGACTCTGAGGACGCTGCTCGGAAAGTGTGACGAACAAATTGGGAGGGGTAGGAAGATTCTCGGCGGATGCTCCTCACGAAAAAAAAGCAAATGAAGAAAGAGAAAAAGGAAAGCGAACACAGTTGTTTGAAGAAACTTTAAAAGTTCCAAATGGAAGGTTGAAAGAAAGTACTTGTACACAAAAAATACTGTACCTACTGGTAGGTGCAGTACGGGGCGAAAGTATATCATTTTCAGTGCATAAAAACAATTTACAGTTTTTTTGTCAGTGTTGCCACGGAACATTTCTTCACGGGTTCAATAATGGGAGATAAGCGATTTTATAGTGACATAACTCTCATTTCAGTGGTAATTTTGGAATTGTTGACATTTTTGCTTACAAATCGATCATTTTATCAGAGATGAATTTAGCAAAAAAAAAATGTCATTAACCAAAACTAATTCCTGTCATTTTCAGTATGATCTGATCTTTTAAATTAATTGAAATATTCTGGAAAACGTTTTTCAGGGCTCCAACGTTGTATTTTTTTGAAACTGTTAAATACGTGAAATACCGCATCTGTTACTGTATATTCGGCACAACTCAAAATATTACCAACACGGGATGATTTAACTAATAAACGCCTTCATGTTGCATCATCCTTAATCTTTCACAACAATCCGGCTAACTGGGCAACCTGAAAATTGGAAAAGTTCGAGAAATATTTTCTCCTGATGTAACCTCAATAATGGTAAATGTTTAAAATAACCTCTCTCGTACCTGAAATTTTTTTTATCACTCCTCAAAATCCACTGATTTTTTAATGAAAATTCAAAATCTCATTTGGCTAGTATCTTGAAAACCACTTATTCCTTTTCCGAATTCAAATATATTCTTCTTAACGAGGCAGATGTTTTTGTTGGTTCAGTTCCCTTCAACCCCGTCCTTCCATTCAATACCATCTGCTCGGTGATGTGAATTCGTTTTTTGTTTGAACGACCTTTCCAAAAACAAGATAACCGCTTCAATAAGAGAAATGAGAAATGTTGATATATTTGATATAACATTATTCGTTCATGCTTTCAAAGCTTATGAAATGCAGAAGTCGGAACAAATCGTAGGACAGTGCCAAAGTGAGCAGAAGTGAATGATAAGTGTAGCAAGAATAAAATCGGGGAAAAAGAAACTGGATTCTAAACTGGGGACAAAGATACTCGGGATTGATAATAGAAATTTAAAATTGTTTGATAATAATAATGTGTAGAGGTGATAATATTAATAGAAAGGTCAAATAATGCAAAATAAAAAACTAGTCGAAAACCGGAGAAAGGAAGATTAAAATGTACCGCAGATAGTAGACTACTCTTCATTAGCTCTGTCCTCAATTTCTTTGATTTCCAGCTTCAACGTTTCTATTTGATCCGGCAAAAAAATCTCCACCAAGGTCATTCTAGTTTCGTGTAGCTGAAAAAGTTCCTGATTAATGAAATCAATCATCAGAAATTTGAACCTACAATAAAAGCCGTTTTTGTGACCTGTCGCATTGCATCGATAGTTTTCTGATGTTCCTCATAAACATTATAATCGGGACGATTATGCCAATTCTCCCTGAATTCCTCCTCGCTTTTCTTCATCATAACGAACTGAAGAGAAACTAGCTTCAAGAAATAATTGGCTGTTTCTGAATACTTCAGGGATTGACTGAAAAATCTTGACTGTAATTTAATCCTAGATTTTAGTGACTTACTTATTAGTATACTTGATGCTCCATCTTCTTCGAGCTGCCTCAATTTTTTCAAGAATTTCATCAATTGGTGCAGCAAAATCAGAAGGTCTGAAGGGCTCTGGAAAGCGAGCAGCATGAACTTTAACAACCTCAATCGATGCTCCAAGCAGGGCTGTTCGAATTTTCATGCACTGTAGAGCATTGTCCAACAAGTCTAGGCAGGGCTTCCTTCTCAAGTACTCGTAGGTGTTTCCTCCGTTTTGAATACGTGCCAAGTTTTCAGAATGTCTTATAACTTCGTCCATATGTTTGGTAATTTTATCAATCTCACTCTTGGTCGGATCGTAGGGGCGTCGATCCATCAACATAATAGTTTCACTGGTATCTTCTATTTGTTTATGCAGCCTGTAGAACACTATTTATTGGAAAACCGAAAATTACATCACCACATTGATAAGCGCTCCGGCCATTTTTCACGAATTCCTTGGTTTTCGAATTCTTGCATATTAGACTCTACTTCAATTATCATAATTTTCCATCCGATGATTTCTCTTAACACCTTATCGTAAACTGTTTTTAGATCCAATTGCTTCAAATCGTTCAAGATCTCCTCAGGACATTGCTCAACCACGCTCGAAACTGACTGAAAACTCGTCTTAATTGGTGTGTATGTTAATCTCACAATCAAACCTCTTCAACTTGTGGTTTACAATTGTGTAGAACAAAATTTTGGCACACCTTGGTAGAAATATAATGCATAAATGATTCATCAAAGCTATTTGGTTGAACGGTCGACTTGAAAAATGGTTTCCATTCGACTTTCAAGTGCTTCTCGAATTTCTTTCTCCAGTAATCCTCACTGAGATAAGGATGAGAAGGAGGTGGAAAATCGCACATGACAATCTGAAGATTTCGCAAAGTTTGAATCAGAAAAAGAAAGGAAAAATGAGCCAAGAGAAAGAGTACGAATGAAATCAATCCAAAAATCAAAAAAATTTTAAACTGCTTTATTTCTCGTTGAATTGACGTTAATGGCAATTGGTCGAAATGGAGTAATAAAAAGAACAATTAGAATTTGTGGTGATCAAGAGGAAAATGGTAAGAGCAAATAAAAGTCGAAACGGGAGAGGATGGAATTCGTTTCATTTCCTTCCTTTTGCTCCTCCCACTTTCTTTCTCTTTTTGAGCAGCACCTGCCAGCACCAAAAACAGAATTTCTTGCCTTTTCATACCCGCAAAATCGTATCCTTATGTTTAAATAAAAAACGTAAGCACCTTCCTAGGGCAATTCTTTGAAAAAGAGTAAAGTTTTCATAAAATCAATAGGAATATTGGTAAGGAGTTTTGCATGGTAAAATAACTGTATGTCACTTTTATGCATAGACAGAAAAAGGCTGTTTTGAATAATAAAAGAGACAGCATTCAATATATTTTGTTATCAGTGAGGACATTGAATATGAGGAGAATAGAATAGTATACTGATTTGAGGCTCCTGGACGTTTCAGAACCCGACGTTTCGGAACCACGACGTTTCAGAACCCGACAGTTCAGAACCCGACAGTTCAGAACCCGACGTTTTAGAACATGATGTTTCAGAACTTTTCTGCATTTTTGTATAGTGGTTTTTGCGCACCAAATGAGCATTGCTCACTTAAATTTTGTGTATTTCTGTGTTTTATTCATTCTCATCTACCGTACTCCATGGGCTTCTATTAGAGGGTGGGCTCCTATTAGAGGAAATACGGTACCTCAATTCCTGTACAAGATATTAAAGAAATGGTCAATTTATAAAACATTTCGATGTTATGATAAATACTTTATCAGTGGATATCTGTTTCATATTTTTAACAGGAACCGAGAAAAACGGGCTCAAAAATGATAGCGAGTAGGAAGGTTCTCAATTTTACTTTTTACAAAATGTCCTAGAATCAGGGCTTCAAAAAAATCCGTTCCTTCAGTAAATCCAACAATGGGTCTTGGAGCTGACACAATTTTCGAATCCCTTGCATTTTTGGAAATTTTCCATTTTTCTTTCTCGGTATTGAGGCGCCCCTCAATTTCCATTCAAATGCAGCTGTTTTCTGCCCGTCTAATTACATTCAGTACCACCTGTTCGACAATCTGTGTGTAATTTGTCTTCTCTTTTCTGTTGACCTTTCTTTACGAAAAAAACCTATGCAGAAGGTTACTGTACTTGAGACTTCTGTTCGTTTGAAATTGTTGAATTCATCAATCTGTCAGGGACAATGAAATGGTGAATCACTACTTCCCGAAGTAGCAGGAGTAATGCTCAGGAATCGGAAACCTCGGATTCTAATCTCAGCGGATATTCAGAAGGCTTTCTTGCAAATGCAACTTCACATCGGTGATAGAGACGCCACCAGATTTCTTTGGATTCAACCCAATGGCTCCACCAAGATGCTATGGAATTCTACAACCAGAGCAAACAAATCTTCACCGATGCAAAAATGAATTTGTGCCAATTTCACTGCAACAACGACGTCGCCAATGACTACTTTGAGAAAATGGAAAAGTCAAGAGAATCCGATGACCAGAAGCTGCTTGGTACGAAATGGAATCGTTTTACGACCCACTCGGATTCCTTACGCCGACTACTCTCCAAGGAAAGTTTTTTCAAGATCTCTGCCGAGACAATCTGCCATGGGATATACCATTGTCCGAACCTCTCCACAAACAATGGATCGACATTGGCAACCATTGGAAAGGACAACCATGGACAATTCCGCGTCAATACTTCACCGGTACCTACTCAAGTTTTTCCTGAAAAAGAGGAATCAACACCATGAAGTGATCATTGCTCTGGTTTGCATCTTTTTGATTGGAATCACCTCTGAATGCACGGAAATTGCTTCTTTTCAAGCTGCGGATTCAGTGTGTGTTTTTCGAGACGGAAACGAAATGTGTATGCTGAACAAAGTGAGTATTCTCAATCTGAGACCAAATGGAAGCGTTGGATGTTTCAATGACCTCGAAGGAGCCGATGTATTGCACACTGTGGAGGTAAAAGTGCAAGCAATCAAGTCTACTTGCCAATCACACTCTCACTTCTATGCCCGTGACTACGACTTGCATCATCAGTACTCTCATCGTTGTGCAGGAGCCGGAAGTTGCGTGTCAGCGAAGTGTTCCAAGACAACATTGCAAGATACTATCGAAGAACTTTCGCTCGATTCAAGAAAATCTCCTGGATTCACTAAATGCTTCGAAGGATGTGGATGCGTCACTTGCGGAGGATGTTTTCGATGCGACAGTAGCTGTCTCTTCAATAGAGTCTACGCTACGACAAGATCAAACGACATCTACGAAGTCTTCATCTGCCAACGTGAAAAACAACTGTGGACGTCACCATCAGTATCGGAAGCAAAGTTTGGAATGTGGATATCCACCACGGAATTCCTTACAAAATTCCAAGCACAAATGTTTCCGTTACCATCACTAGTTTTTCCACTCCACCGTCACCAATCCATGGAGCAACATTCATCAAAAGAACTGGTAATAGTGGACGAGAAGGTTTTGGTCATTCACAGACCACCGTGGCATCAAGTGGATATCCATCAAAAGGACTCATTGGAGAATTGCAATAGAATTGCGCTACGATGAACGATGCCAGTCAATTCAACTGCCAGTTCGACAAATCATTGTGCACTTGTATGGGACAAGGCACTTACGTGGATTGTCTTTGCAATAGGATTTCGTTGGAAGACATTGTCAAGAGGACTTTATTGCCAAGACTAGAAACGGATACGATCATTCGGGAGCATGAAGGAAGAGTGACCACGTCAACTGCAACAACTGCTTTGGTGAACTTGCAGCTCAACTTTGCAAATCAAACCATCAGCCGTGCCGCTCGGGAGGGTGCTTGTAAAGCAACATCACAGGAAGTCGTGGGCTGCTATTCTTGTAACGAAGGAGCCACCGCCAAGGTGAAATGCTTCTCTGACCTGGACGACTCGATTTCCGTATTGAAGTGCCTATCATCGATCTCGTTTTTGGAATGCAGCAAGATCGGAGTCATCAATGAAGTGTTCTTATACACTTCGAGTGCTGATCTCAGTTGGGATTGTGAAGTTTCATGCGGGAATGGATCAAGCTCGATTACGATGCGAGGACAGCTACAGGACCAACTTCGTTTCGAGAAGAAGGAGTATGGAACAGATCGATTACAGAGTGTCATCTTCGATTCAATTGGCACTCATCTTGCGAATGCGGTAACCACGGTTTTTGGAGGACTGCTCAAATGGATTTCCAGTATTTCGGTGATTTCTCTGGTCTTCTTGATAAGTCTTGTTTTTATTATCTACCGAGTTCTTTCTCGTGCCTTGCCGTTTCCGTGGCGAGTGTCACCTTTGGTGAGAAAGAATAAGCGATTGGAGGAGAAAATGTAGTTTAGCTCCTTCATTTCTAATGTTGATCAAAATTCATAAATTGTTCCCTTTTTCATGTATTGTTAATGATATTCCTTTGCCTCTCCCAATTATACGGTGCTGTGTGGTGACTGTTTCCGCGTGGCACCGGAATTGCTATAAATAGGGGCCCGGCTTTTACTCATTTATCTCTCTCTCTCTCTCTCAATATCTCTTATATCTCTCTTTTTATCACTGTGTCTTAATAAATCTATCTAAAGAAAAGTTTTTTTCTTTATAACCACTAAATTCCTATGATACCTCTAAATTCATATGGGACCTGTAAACTTCTATGGGAACTCCTATGGGACCTCTAAATTTCCATGGGACCCGTAAACTCAGATAGAGCCCATGTTTATACGTACCTGTTTCGATTTCTCACCCCATTTTGTGAAAATAAAATTTTCACAAACTTCAAATGCAATGTGTTGCAAGAAAGAGTAATCCGCGTTCCAATATTGTGTGGCACCGGTCAAAGAAAAGGATCCCTCGGAAATTTTGGCGAGATGCTTCCCAATTTCTCCTCTCGGTGTGAATCCGGTGGAAGTTTGAATGAGTTCATGCCTAGCTGAAAAGCAATTTCTGTTGTTTGAAATTAAAATGAGTAATTATTTTTGAGTCCAAAACGATAGGACGAAACAATTCAGAGATATGCAAAAGGAAACGTTTTCAATTTTTTTTGGGTATTTTAGAATAACTTAAAAAGTGGACCGCACATTTTACAAGAACAAAGAGTTTACAAAAACAAAAAGTTTACGCGCTCGCATTTTTTCTCTCTATATCCAAGCGCATTGATTCCAAGAATCAGAAACGCACGAGTCTCCGCCCAGACGTAGTCACAACATGGCTGTTGCCGGGATAACGAATACTATCGATTGACTTAAAAAGGAAACGTGGAAAACCCCTATACCTCTCGAATACAATTGGGGCAAACGACCGAAGGAATGGAAAAAGACAACAACAGAGATTTGTAGAGTTATATGCATTTATTATTTGTATAATATGAAGAAAGATTTGAGATTAATCGAATACGAAAAATCGTTAGAATCAGAAAGCTGAAAGGAATCAGGGAGCAGAAAAGAGAGCTTGAATCAACAAGAGATACTAAATAGATGACAAATGTTGGAGAAAATGAGACACATCGGGCGGTAAAATTACGGAATGAAAAACACATTTCACGAGATAATCAGAAAGATGGTAAAGCTGAAAAAAGCGGGAATGGTTTGATATAACAAGTTTCAATTCTTAATTAGCTTTTTGTCGACTTGAGCATTAACAGTGGCTTTCTTTGACAGCGCTTTTTTCTTCAGTTCGCGAGTGATCCAGGCGTCTCGCGTGAAAATTGTCCCAAGTGTTGCGTTGATTTTGCTTAGCTGAAAATGTTCAATAATTGCTTTATTTTCCGTACGTCCCGTTAAAAGAAAAACATGACATCCCAGCCCTGAGTCCAAGTTTGTGGATACAAACAAATTTCTGGATAAATTCGGAAGCTTTTATTGGAAGGGGCCCAGAGCGATTTCTGACCATTCGTTTTCAAACACTGTGTAGCGGAAAACACTTTTATTCACAATACCTTCGTTTTGTTCAGAGGAATTTCTACTTTCGAGATGAATACTGTATTTGAAAGAACATTTATTTTGGGATAAATCCATTCTTTTAAATTTAGAAAAAACTTTTAACAGTAGATAGCTTTTTTGAGATTCTGGGGATTGCTTATAGCATCTGTCATTTTCTCTCAATCCGTATAATTCTAAATATTTTTTTACCTCGACGCAACTGGTCTCCGTGTCAAAAAAATGATCCTTCTGCATCTTTTCTGGCTTTCGGAACGAATCGTTCCGTAGGAATCCGAGTTCTGTTTCTTTTTTAAGCAACACTTTGAATTGCGCCGTGACGTATTGCAAGAAAAAGTCTGCTGACTCGATGCACTTCTGACTTTCGCTGAAACACTTTCTATTCCAACGGAAACATTTATTCTAAAACTCACTGGTCACGAAATTCTTTTTTCCAGGCGTCCACAATTTCAACGATTTCCTCGAGAGTGTCGACAATTTTTTTGTCTAGAGGTGCTTCGTTTTCTCGTTGAGCGGCAACACTTTCTCTTGGGTTCTGTGCCAAACTCTCTATGTATGTATGTCCAATCATAATTCTGGTTCTCAAATGATTTAGTTCTCTTTCCAATTCTCGAACTACTGGGTTTTCAACTTTGGATTCTGGATCTCTCGGAGAGCTTCCTCTTTGCTTCAACCCTAGACGTCCAAGATTGTATTGATCTTTTATTTTTTCTATGTGACCATGTATTGTTTCCACGTCATGATCCGACAGATAGAGAAAATCGGACTGGTAGTTTTGAATAAATTCCAATATTGGGTCGATCCAGCCCATGAGACTGTAAAAATTTCAGTTTCAATTGAGAGAATTGTGAGGGAAACTTACTCTTCAAATCTTCTTTCGTAGTATCTATCAAACAACTCTTCGTTAAAACTCGCCGTTTCAATTTCTGAGCACTTAATGTGTGTCATCCATTTTGCTACTTCATGTTGAAGCTCTTTGTGGGTAGCGGGAATGTCCATCACTTTGATAGTTTCAACAATTTTCGATCTGCATTTCGATTTGTCATTTGGTCTCTGAAAAAAAGGTATTACAGATAAAATCAGTAAATTCTGAACCTTAGTTTTCACAGTTTCTGGCCATATAATGAAGTTCTCGCACACAGTCGTAGCAAGATATTTCGTGAACCAAGGAAAATGTTCTCCTGGTTTCGGAATTTGCTGGAATGCCTCGATGTACAACTGGTTGAGATCTTCTCGACATTTGGTGTACACAGCAAGAGTGTCTGGAGATGGATCAGGTAGACCTTCGATATACACTATAGCCATCTGTAATTCAATGATTTAATGAGGATAATTTGACTTGATTTTAAAAATGATGAAGTTAGGAGGCAGAAAAAGAGAACAAAGGTATGAGATGCGGTCCAAACAACGCACTTGCTGAATACTAGCAAAAATAAAGACACATTACTGTTTCCATCAAATAAATTGAATACGTTTGAAATATACGAGGCAATTAAAGGTAAATGTAAAATATGTAACTTGAAGATACAAAACGAGGGAAACGGGGAAAAATGAGTTCACCTAGTCGTTTACATTCTTGTTGTGAAAGATTTGTTTGTTGTGGGCAATTAAGGTTAAATGCGAAAAGTTACATAAATTTGAATATGTCACATTGCGAAAGATACGAAACGAGGAAATATAGAAATGTTTCAACAATGATGAGAAATATAACTGTGGGTAGTGGAAGCAATGAATGATCAGCAAGCGCATGTATTGAAATGGTAATTTTTTGAGATGAGACAGCAAGTTACTACATCTGCTCAGCAACTTGTGAATCATTCTTTGGTGAATTGTCACTTGTCGTGTCGAATTCGAAGGCCGCTCTCAACTTTTCGGAAGTGCATCCAAACGTTTCAGCAAGATGCTTCTCGACGTCTAGGATCTGAATAGTTACACTGATCACTAACTTTGGATAACAGATTTAAGATACCATTTTTCCTATTTCCCTTGTTTTTTTCGCTTTCAGTAAAACTAAATCTGTTGAAATTCCCAATGAGGGTTTATTCTCTGTTAAATATGGAACAAATTCAATTCTCACCATCTCGTCTGCTTTGACTGTATCTTCAATAAACATCTTATTTCTAGTCTCCTCCTCAGTCCTCCTGATAGCCATTTTCCGATAACATTCGTAGTCGGAAGCAATAATGAAGTATTCTCTCAATTGTTCTATCACATGTTTAATATAGTATTCAGCTGCGTTCAGATAGCGACTCACTCTCCTGAATATAAGAAGGAGCGATTTTCAAAATTTTCAATTTTCATCCCAAATCACTTCGATTTCCAAAACTTCTGTGAAGTTTCAGTAAAATCACGTGAATTTCCAAAATCCCAGAACTCGAACCGTTCGAGTTCTGTGAGACGAACTTTTGAAATCAAATAATTTGGAGGAGGAGAGTCATGACCAACCAAGCCAAGAAAACGGTTCCCCTCCAGCATATCTCAAACCACTAAAAGCAATAGATGCCATGTTGAATACGATGGAAAAACGGGCTGCCGATCGTCTTGAATCCATTCTAACGGCTCACAGGAACAATTGGCCAATTCTAGATGGCGATGGATTGCTGGCATTGAGCATTGAGGAACATCTTACGCCGCCGAAGAAACTCTAGCCAAATGGCAGAAAAAGTACAGCGGCAAGTAAGTTTAATTACATTCAGTACCGGTCAATCAGACAGACAAAACCAAAACTTCCAGTTCATTTTTAATCATTTTGACCTTTTTTTCAGAACTCGGGAAATACCTGAAAAACCAGGGATTCTTAAAGGAATCGGTGAATGAAAAGTTCTTAATCTAGTTCTGTTCTACACCCTCTAAAGGTTTCAAAATGATTGGAAACTTGACCACCAAGCTCCTATTTACTGTACATGTCA